AGTCCATACGTTGCCATATGTTGTGTGGCAATGGCTATAAGTATTCTCTTCTATTGATCTATCAGTTTGAAGACATCACCGATGGTTTTTTGGACACAATTTGTTTGTTATATATAAATATTTAAAAATGAATTTATTATATTATACATACATTATATACCAATACATATGATATATTTTTAATCAATATTAAACTCTTTTTAAATTTTATTATCTAAAAAACACGACGTTTTCTTTTTTTTAAATACAGTATATAAATAAATGACTAACAGATTATTTTAATTTATATAATTTTTTTTAATTATTTTATAAAACTTAATATCATTTTTTATAAATACTAATTAACGGGAAGAAAGGGTTGACTGAAAAGTCAAATTCCGGACATTTCTGTCGATTGAAATTATATAAAAAGAGAAATCAATTATTATTTTTTTATAGATTTATTTTTATCCATTAATTTACCTGAGAATCTGTTTGGTGACCACTTAATAATAACTTCATTACAACGAAATTAGTTTTCGCTATTTTTATATACGACATAACCTACAAAAAAGATTATTTAGCAATTATTACCGTAAATTAAATGTTTTGATAATTCATTAGTTAAACAAACAAAAAATTACTTCAGATTTTGGATCAGAAATGGTTTCGAGCAAAGCTTTTGTCTGTTGAAAGCTTTTACACGACAATAGATAGAGTTCTCCCGGTGTCTGTTGCAACACATTTCTAGTCATATCTTTATATTGAATATAAGGGACGGGTGGCGGAGCTATAACGCTGCGGAACGGCATAAATCGGTGTTCATAACGAATTTCTTCGGTATTTAATGCTGATTGAGGTGTCGGAAGTTTGCCATCATTTTTAAAGCCACAAATGGCTTTATAGAAGCCATTATTCAGATGTTGTAATGACTGATAAATAAGTATCTCCTGATAATGAGGTCTTTGTTTWCGTTTCTTTGGCCGAATTTTCTTACTTTTTCCTTTTGTTTGCTGTTGTATTTGATCTGAAGAAAATAAATATCGATAACTAAGTAAGCCTTTAATAAACAATAGCTACAACTGTTAACTGTAACCATAAATGTTAAATAACTAAATAGCTAACCGGCCAAAGCTTCTTGTTCAAGAATCAAATTGCTGGCTCTGTTAAGTGTTGACACAATCCAACCATAGAGGAACTCATATAAATACCAAAACATGTATTGGTATTCATGTAAGGAATAGAGCTCTAACTCGAAACCAGACAACAGATATTGAGTCATAGTTCGGAGGATATGATACAAAACCCAAGAAGTATAGTAACCGATATGACTGGTCGGCGGATCGCTATTCTGTGTAATTACATTCAAATAGTTGTCTACTCTATCGGCCTCATCCTGTAGAGTGGTTAGCTCTTCGAGAATTTGTGCCAACTTTTCCCTTTGTCGGGCCCTATTGTGTCCACAAATCTGAGTTAATGTGGCCATCGGTCTGACGGCGTGATGAAAGAAGTTGTCCAAAAATAAATAAGCGGTTGAATTGTTGTTAATTAAGGCGCTTTTAGTACAAAGAGACGGCGGTTTTATGAACTGTTTACACGAGTCGCGCACCACTTGTGCCAAATGACTGGTTCCAAACACGAGACTCGGTTGCGGTAAATAAAGAACCTGAAGTATGGAGCGAGAGAGCACACATGAGTTGGGAATGTTTTGGCTAAAGTGGTTGAAGAAGGCCAATGCCATCTCATATGATGAACACTCATAAATTTTGGTCACACGTTTCAGTCGTTGGATCAGTTGTTCCGAGAACTCTAACGCCTCTAAACGGCTCTTCATTCTCGTATAGCGAGGAAATGTGGGCGGAAGTAGTCGCTGATTAACCAATGGCTCAAAGCCAACAATTGTCGGATAATCAGCTTTATGTCCACTAGTGATACCTGATTCTGGTTTGATTCCACAATCGATGGTTTGTCGCCAAATGAGAAGTGATTCACTGCAATGGTTTAAGTATTTTTCAATATCTTCTGAGAGCTGTTTATCAATATTTGCATTAGATTTACGATTTGCTGTCTTCAGGTATGAAGCCTTCTTTAATGAGTATAATGTTTGAAACAAATACCTAAAGAATTTGATTCGATTATGAAGACCACAAGTAAGTCGATGACACTCAACGTCTTGTTTATTGCTCTCAGATTCTGTATTTTTATCCAAAGATTTTTGAAGTAATTTTGTCTTTTTAGACAACTCTTCGTCCACTTCTCTAATGATAGAACAGGCCTTTGAGTCACTTAAATCATTGGCCAAATTATAGCCGTAAACAACGGGTTGAAAGTCTTCTTCTTCAAAGACTTGAGCTTTTGAGACAAATTCTCGAATTGAATCAATTAATTTCAGAACAATTTTGCAGAAGAAACGAAGTGTTTTGTCAATAATCAGTGACGGATTGTGGAGATAAAGGTTAATAAAGACAGTCTGAGCTAATGAATGTCCTTCAAACCACGTGATCAAAGTAGACAGTGTCTCGTCTATGATACCCAACTGTTCCTCTAATGTGAAGTCCTTTAACTTGATTTTGTTGGCTTTGATTGATTGTTCAAAATTTAAAACTTTTTTATTGGTCTGATTGGAGACCATTCCGGCGTCCATTTTGGGATCCATCATCTCTATGGCCGACATGGCCTCGAAAAGACCGAACAATTCGTCGTGCAATAGTTGTCCGCATTTGAGCTCTAAATCAGTGGTCAATCAGATGAGTTAAATCATCAACTGTTTGTTACATCAAATAAGTGGACACAAGACATGACAACACAGACAGACATGAGATCACCAAAAATAATCACTACTTGCCTTCAGTCGATTCCCAAAAATCTTTGGTCACATCAGTCCAGTTGAAGCACACATCTTGGCCGACAAATGCGCTCCGATTCGAGTCCATTGCGGTCACCGATGTTCGTCCACAAGTGATCGTCAAATGAACGCCAATTTAGTGTCAATGTTTGACATGTCTTGAGATGCAATAATTGCGGACAATTTGTGGCCCACTCTTTCAGACGGGAGGTCTTCTTCGGATCAGAATTTTCGGATAAAAAACTGAATAAAAATAAATAAATAAAACAAATGTGAGACAAAAGTCTTGGAGGGATTGTTTGTTTTGGTAACAAACGAGTGGATCCACTCTCGACTCTCACATCAAAACCGGTATTAAAATAATATAAAAGCAATGAAAACGACTGACGAGTTTTGGTCATCAATGACGACAACAGAGAAAGAGAGAGAAAAGACAAACAAAATGATAGGATTTGTGGTTATTGTCGACTAATCAACAAAATAGACGTCATTTGTGTCGTATATGTTGTGTATATGTCTTGAAGTGCGCACCCATTGGTTGTGTCCGACATTTGCCGCAAACAATCGCTATCTTAACGACTGATTCATTGTTTTTGTTGATCGCAGACCTGATTGCCGAAGACGACCACTGAATCGTTGAATACGACTGCAATCACTATTGCAATCAAACTTATCATCACTTTGTTTGATCCGATTGTCGACATTTATTTTGAAGACACGTTTTTTTGTGTGTTATTTCAATCAATTGTGTGTTTGTTTTCAAGTGGTATACGGTTTGAGAAGATTTTAGCAAACAATGGCCGATAAGATAGACATGTCTTTGGATGATATCATCAAACGCGACAAAATTAGTACCGGAAAGACTCGAAGGGGAGGACAGGCCGGCGGTGGCGCCCGAAGAGGTGGTCCACAGAGAGGAGGCACACAAAGAGGCGGTCAAAGAGGTGGCGGAGGAGCTCAAAGAGGAATCGGTGGCGGAGGTCCGCAACGAAACCTAAGAACTCGTAGCCGACAACAGCCTTACAGTCGGGTATTAAATAATTTATTAAATCTTTAAAAATACCGAATGATTAATATCTGAATGTTTCAAAAGCCTAATCAAATCCCAGACCGTTGGCAACACGACATGTTTGACAACTCAGGTCTCAAGAAGTTGACGACTGCCTCCAACGCCAGCGCACATCTTATGGTCTCAAATCTCGAGTTTGGTGTTACAGGTAATGACAACTTTTAAGATGTTGTKCATCTGAACGTCAATTATAATCGTTGTGTCGATACAGACGCTGATATTCAGGAACTATTTGCCGAATTCGGAAATCTCCGAAAAGCTGCCATACATTATGATCGATCGGGCAGATCATTAGGAACCGCTGATGTCGTATTTGAGCGCAAATCAGAAGCCATGAAAGCTATGGAACAGTACAATGGAGTGCCACTCGATGGTAAAGATTAAGAGACAATGATTTTTAAAACGGCACTATCAATGGCGTTGAAAGTGCAGTCAATCAATGAAACGAATCGAATGCCAGCTCTTGTTCTTCCAAATTAGGCCGAGCGATGAAAATTCAGCTAATGGTCAACAACGACACTACCACACAAAGAACCGGTAATATCAGTTCCAGAATTGGAGCACCAGTTGGAAATAGAGGCCGTGGAGGTAACAACAACAGAAGTTTTAGCAGAAGTGGTGGAGGAGGTGGTGGCGGACGCGGCGGCGGTGGTCGAGTTTTACGAAGAGGAACAAGTGGTCGAGGAGGAGGAGGAGGAGGTCGTGGTGGACAAAGAGGAGGACAAAAGTTTGCATCTTTTACTTAATTTTTTCGCTTTTTTTGTCTAAACATTTGCTGTAAAATAATTATTGTTTATTTATTTACCGATAATAACTTTGTGCACAATTTAATTCTGTGTTATTTACTGTAATTATTTTGCTCACTTGAATCTGTTATAAATTATTATACATTGTATATTAAAATTTATAATTAATGCTTTTATAACTTATAGCTAATTTTGAAAAATCTAATTAAAAACTTAATTAATATGTAGTACTGTATAATCTATTTTATCTACTTTATTTTCACCTACCGTACAGTTCAAATGTATAATTTTTTATTATCAATTTTTTCACTTAAAAGGAAAGTACCCACTGCTGAGGAACTGGATGCTGAATTGGATGCCTACAGCAACAAGGTTTGATTAGATTAATAAACTAACCGGTAATCATGTATTTATATATTTTTTATTATATCTTACCGGTAATATAATTTAGATGTGAATTATTATTATTGTTTTTTCATCACAACATTGAAACCCAAATCACCCAAAAAAATATTATTGACTTATTTTTTGCTCATTTAATTATAATTTTGTTTGTATACTATAGACATTGTTTTTATTAATTATTGTTTAATTAAGTAAAATTCAGACCGTGTTTACAACACATACACACACAGACACTATTTCGCTGTAATTTTTACAGATTTTAAAATATAAAAAAATAAAACGTTAATAATATTTTAAACATAAATTGCATTTTATTATTTGTATATATATAACATATTTATTTATATATATTAAGCATTAAATCACATTTAATTAGAAATAATAAATTATTAATAAATAGAATTATATTTTTTTCATCGATTTTTTTGTTTGTTTGGAAATGTAAAGAGTAATCGATAGTATTATACAGAAGAAGCCAATAATACAATATATTTTGATTCAAAGAAGTTGTCAAAAGAAATAAATGCATTTTAAATCAATTTGTGTAAAACAAAAATAAAAGGCACCGTAAGTCCAAACGGAAATTAAAAATTACAAACAAATTGTTTAAAATAGCAATTTTAAAGATAATTTTTTTTGTGTTAAATATCAGTAATCATTGGCCCATTCGTTCTCTAATAAGAACTGATCGATTACTTCTTTCATTGCCAAATTGGGAGTCAATTGTTCGGAGGTCAATGATGTCCTGGTGACCGGATCAAAGTGGCCGACTCGTTGAAGATGCTCTTCGATATCTTTCCTATCATATGTAATGCCACTGGGAGTGACCACTGGGTCGCGCATTATTTCGAAACTAATTTTGCCGCACAAGTAATCAGGAACTTCACGTTTCTATTTGTGACAACGAAATGGTTAAAATTATATCCGCCATCAGATGATAATTACTATCATACCTTTCGCCTGTCATCAAGTGTTGCAAACATTGAATTTAATTCATCTAATCGCTGATCAGTTGTCGAGATTATCATTCGTTTGAGTTCTTGTGCAGTCTGTTCCTCACTAATAGCATTGTTGTCGACTTCATCTTTAAGTTTGTTTAACTGTTTTTCTTTATCCAATTGAATTAAAGTTTGCAAATATGTCTGTAATTCGATCTCCTCTTTAATCCTTTTCTCTTCGATAACATTAAACTTCTTTTTTCTGGCAATCCTTAACTGGTAAGTGATTTCATCGCCAAAATTCAATTTCTGCTCTTTTGCCAAATCGTGTGCTTTATATTAAGATATTTGTATCAATTAACACAAACTTTTAAGTTATCCTAAAAAAATAACACCAAACCTCTTTGTAAGTGTTTGATGGCATCATCGAAGTGATCCATTTCTAACAGTGATTGGCCTAAGAAAAAGTGTCCTTTGATTAGATTTGGCTCCATTTCTAAAGCTCGGCGACAGTCTTGAAAGGACTGTTCCCACTGACAGAGCTTTAGGTAACAGAGAGCTCGGTTCGTAAAGAATGTCGGAACAGATGGGTTGCGGACCTATCGTTGAAATTAATGACAACACAATTAGTAATGTTATGTCAATCGGAAGAACCAATTGATTGATTTCACATACTATGGCTCGCGTATAGCTGTTGATGGCCTCTTCATATTTGTGGTTCAGATAGTATTTGTTTCCCTCGTCTTTGAGTTGGAAAGCACTCAACTCGTGCTTCATATCAGATCCAGTCTTTTGGTTCGTTTGGCAACTCTTACGTCCGCTCTTCGAGTGTCCGAAATTCCTTAAGCGAAACAGTTTCGATGTCTTTAACGGTGATAATCACCAAAACAGACCAAACAAATCAATCGATTCAACGATTAGTGAAACCTCAAGACGTGTTTTTGTTGTTGTCTTTGTTGTCGACGTCTCTCTCAATGAAGAAGACGAGTAATTGACATGAATTTGATTAGAGGACACTGTCTTCAATTAGGATCAGCTGTTGATGATATCAATGGATGAAAGTGTTGTATGCATTGGTATTTCAAATCAAACACAACTATAAATAAACTATAAATTTAATGTCATTTCATTCAATTAATTGACTATTAATTCAATTATTAGTTATAAAATAAAAACATTTTTTTCTTATTATTATTATTACATGAAATCTATTGTTTTGTTATTTACTTATTAATAAAAACCCAATTATTTTGTTATAATATTCAATGCAATGACGAAAACAAATCAACTATTCATAAAGTCTGTTATATTTAACAATATAAATGATATATAATGTATTTGTGGCCCAATGAACCTGGTCAAATATCATAAATAAAGTTAATTGACATTGGTAATTTTGTGACATGATCATTTTTATTATTATTATTTTGATGATTAGGTCAACAAGTGGTTAAATATAACAAGTGGTTACAAATTTTTAAAAATATATATATGATATGATTTAATATACAATATATGATGAAATTATAATTACTTATTAAAATATAAACTTTTAGTCTATGATATAAATATAATTTTTATATAATTTTTTGATTAAATAATAAGTTTATTATTATTAAAGAGTATTGATATCAATGTTAGACATTTGAGAATAACTCAAAGTAATGACTCGCCGCAGTTGGTCCCGATTGACCACTTTGATGGCCTCCAAGTGTGAATGCAGACCATCGACAACAGTAAGCTTTTTGTTGAGCAATCGTTCGACTATATAGCCGATGGTCACGTCATCGGGCAATCGTATTTGRTCACCAATGCTGATGAATTTGCCGCCGCTGGCCAACGGAACCATTTTTAGAGCCAACGATCGGCTGATACAAAAACCCGCACCGCCGGTGGCAAACCAGAAGGATATGTTATCTTGTTTGCCATCGCGACTGACAATCTGAAGCGGCTGTCGTATACTTGGTTTACCCAAATACCAGTCCTGTAGTGGACTATAGTTTTCCAACAGTCGTACCAATTGAGGAACATTTAGATAGTTGTCGTCATCCAAGTGACAAAACCATCGCTTATTGCTATCGATGAATGTGTCGAACTCTACACTCATTTTGCAACACAACGCTCTCCTAATCACACAAGAGATCACATTTAGGATCAGTTTGTTAAACATATGATTGAATTATTGAAAAAAAAATTTCTAACCTGTTATGAGATGACGAACAGTTGGTATTAATCAGATGTCCGCCTATTCAATGATAAACGAGTATTGATTAGTTAATTATGATTTTCAATTATCATAGCATATAAAGTGCTAAATAGTTTTTTTAATTTGTTTTTATAAACTTAAAAATTTCAATTAAAATTAACTGAAATTATTACATTTAATCTTATTTATTTATTATTGAAATTTTTAATATACCGTAAGTGAGATATTTTTAATGTAAATTTAATATCAAACAAATAAACTTTTGTAWTATATTTTATTTACATCATTACACAGTCAATATCTAATAACTTTTATAGAAATTTTAGGGTTAATTTYAAATTTCTATCAAATGTTTACTTTTGTATTGTTATAAATTATCTAATGATCATATATTTATTATTTATTAACCCGAATAGTTTATAATTTACCGGATAATTGTATTCAAAAAATCATACATTACTACTGTCGTAAATTTCAGCCAATTTTTTCTTATTATAATTATGAGAAATATTTTTTTWAAGCTACTAATGTATTCTATGTAACTATAATATATCGTTTTTAATAATTATCTATTTATAATTATTTGCTARTTTAATCATTAATTATAATTTCAAACTAATCTAAGCTACTATATTAGTTATAGTAAAAGTCATAATATATTAAATATACGACTATATATAACAATTAAATAAAAATAATAATCACCTGTTTTGTTGTTATATTTGATATCTTCGGCATCAGTAAAGAAATAGGTCTTTTAAATTCAATAAAATAATAAATAAGCGATTAATTATTTAATTAAATTTTATTTTTCTTGAAAAACAGTCAAAAATCCTATACCTGATTGTTAGCCAACTTGAACCATGTCTTGAGTATACTTTCCAGTCTTGTTGTGTGAAATTTTTTAGTTGTCTTAACGCTTATGAATATATCATTGAGTGTTGTCTTCGGCGACAAATTTTTATTATTATTTACATTATTATTATTATTATTTAATTTATTATAATAATTATTAATATTATTATTACTATCTTTATCGAAAATTTTATTATTACTATTGCCTAATATATTATTGCTATTAAAATAATCTACGGATGCTTTTTGGACACTGCTATCTCTGGCCTCAAATATAGATCGGGCGGCTCTCTCCTGATAGCCACTGAAACTATTGCGCCGTTGATGACCAGTATTTAGCTGATCCGATGACCACTGGCCACCGGATTGTGTCAAAGTTAGTGTATTGATGGATGAAAGCCATATAAATAGTATGAATGCATAGCATACGCCAAATGCCATCAAAACTATTTTTTGGGCCAACTTTGAGGCCCTGATTCCCATTGTTAGCAAACTTTTGCTTTTTTAAGGCATCACTTTGTAAGGCACTTACGGTTTGGCACTTAATTTGATTAAAAATGAATAACGGATTCGTTTGATTCAGTCAAACATTGTGTGTGTTTTCTAAGGCACTGAATGTGTGATTATAAACAATCACAATATTTACAAATATTTGTTAATTACATCTAAGAAACCATGTAATGACATATACAACAAAAAGTGGTTAAACAAGTGTCACAGTGTCAGCCATCACAGACACTCTTGTATAGAACATCCCCTCCAGCACTGGGCATACAAAGTGCTTCTCTATCTTTGAATAAGTCTAAGGAGGAGTTGCTCTCTTGGAAAGACCAATCTCTGAATGTCAAGGAATCTCTAGTATTAGTATTGAGAGTAAATCTATTGTGCAGTCATTTGTGAAGCCATACATTCCTTCTCCATCTACAGTACAGTATATACTGTAGTCATTCAATAGCTATACTCTCCTAAACTTTTTTCACCTGCTCTTCACACTCAACACACACACAACCACTTGCTTTACAGTTAATTCAATAGCATATATACCACAGTATTGTAATTTAACTGCACTGTAGCCCAGATATTAATAATATCTATGCATGCAATGTGTGAATACAATAAAAAAGTTTTATACACAAATAATAGAGAAATATTCATTATTATTGAATAAATTTTATATATAATTAATTAATTTCAATAAATATTAATTTTATCAAATATTAAATAGCAGATCTCAATTTATCAAGGTTAAAAAATTATTACAATCATCCAATCGCTTACTGTATAGTTAAAATGTAATTAAAATTTAGCACATTAAATATTAATATATTTATTGAATATTTACAGATAACTATATTATTATGAAAAGTTAATAAACTAATTATTAAWTTTAATTTACTTATGAAAAATAGCTTAAAATCTATGAGCATATTGTAAACTTTACTTAATTGATTCATAATTATAGTTAACTTAACAAATTACCAGGAACAGTTTTAACATTGCTAAGTAATTAATAAGTATTTCTGGTAATTTGCAAAGTTAACTATAATTATGAATCAATTAACTGTTTACTATGCATTCTGTATTATTTTTTCGTTTGTATTAATTATATATTAGTAATTGATTGCCTAAAAAAAATATTTTAACAAATATATTAAATGTTAACTATTATATTGTAAACAGTAATTTTAGTTCTTATAGTATAGAATTTTCGTAAAACTTTAAATTTATACATATATCATATAATATGAGATATATAGTATAAAAGCTAATATCAAGCAAATTGAAATTTCAGATTTATTTATGCCATTTGATAGTATGTAACAAAAATTTTATTGTAGTAATTAGATATGTATTAATAATAATAAATTAACAAAATACATTATATTTTTTTAATAATAATTTATTGATCAAATATAATTATCATTAATAATTGTCCTAAACACTATAATATTTTTATATTAAAATATTTATATTTTAATTAAATTGCAATATGACTTAGTTTTATAGTATATAAAATTTATACATTGCTTAAATTAAAGATAATACTTACTAATTTGACTGATTTTTATTGGGAAATTTTGTAAATATATTTTTAATATTATWAAAAAAAAATCATAAATAATAAATTCGCAAAATATAAAAAAATAATTCATAAAATATAAATAATAAAAAATCATTAAATAAATACAAAATTATAAATTAATTACCGGGTTCTTTTACAAACCTTTTTTTTAATAAAAAAATACTCCCTAATATTCATAGTAAACAAATTGAGATTTAAATTATGATTAAACAATTAGAAACAAAATACTGTTAAATATAGTGTATAAATAATTATAATAAAAATTAAGAAATCAAATCAACTTTTGCCATAATTGTCGAGTAAACTATCAATTTCTCCGATTTCATTGTGGTTTTCATTGTCTATATTATACGATAACTTATATTTAAGTCTCACTTTTTCCTGTTTGTGTACATCTCTTGCAATTAACATGACTTGTGTTATAAGTGTCGGTGATATGAATGCCTGAAATGCCGGCAGACTATTGCTCGGAAACATAGCTTGAAGTTTGACTCGCATTGACTGAAATATTGGTTAATATTAWAAATAATAATTATTTAAATTGTATATATATTTCGCATATAAAAGATTRTGTACCTTAGGAACAGCCGCTAAAAAGTTTATTTTAGAAACTGGAGATGAATTGGTACTAATAATGGTTATCACAAATACATTGACATCACTTCGCGGCGAATTAGATGCCAAATAGAGAATGACTTGAACTTTATTTTTATCATAAAGTGTTATGGGTTTGGTATCACTCGGTTTAATAGAGTCGAGTGAGACATTAATATCAGTCAAAGGCATAACCGATCCATTTATCATATTTTTATCGCACTCTTTGTTGTCATTAATGTTTCGTGCATTTGACTGAATTCTTTGTAATTCATTTAACGACTTCGATGGTTCTTTGTTCTTGTATTTGAATTCATCACTTAAAAGATTGCTTTTTAATAATGATTGACTCAAGTGATCCAATTCATCGAAAGCTAATTTTTGACCAGATTTGCGTCGTTTATCACAATCGCTGACTATGTTTGTTGAATTTGATGGTGCAATCGGTTGTGGAAGTAATACGTCATTTAATATGGAATGATTAGTCGAAGACAATTCATTATTATTCTTAACAGAGAATATATCTCTCAATTCTTGTAAATCATTCAAAGTATTTGTATTACATTTATTGTTATTCTTGGAGCTCAAAGAAATAAAGTGATCATCAAGTAGTTCCACGTCATTCAATATATTATCAATAATTGACGTCTTGTTTGTTGTTGTTGTTGTTGTTGATGATGGTATATCTAAAAGATTTATTTGATTTGATTTAGTCATTAAATTCTTAGAGTCGTCAGTCGAAACAATTCCCAACATTTGTTTGTATGCATTGATAGCTTTAGTTAACTCGTCGTTGGCGTTAAAAAGTCTGGTCATATTCGGGTCGTCATCGGACAACTCGTTGGCCAATTTAAACAAACGAATTCGTAATTTTTCACAACTTTCAAACAATTCTTTCATCAGATCCTTCTCTTCGACTGAACTATCATTTGGTGAATAAAACGATAACATATCCGACAAAACATTTGCGTTGTTGTAAACGATTTCTATTTCCGATTCAAACCTCGACTTCAGATCCATTCGTTTATCCGATTCTTTGGCCATCAATTTGATCAATTGATTGGCTGCTTCCAGATCTCCCGGTTTACCACTTTTAAGTAGTTTTTGCAGTAACTCAGCGTTTTTTTCGTCGTCAAATATCTCGTCCTTTGGTCGCGGAAGTGGCGGAGTCGGCGGCTTATAGTTTGGTATTATATAAGTGGGGTCTTCGGAAACAATTTGCTGTTTCTTTAGCATCTGATACGCTTCAAAGATTTTGGGCATTTCTTTTAGCTCAAGACTCCAGAGGAACATCAACTCAACCACACGTTGTTTCACTTTCGGTGGTGTTCTGTGAGCCAAATACTAAACAAAAATATTACAAACTATCAGATTATATCCATCGATGGCAACAATTTTTTTTAAAACCTTTGGAGAAACAACTTTAATAACTTCATTTAGAAAACGAAATTTTCCGATTTCGTCAGTCAATCGGTGACCACAAACTGTAATCAGTTTTGCCAAAAGCTATAATAATAATAATAAAAATAAAATTTCAGAAAAAACACAATAATTGATAACAAAAAATAGTTGATCCATACGTTCAATGAATGCAATGCTTCAATTTCTTGAGGTGACTGAATCTTATGCGCCAAATATCTCAGTGCAACCTGTGGTCCGTCGGGTCGGTCATTGATGGCGGCGCACAATCCGGTCAATAGTTCTTCATCGATGTTATCGTTCAATGGATTTGTAGACTTTGCTGTGAAAAAACCCCAAAATATTTTTAATATCTTCAAACCAAAAATCAGATGACAATCACTGGCAATACAAACCTAAATATACGTCCAAACGATTGTCCTCTTCAGCCATCGTAACCCGTAATGACCCGCAAAATGTCAATTTAATTGTCGCACAACTGATCCAAATAATTGATGACTAGTTTTGTCGGATCACTACTTTTTATCCCAATGTTTACGTAAACACCAATTCATACGCAAACAGTGTTACAAAACATTTATAAATTAATTTATGAGAAAATTTTTACAATTTTTCTTCAATTAATGTTTTTATAGAATATTACAGAATATTATTGCAAAAAAAATATTTCGAAATATTCTTCAAAATCAATGTTTTTTAAAAACAAATATATATTGAATATACTGTATATATATGATAGGTATTTGAATATTCCTGGACTATGAAAAAATAGTATAATTTAAAAGAAAATTAAGCATGATCATTTTTACTTAAATTATTATATATTATTTTTATGATAATTAAAAAATTATTATAGAAAATTTGCAAATAATTTTCTAAATTTAACATGTTTAGTTTTGTTGTCAATTAAATTTACTACAGTATTAAATATTTGTAAAAAAAATTTTTTTAAATGTTTTTATAATGAGATATTACTGTATCGTTTGATAATAAATGCTTGGAAGGGATTGCGTCGCAAATGTAATGTATGTTTAGTAACGTTGTATTTGTTTGGATGAATGTGTGTGTATTGACTCAAATGTTGAGTACATTTAAAAATTTGAATGAAAGGCCATATCAGACACTGACAGCCAATGAGAGCCAATGTTGCCATTAATGCAACAAAAGAGTCAATCGTTTGCCAAATAAAAAAATCGTTGGAATCGGCGGTCAATTGAGTGATTGGAGTCAAGTCTCCAATCATTGCATTGAGATTCCAGTCATTGAGTTATTCATTCATTCATTCATTCATTCATTGACTCTAAATGTTAATCAATTGATAGAAACGTTGAACTCATTGACCATTGATTTTAGTGGACATTGCCGTCGGTGTAAACAAGGATTAGTCGTATTGTAAAAGATTTAAACGACTAATTAATAAGACTTTAGTCTAACCATTAATTTTCAGTCAAAATTAATAACAATTGATTACAATTGTAATCGTCGTTATCTTTTTTATTGCACCGATTGTCTCATCACAACTCAAGCGATGTCATCGGTAAGTGTGATTGGTTTTGGCCACTGATTGTATGGATGATTATGAGTGAAATTAATTACATTATTTAATAGCAAACATCATCTAATGTTGAAAACCTATCACCACAAGTGATCCGTCAGGTGTCCAAAGAGTTGACTCATTTAACACAAAAGCCGTTGGAAGGGATTCGTGTGATACTAAATGAAGAAGACATTTCCGATATTCAGGCCATTATTGACGGACCCGGTATTGTCTTAAAGTTTTAATTTTATAATTACATGTTTGATAATTGTATTGTTTTTTTCATATTATTTATTCAATACCCCGATAGCCTGTACGCCATACTTTGGCGGCTCATTTCGTTTGAAAATGGTTTTACCGAAAGACTTCCCGATGTCACCGCCAAAAGGTTTTTTTCTGACAAAAATATTTCATCCAAATGTGTCGAGAAATGGAGAGATATGTGTGAATACACTTAAAAAAGATTGGAAATCAGATTTAGGAATTAAACACATTCTTCTGGTATTATTATTATTAATAAGTTTATAATAATTTTAATAAATTAATTGATTATTATTATTATTTAGACCATTAAGTGTCTTCTAATTGTTCCGAATCCCGAATCTGCACTCAATTCAGAGGCCGGCAAAATGCTATTAGGTTTGATAGACAGTTAAAGTTAACTTTTTTGGCAAATTAATGACAATTTGGTATTTTCTGAATGATAGAGCATTACGACGATTACTGTATGAGAGCTAAGATGATGACCGAAATACATGCCTCAAAGCAGCCAAAAACCGCTGATTATGACAGCGATCACCCGAATCCGTGTTGTAGTAAATCAGATTCCGTTCGACGATTGGGCGAAAATGGTGCCGAAGAGAGTTCGGCCGAACCTATACTCAAACGACACGCCAATGATAAAAGTGTGACCAAACCTATTGGGTCGTCGACAACATTAACACAGAAACAAAAAACTAATTTAAAAGATAAGAAACGGACACTAAAGAGATTGTAAAATAAGTTTCTTTTAATTAATTATTTAATAACTAAATTTTAGTAATAATTATATGAAAAGTTCAAATTTTTTTTAAGTAAAATGATTTTTTTTAAATAAAAAAAAATGCAATTTCGGTTCTATAGACATATACGGTAAACACATATTTAACTGATATATTCTGTGTGTGAATGATATTGTATGCATCAAAATAATAATAAGTTTATATTTGAGTTAATATATAACAATATTATATATTGTATTATGTTTTGTATTTATATAAGAGGTTTAGTTTGCAAATATTTTTAAAAAGCATACACTTATATTATATTGTAAGTGTGGAAATTTTATTATAAATATATGATATACAGTATACTACTATTTAAAATAATATGTATAACATTTTACGCTAAATATAAAAATACAGTATATATTTATTTAAAATATCTATTATTGATTTTTTTGTTGACACAAACATTTTCAAATATAAATTATTATTTAATTGGTTTATCATATATACAGTATATATATTTAAAAAATAAATATGATTTCTGTTTTTTATTATTTAAGCTAACTTTTGTATATTTATATTTTTATTTCCCTACTCTTATAATTGTGTCTTAAATTTCAATAAAAAATAGTGATTTTATCAAAATAAAAATTTTTAAATATTTTATTACAATTTATAACATTTAATAATTTGAAATTCTGGACATTATTCTGTCGATTCCTTATTCACCGATCTCTAACTGACCACTAAAAGAGAGACATTTTAATCTAATTTTTTTAGTTATTACTGGATCTGTAAGACTAATGTGTTTTTAAAAAATGAAACAAATATTATAATAGTTTGGGTAAATCATACCTCAAATAATAATATAAATATTATAAATATAACCCTGGTTATTTTTGTCTTAATAGACTTGTTTTATAATCATAGCTAACTATCAGTGTTTTAATGTATAAAACCTGTCCTAACCTAACCTAACCCTAAATCTGATTAATATATGAGTATAGGACCTATACTATAGGTTGTGTATAATAGTTGAGTTGGGTTTCGGTTTTTATATAAATTATTAATATATTATATTTGGTTTTCGGTTTTGTGGTCTAATATACAAATTAATAGTACAATAATGTCGAGTATTATTAAATACATTTAATACATGTATATGAAAACCGGTCGCATCTCTAAACACGTCAGTCATATTCAGTACAGTATTTAATAATACATTGAATGTATGGAAAGCATTGGGTTTTATAATATTCATTGAGTTATCAGTGATTGAGTCAAACACTTAGTGTTTATATTGAACACACATATCATCAAAACAATGGCCAACCAGTCATCAGATAGTAAGCCATCAAAAGAAGACTTAACCACTGTTTTCACAAAATTGAAGTCAAACACATGCAATAAGGTATGATTATTATGATAATTAAGTGGTCAATGATATGATGATCAGTTTGATTGACATCAAAAATAAAATCTCGTGGTTTTTTGAAGGCCACGTCATTGTATTAACAATTGATCCGATGATATGTTTTTTTGATTGATAACAAAAATCACCTAAAATTTGAATGTCTTGTAATTGTTTTCAGTCGTGCTTCGACTGCGGCGCCCGTATACCGTCGTGGGTGTCCATTACGTACGGCGTTTTCATTTGTATCGACTGTTCAGCTGTTCACCGCGGTCTCGGTGTCCACATATCGTTTGTGCGGTCATCCGAATTGGACACGAAATGGACGTGGGCTCAGTTGCGTGCCATGCAATGTGGCGGAAATGCTTCAGCCGTTAGTATTAATCGATAATCCATAACTTCCAACACATAAATAATGATTTTTTCGGTACATTTAGACTCAGTTTTTTAATGAACACAACTGTACGACAAAAGACTCCCAACAAAAGTATACGAGTCGTGCCGCACAACTATATCGCGACAAATTAAACCAAACGGTGGCCAATAGTCTCAAAATGTACGGCCATTGTCTTGATTTGCCCACCAGTGGTGCCACAAATAGTTCGGCTAATACTACGTCAGCAGATAATTCCTCCTCATCTTCGTCTACCGATTTTTGGACAGAACATGAAAAAGTTGAATCAGTGCCTAAACAACAAAGCCATTCCAGTTATTCATCGATTAAATCTCAACAAACACCTCCGATGACTACCGATGGAACTGCCGGACCAACTGTTAGTCTTGTTTCAGCTAACAATGTAAACTTGTCTAAGGATTATAAACCATCTATTATTGGCACCAAAAAGCCGACCGTTAAGAAAGGGGTAATTATCTTATTATTATTAAGTTATATACCATGAGTTAAATCGCAGGTCGCTTGCAAATGAAGTCATTATTTACTTAAAAATAGATTTCATTTTCCTATAATCACTGCAAAAGTAAATCTGAAATATGTTTGAGAATTAACTTTAGTTAAAATAAGGTTTTTTCATAGAATATTTCATACAAATGTTGAAAATGTTTTATAATATTTTATTTATATTTTGCTATTAATTTTGTCTATAGTTGGGCGCCAGGAAAGGATTGGGCGCTCAAAAAGCAGTTATTGATTTCAAAAAAATTGAAGAAGAGGCCAATAAAGCTGATGAAATCAAAGATAATATCGGGAAAAATGATAAACCTTTGACTGAAGAGGAAACCATCGATAGAATTGAATCTATTCGGTTGGCATATGAAGACCTGAGTGAAAGACAAAAACAAACGGAAGAAAAAATGCGAAGTATTGATCCAAACAAAGCAAATCAATTGGAAAGACTAGGAATGGGTTTTAGTAACACTCGAACCAAAAGCTCCGGTATTTCACATTCAGCCGTTTCCGATATGCAAACCATTGAACAGATACCGAACCCGACATCTTCATCAAAAAATTCGCGAACGAAAGAGTTGGAAAAGGATATGTTAATGTTGGAAATGGGCTTCTCATCCGGTCCTCCAAAATATAAAGACACTCCGTTTGGTAGAAGTGAATATAAATCAAGAGACGACTATTCTGTCGACGATTTCTGGAGTGAATTTGATAAACCAGTTGAGAAAAAACCTGACATTTTAGACACAATCGAAACCATAGATTTTGAGCACTCGAGGTATTCGTATTTTGTTATTTATTTTTATATTAATTGTTTTTTTTTTAATTAATAGAAGCTCAGAACAAAAACCGAGACAAACATCTGAAAAAGTTAAGACACCGACCACTGATTCCTATGGAAGCGATGCACAGAAAAAGTTTGGTAACGCAAAAGGCATTTCTTCGGATCAGTTTTTTGGTGGTCAACGAGAATCTGAAGTAAACACGACTTTAATTTGATTTTAGGTTGAATTGGTTTACTAAAAAAGTGAATTTTTTATTTATCGAAAAAATAATAGTACGAACAGCGGACAACTATGAACCGTTTCAGTGGATCTAATAGTATCAGTAGTGATGACTATTTTAACCGAAACACTCCACAGAGCTCTAAGTCTTCGTCTTCTTCGTCGTATTCTAATTTCAATGCACCCAATCTATACGATATCAAAGAGGGTGTCCGCGATGGTGTCACACAAGTGGCCGGAAAATTGTCTAATTTAGCCTCTAATGTGATGTCATCGATACAGGTTTATATCTTTTAAAAAACTATTTTTACTGAAAWTAATCTTAAAAATCTTTTTTTTTAATTTTAGGATAAATACGGTGGTTATTAAATGATGTTATAATATTAAGTGTAGGTTTTTTTTATTGAACAAAAAAATATATAAATTATATAATTTTTTAAAAACAAGTGTTGCGTTTTTTCTAATTTCCATTTGTAATAAAAGTTTGGAGTAATTGTCTTTTTTATAAAACATAATTATTGCTAATAAATTTATGTAAATATTTAATAATAATAAAAAAAGTACATGTAAAGTTTATAATTAAATCAATGCCTTAAAGTGTTGAACTCACGCAAAGGATATTAATAATAAAAAAAATATTTTTATAAATATTTTAATTTGTTTTTTTGATGAAATGTGTGTATATTAGTAATCAACTAGTATTAAATGTATATATTATATATATATATATATATATAGGAAACGTTGAAAAATTGGTCCAAATTATAATAATAATATAATCAATTAAAATGTTGATATACCGGTAGTCATCCAATTTGTTTGTCCCAATCAAAAGCTCATTGCATGGGGAGAGTACTTACATCCAAACGACACGTTCGGTGAGTTTGTCTTATCGATCCATACCTTCAAACAATTATAGCAATTTGTTGTAAATGTRTATTAGAAATTAAAATGGATTTTTTTAATGTGATATTATATCATAAATTTATATTAACGGTATTTTTTCTCATTATACTGTAGAAGCAATCTTAATATAAACTCAAAATGGTTTTATAGGTTTTATATACTGATTTTAAAAAATATATTAATAAAATAGTTTGATATTAGCAAACCTTTTCGGTATTATAGTCTGCGGGTCCCGGTTTTGGTGTCTTATCGCCGGGCATTTCTATTCTCGGTCTAAACGAATACATCGGTTGCTTTTGAATTTTGTAGGCCTCGGCTTCGGGAATGTTATAAGCCGTGGGCGACGGCGTTATATCTGATTGTATATCTTTTGGCTGATTTAATGGCAATAATATGTATCGGTATTTATTAATTATATAAATAAATACTTAATATTATATCATATAAAAGTTAGATACAAAATGAGACAAACTTTAAAACCAAATGAATAACTGGGCGCCTGTTTTCCCTTTGCATTATAAATACTTTTTTCTGGTGAATACTGTGTCGGCGATGGAGTATTGAATGGTTCGGGATCTTTGATTTTTGCGCCCACAAAAGCCGCTGGTGTCCAATCTTTACCGATTCGGGTAACTCCTTGAACAGTGTATTCTCCCGGACCTTAATATTTTTTAAATAATACAATTATCCTTTTAAAAAATTAATTCATATATTACTGATAAATTTACAGAATATTCTACACTTTTGAATTATGTCTCTAATTTAATAGATATGTTAACCAAACTGACAGACCTGGTGTCATAATATCTCTTTTTTCTTTTTGTTTTGCACCAAAAGTATAGGCTGGAGATGTCTTTTTCCGGGCATCTCTACTATTTGAACCTAATTATCAGATTAAACAATCAATTTTATTTGAATAATTAAAAAATTCATATATAAATTATTTTTACTGASTGTGATTTTTATTTTAATGATTAAATAAATTAACATTTAATTAATTAGGTTTTAGTAATAAAAAATTAGGCAAACAATGATGTTTATCAAGTATTTGCTGTTAAAATGACTGGTGATTAAAGATTTTGATAAATGCCGCAAATTATATGGTTTTAATATTTAATATATGTTTTGTATTAAATGCTTTTTATTTTTTAAAATAATAATATATATTTTGTATTTAATTGGCCGATAATTATCTTATATAATTTATATGTCATATGATATGTGAAAAAGTAAATAATTAAAGTATAGTATATATTATAATAAATCAAAATCTATTCATTGGATTGCTATGAATGGGGTCTTTAAGCTTAAAAAACAGTGAAACCGGTTTTATTGTATTAATTCTGTGATTTGAAACTCATATTTATCTAACTGTCCATAAAAGGAATCCTAAGGTCTTATTTGTTATGACTTTCGGTTTTATTTAAACAAATCATACAAATAATAATACAGTAAATATATAAATATATTTTTATTTGATGTCAATGTTATTAATAAAAACATCAAACTTTTAATTGATCTATTGTTTGAAAAGAATTTACTTTTGTTTTTTGTATATTTATTTAGAAAATATAGTAATAATAACAATACTACTAATAATATAGTATTACAATAATTTTACAGTAATTATAATAATACAGTAATGTTAGTATAAATTATTAAATTTGAATACTAACCAAAAGTTGAGGGCAACAATACAATAGCGGGACCGGGACTCGAAAACTCGGCCGCTATCGGACCTCTCCTCTATAGTTATCATCAAATTATATAAATATAAATTTAATTATTTGAGTATAAAAAAAATTATATAAATATATAATATTTACTTTAGTCGTTGTCACCGGAAATTGTTGCAAATAATCCTTTCTTTGATTATCATGAATACGACAACCGTTTCCGTTAACAAACTAATTGCACAAATAAATCAAATATAGAATTAATAAAAAAATATTATTTGTATAAAAATATGATTTTTATATAAATTGTGCAAAATTTGTCTAAAATTATATCTTTTTTATTAATTATATACTGTATATATATACATAAACACATAATAATTTAAAATATCCAGCAAAGTAATTAAAATTAAAGCAAACAACAAGATATGTTGAAAGTAACCAAATTTAATAGTTTAGATGTCTATGCAATTTTTAATATATAAAAATTATATAATGGCACTTAATTGCATAAACAAAAATATTTAATATATATCTAAATTTAAAATTAATACTTACTTTTGAAGGCATTGAATTTAGAGTAAAAATCACTATATTTATTATTATTACTATTTTGTAGGTAAAGTTTTACAATTAGTTAAACATCAAAATGAAATTTAAAAACTAAACTCTCCATAAAGTTTAGATGTTTAAACTATATGTTAGATATAATGAGCCCATATTAGAGGCCGAGTACTCAATTGGATGGAACTGTCGATTACTTTTATGGTCTCCCAATCAGTCATACCTATACTATATAGTCTGTACACAGGTTTGTTGAAGGTGTCTGTGAATCAGTAATATTATATATAATTTATAATATAGTTTTTTCATCAAAAAAAAAGTTTTGGGCGTTTTATTCAAAAATTTTAAAGCCTACGCTCTACTAACGTATATCGCAAATAATATGCTGTTTTATAAAACACTGTATTTATTTAATTCATAAAAAATTTCCTATTTGTTTATTTCATTAATAATTTTTTAAGCAAACATTTACACAAATAAAAAACTTTGTAACAACTAATTTTTTCAAGTGGTCTTATTAAAAATTTTAATAGTTATATGTTTTTAGTATTTGTATTATTTTGAAAAAAACTTGTAAAACATCAGTTATTTGTCATTAGATTTTTATTTTATTCAAATAAATGGTTCAAAAATTGAATTTAATTTGTAAAAATTATTATTTATCTAACTGTATGTCATTGATTAGTAATTAGTCTTAAAAATTGTTTATTATTGATAACTATTGTATAATTTAGTTTACTAGTGATAGACATCAATATTTATTAAGATTATATATTAAATAATTTAGTAGTATTTACTAAGTTTTGTCAACTTTATGAAAATGTTGTTAAAACTGTTTGAAAAACTAATTATTGATACATATTATAAAACGAATATTTTTTGAAAACATAAATAAACTGATTATTATGTACTCAAACACTGTTTATGATATAAAATCTATAAATAATTTATTTTAAGCCATAACCATATACAGTAAAAATTATATTTTAGTATTTGATGATTTATATAAAATTCTAAATGTATTACCTAAGGCATGGTTTTTAAATTAAAGTTTATAATAATTAAAAATTTTCTTAAATGTAATAAATAATTAAAAATTAATAATATAATCTCATCTTTACCACCAAAAAAAAACTAATAAATAGAAATAATTTTTACAATTAAATACATATTAAAAATATTACTGTTTGTATAATGAATAAGAGAATTTATTAAAATAAATTTTTAAAATGCAATATATTGCATTATATACTAATTTAAACATATTAACAATAATTGTTGCAAATAATTTTAGTTTAGTTAAATTTAGTAGAAAATATTTTGAAAAAATTTGATTAATTGAAATTAAAGTGTAATATTTAAAAAATAAAATGATATAAACATTATATATAGATTGAAAAACATGAAAGACTGCAAAAACTTTATGTGAGACACAATGACTGTCAAACAAGTGAAATCCGACTTTCAATTATTAATTTTATTAAATCATCGCTTATATAACCAATTTTCATATTCACAAATAATTTATCAAAATATATAACATTTATATTTAGACATATCGTATATAYAGTATATATATATATATATATATWTTTAGAATAAAAAATATATTTCTATATATTATATAAAATAAATAAAATAATTAGTTTTATAACCATAATTAATTTAAATAGAAATATAAATATATATAGCTTGAATTATAAAATAAAATAAATTTTCATCTATTATTTTGATATTATTTAAATAATAATTATTATTGTATAGTTTAGCATAACATTTGATTAGCGTTTTATTAATACAGTATATACTAATATGCTGTACATTATAACTGTAAAAATATACAATAGATTACAATAGATATAAATTATATAACAGAATATAACGATAAACACCAGCAAAAAAATCAATCAAATGCAATGAACTAATGGTCCCTAAAATGTGTGAATCATTGCATTAAATGACAAAATAATAAACAAAATTGTTTTTGTAGTGAATATTATTTATTGAGTGAATGTGTTAACAATTGTTGTCAATTGAGTACTATTTTAGCCAATAGTTTGCCATCAGATTTGATGATTCAATTGAATTGTGTGTAAAATATCTATAAATTTAAACGAAATCAATGGCTGAACTGTTACAGAGATTCAGTGGTAATCCGTTTTCAACGAGTGTCGGCCAAAAAATCGGTAAAAAATCATTTTGTTGTGTGTGTTTGACAACCATTGATAATAACGGTAATACTAACGGTGTGACCGCATATCTGTCCATTCTCTCAGAACAGGCAACCGATGCTTCACTCGACTCGGAAAACTGGGCGCTAAATATGGAAATATGTGACCACATTAACGATACCGACGAAGGGTATGGCTAACGACTGTCCAATTGGTGGCAGAAATTTATGTTTTTTTTTTGTTTTCTCTTAAAACTGATCCTCTTATCTAATCTATCCGATGGACAGTCCCCGGGATGCCGTGCGTGCCATCAAAAAGCGATTACAGCAGAGCTCCGGTAAAAACTTTACGGTCGTTATGTTCACACTTATCGTAAGTGACAACAATTTGATCTTCACATTGAAAAAAACAATAGATAATTATTATATGAAGTTATATGATATATATATTAATTATGCTGTATATCATTGAGCTATTAATCAATGATTTATATTTATATATAATTGTCATATCATTTAATATAACCAATAAATGGTTAGATTTTTTTCTCCAAATATTTCATGCATTACTTGCAATTCATGTTTACCTGAGTTTACAATCAATGATTAGTTTTGTTGTGTTTATTGACAGTAAATTATTTTTATATATATATTGTTTGTTGTCTTTTATTATCACATCATTAGTCGCGTAAATGCAATCAATCAATCAATCAATGAACAGGGATTACAAATTTCCCGTCATTTTTTTGGCTTTAATATTGCAATTATTATTATTATTATTATATAAAATAAATATAAATAGTTTAGTCTTATTATTAGATGCATTCTTATTAATGGTTAAAACTTAAAAAGTAATTAACTTTAAAATATTTAAAAAATAATAATAATTTTATGGTTATTTTAAATTAGATTAAATATTATAGTCATCGATATGTGTATAGAGAGTTAGATACTATTTATAATTATATTAAAATTTACTGATTATATAATAACGATATTATAACTATTAACAAACTAATTAACAAATTAATACCTCATTTAATTAATAAATCATTAAATATTTTTTACTGTACTAAATAAAAAGTGGTTTGTTTTTTCGGTTGAATCGCAAAACATGTTTTTTAACACTTGAATTATACAAATGAAATCAAGCAAAAAGAAATTACCGGTAAATTAACAAATTGTTAAAAATATGATTACATAAGCTTTATTATCTAACATAATTATGCATAAAACTAACTTAATAAACAATACATATATATAACTTATACACAGTATAAGTGCATCAATTTATTATTGATGGGCTATCAAAATGAATTTATTTTGTTGATTATTAATCTTTAATTTTATTAACAACTAAAGTTTTAATTATTATAATATATTAATTGATGTCAAATATTTATTTATAAAAAACTATTGCTTAGCAATTTCATATCAGTCATTGTGTGTTTGATATTTACTATAAAATATTAATATTAACTAATTACACAGATAAATAATACAAATTTTGTATATAACAAATAGTCATAGATTTAATTATATATTAATCATTTTAAACAATAAATATGTTGTAAATTATAGCTTTAATTGTCTTATAAAAAAATACTAAATGTTTGGACTTAAACTTGAAATGAGTTAAATTTATGACATGTATTGTACTGTATTAGGTGTCAACTATTTTTACACTAATGACTATATAGTTATGACAATAGTCTTATAATAGAGTAATTTAAATGTTTATTAAAATAGAAATTGAATTTCTATTTAATAATTCAGTTAATGACAAATASATTACCGTTTGAGTAATAATAATGTTATTTATGAAAATTTAGGTCATTTAGTATTGTCTAAAGACATTGAAAGAAAAAAAGTTTATTAAACTCATTTGTTTATGTATTTTCATGAGTGAAAAGTTAATAATCTTTGTGAACAATAATTAGTGCATAAAATTTTTAAGATTATAAGACACCTCTTAAGGAGTTGTCGTCATTTTGTTGTTGAAGTTTTCAAGTGTTGAAATCTACAGAATCTACTAAATACAGTGTTGTTATTATTATTAATATATATTTGCTTTTTTGTTAAATTAAAAATTTAATAAATTTATTAATTATTTTTGGATTTTGTAATAACTTCTTGTAGGTTCTTGAAGCTTGTGTTAAGAATTGTGGCAAAAGATTTCACATTTTGGTTACAAATAAAGACTTTGTTCAGGAATTAGTCAAACTTATCGGCCCTAAGAACGATCCGCCGACTAATGTTCAGGAAAAGGTTGGATTGCATTCAAATTGATTTAATAATTTTGAGTTTAATTTATACAATTTATTGATTAATTATTTTTAGCAATATTTTTTTAATACATTAATTCATATAAATGATTACATTGAGAGTAACATTGAATTACTCCAAATATATACTTTATATAAAATATGAATGATTTTCTTTAATCGGATTACTGATGCTATTTGATGACTATTATACTGTCTATTGATAGGTATTAAGTTTAATTCAGAGTTGGGCGCATGCATTTAGAGGACAACCTGATCTCCAAGGAGTAGTACAAGTCTATAGCGAACTCAAGAGTAAAGGCATTGAATTCCCAGCGATAGACACTGAGGCTATGCCTCCCATACATACTCCTCAAAGAACCAAATCGGCGACATCTAACAATTCAGAAGCATTTGCATCGACAGGTGCTCACGCTGTCAATACACCACTAAGTACTGCAACGGGTGGAAGTGCTTCGGGTGTTTCCCAATCCCACCCGAAGACGATGCCAACTACTAGACGTGCCATTCAAGGACCGATGCAATTGACTCCGGAACAGTTGGCAAAGTTAAGGAGTGAACTCGATATCGTTCAGTCAAATATGAAAGTTTTCAATGAAATGCTAACTGAATTGACGCCCGGAAGCGAACATAACGACGACTGGCAATTGTTGTCCGACTTGAACGCCACGTGTCAGACAATGCAGACCCGAATTGTTGAGCTCATTGAACGAGTAGCCAATGAAGAGGTGACCAATGAGTTGTTGAGAGTTAACGACGAATTAAATAATCTATTTTTGCGTTACGAGAGACACGCCAAGAAACACAAACCCCAACTACAGTCTCCCACTAATAGAGCACAACAGGCACCACAACAACCATCGGAACCAACTTTAATTGATTTTGACTCTACCGATGATTCAACTGCAGGTGTGACGAGTCGTTTGGCGGATATTCAATTGAGTGGTATTAGCGCAGCCGCTTCCAAACCGGTGGAATCAGCTACTGGTGATCTAGACTTTGACGCTTTCGCTCAGTCGAGATCGACAACCAATAAGGACAATAACATTAGTGACTTGAGTACAGCACAGGTATTTAAAATTAAAATCTAATTAAAAAATATATGATAAAAATTAATTACCCGTAAATAAAATAAAATAAATAATATTTAGGTCCCACACGAACAAGAATTCGACGAAATAGAGAAATGGCTCGAAGATGAGCCGGCAATTGCTGGCAATGAGTTCGACAGGTTCTTAGCCGAGAGAGCGGCAGCCGTTGAGAAACAGCCGCCAAAACCAAACACTGATCAACCAAAACCTGATGATAAAAATCTTTTATAGCTTAATAATTATGATTTGCTTACATTACGCTTATAACTAATTATTATAATAATTTAAATTATAATTATATATCAATTCCTATATTTCAGTATTGATAAGTTATATATATATAACAAATGAGAAATAGTGATTGTTTATTTACCTTTACAAATAATTTCAATTTGTTTATTATTATTATTTGTTAGCTTATATATCTTAAATATATTTATATAAAATTTTATATATTTATTATTATTATTTTAAGCAAAATATATTTTTATTTTTAATTGTTATGGATGAAGATTTTTTTTTGTTTTGTTTTACTAATTGAAATTATTTTTATCATTTGGTGAGCGCATTGAACAGACATTTATTATTAATAATCTTTTTAAAAAATCGTGATTTTGTTATCCAATACTTATAAAAATATATATCAATTGTGTAAAAAAGTCCTTAAGATAACAGTATAAAAGGCTTTCAATTTTAAAAAAAATATTAAACTTAAGATTAATGTTTATTACAGTAAATAACAGTAAACTATATATTTAAAGTATCTTTTTCTAGTGATTTAATCGCCTAATTATATATCATTAATGATAAAAATAAATAATTATATAATAAATGTCAACAATTTATATATACATATATATACTGTACTTTGAAAAAAATAAGAGAAAATACTATTAAATCAATTTTTGTCCAAATGATTGACTCTTATTTAAAAAAATACTCTAATCTTATATAAGAATATGTTTGGTCCACAAGTCATTCATTTCTTCATTGGTTTTGGTAATTGTTTTGAATGAATTGATAGCAATCGACAGTTTGCAAGCAATCAGATGTTTGCAAAACAATACCGAGTCATCCGACAGACCTACGAAAAAAAATCATTGATTGATTGATATTAACTAAAAACGATTCAGTAGTTCCAGCGATAATTCAGTAAAACAATAGTAAAACAACAAAACAATACTTTTTCTGAAGTGATCGCAACTGCAATAATTGGCATCAATTAAGCAGAAGTAACGGCCGGGTCTTGTCTTAGACTTTTCGCCGGACTCTACTTGATATATGTGTCGACTATTAGAATAGGAAGAAGAAGTAGATTATCAACAAATGGGATGGCATTTGATTTGTGGTCACAAATGTTAATTATATACCAATTATTGTTTGACACAATTTTGCTAACATTGTCACTGTCGAGCAGTTCCAGTGCTTCAATCATTTCGGTATCAAACAGTGCAACCAAACTGTCATTTATATGGCAAACAATTTTCAAGAAAAAGAAGAGAAGACAACAAATTATTTAATTAAATAATAATTTTTTTGAACCAACTTTTCCATGACTTCGTCCGCTACTTCACAGCAACAGGTGATCCAAAAAATTAGAAAATAAACAAAACATTTAAATGTCTTCAATATATTGATGTCATTAAACAAAATAATAATAATTACTTACTTTTGTTGTCATTTTTGACAATCTTCTCGATGAGTACTTCGAGCAACTGTTGGACACAGTTTGATGTCATCGTCGGTCACCACTTCTTCTTCTTCTTGAGTCAACCACTGATTAATGAGTTCTGTGTTCAATACATGACTCGAAACAATTGGCGCCTCTTTTTTGGTGATGTCTTGGATGACGTCATTCATGTCTTAGACGTCACTCAAGTATTTGAGTCAATGTTTACACTGATATCAAGTGATCACTTGAAGACATCAATTAATTAACTTAAATATATCATCGCTTCGGTTGACATACTATTGTCATTTGATTGTATTTTGACAGACATTCAGTCAAGAAGTGTATCCAAACTGAGTGCCACTGGACTGAAGCAATCAGTGGTTAATTGTGTGGTAATGTCCGGCATCAGTGACCACAAGACGGTCATCTCAGGCGGGGTTTGTATTATTGTTTTGTTTTTATCCATTTCTTTGAGTTGATTATCAAACTAATTGATTCATACAAATGACAGAACAACGAGTATTGTAAGCTTAATGTCGGCGGAAGTCTTGTAAGTGTCTCATAAAGACTTATTGTTAATACTATAGACCAATGATTTAACACGAATGATGTCTTCCTCTATGTCTTCAGCACTACACTACAATCGGGACGCTTACCAAAAATGACTCAATGCTTAGGGCTATGTTTAGTGGAAGAATGGAAGTACTAACTGATTCTGAAGGTCTTAAATCATATATTTTTTAAATATAAATCTTAATATAACTTACTGTATATCTGAAACTTCTTTCAACATTTAGGTTGGGTTTTGATCGACAGATGTGGTAAACATTTCGCCACAATTCTTAACTTCTTGAGAGACGGTTCTGTTCCGTTGCCAGAATCGCAACGTGAACTCATGGAACTCATATCCGAAGCTAAGTATTATTTGATCCAAGAGTTAATCGACGCCTGTGAGAGCCAACTGTCACTGTGGAAGGAACCGACCGCTTCCGAACCTATCTGTAGAGTTCCTGTATGTTTTAAATCACATCTGCGGTTAAATTTATGATTTAAAATAATTAATTTTTAAAAATTATTATATTTTATGAACAGCTGATCACTTCAGCTAAAGAAGAGGCTCATCTGATAAGCACAACGAGTAAACCAATAGTAAAGCTACTGATCAATCGCCACAATAACAAGTATTCGTATACGAGTACATCCGATGATAATCTACTTAAGAATTTAGAGCTATTCGATAAACTGTCGCTTCGGTTCAGTGGTCGCGTCTTATTCATCAAAGATGTCATTGGAAGCAATGAAATCTGTTGTTGGAGTTTCTATGGTGTGTTTCAGTGATTGTTTTCAATGATTTTATATTCATATTTAACGATTATTATCTATTTACCCGAAGGTCACGGCAAAAAAGTGGCCGAAGTTTGCTGTACTTCAATCGTTTACGCGACCGATAAGAAACACACAAAAGTACAATATATAAATTTATATATTAAAACATTATTTTATAAAGTTTTTCAATTTATTTTTTGGCCATTTGTTGTTGACATTAGGTTGAGTTTCCCGAAGCGCGAATATATGAGGAGACTTTAAATATATTGCTTTACGAGAACCGCACGGGACCTGACATGGAGTTAATGCAGGCGACCAGCACTCGGGGCGCCGTTAGTATGCAGTCGCACACAAGCGATGATGAAGATGAACACAACCGGAAGAGTGGCTCTTCAAGTGGTAAAGAGAAAGACCATCACATCGGAAGAATTCGCAGCACTAAACAAAACAATTGAATAATTTTTTTATTAAGAATTTATTATTTTATATTTATTATTATTATTTACGTAATGTAATTATAATTAATTGGTTTTTTATTAGATAATCTACTATATAATTAAGTAATTATTTTAAAATGATTTAGTGAGCCGACACACAGTTATGTTTTAAGGTGTAATTCCTTAAGACATGAGATTTTAATTAATGAGTTGATGTTTATAAACTCAGAAATTATATATATATAATGTTTTTAAATATATACAGTATATATAAATTATTTCAATTGTAATCAAAATAATAATTAATTAAATGTCATAAAAATGGTTTTAAGAGATCGGGTTTCGGGTATTTAGGGGTTTCAATAACATTTGGTCCGAATTTAAACTCAAGAAATTGTCGCCAATTATTAGGTACGGATGCGTTGAAACCGATAAAAGAAAGCTTTTCTAATGGAAGCAAATAATGTTCAGGAAATTCACAATCCTGTGGATGTGAGTCGAACCATGTATTCTTCGTCATCGTTCCATTCCTCGAGTAAAAAGGAAAGACATCGACGTGTAAGCGATTGCTTTGACTGAAGTGTACTCTATAGAAGTCTCCCTCCGAAGCTTTCTCCCAAACAAATCCTTTGCTGTCGACTATTGGATCCGATTGTGGAAAGAATGGACATTTGACAATATCTTCTCTGTAAATACCGATATCAATATCGTAATCCCAAGGAATGATATGTCCATCTCTGGCGGCGCCCAATAGAGAGCCGCCTTCTAACCAATACCTCACTGAATATGACTCGAGTACTTGAAAGACGTGTCGACCAGTTTGGGCCAAATTGTCTAAACAACAGACAGGTGTCCATCGATTTGAAAATAAATAGTCCGGCATTTCATTGATAACAGTCGGGAAACACCTTTGCGTATGTTTTCCGCATCCAAACCACTGAACCACTCCTTGAGAATCAATCAACTTTTTGACGCCAATCAAAGCAAACAATTGTTTTCGTCTCTCTTCTGACCACATCTTGTGCTTCCATTGATTGCGTTCATTTGTAAGGAACAGTTGTCGGCCTTTGGTTACAACATTAGAGCTGAAGAGATTAACTTTAATGTCTCTAACTTTGCATTGAATGAAAAACGACTCAACAAATGGTCGATTAAAAGGTTGGTTGAGTTCAAGTAAATCAGTCTTTTTGATCAAAACGGCATAATTGTTGCCAATAAAGGCATCACAAGAAGACATTGAATCCATTTGTCGGTATTGTAAAGTCCATCGTTTTATATCAAAGTTTATTAGAAGACATCGATTGTCGACAAAATCGTCGGAAGAAATAGGAAGAACAAGTGCTGTCCTTTGTTGTCGTGAATTTAATTTATTTAAGTATTTGATTGAACTCCAGACCTGATGTCGGGATCCGATTCGTACAGAATCGGGAACTATCATAACATACGGACTCTCTATATAAGTCTCGACTCGGGATTCGCTTAAACTCTTATTAAATTGAAAATCATTGACAATAAACTTGATGTCACAGTTATTGACCGCATGTCCATTGATTGGCCACTCGATCGGCGGATAAATGACTCGTTGAGAGATCACTAGTATTGTGTTGATTGTCGACAAACCGCACAACGAGTCCAGTGTTGCCGTCAAATCATTTTCAAACCATTCAAACTCATTGATAATAAATGTTATCTTATATTCATTTTGGATCATCTGTTGCGTCCAAATGTCGTCATCGATGTCCACATCTTCACTGTTAAGCAGTAATTGTGACAACAAATGGTTTGCGAGTAAAACAATAAACCAATAGATGAGACAAACAAACAAAAGTAGTTTTACTATGAATTTAATGTTGAAATTCATGTAAATTATTCAATAATTTTTTGTCACAAAATATTTTTAATTAACAACAAAATTGTCATCAAATTATTGTTCATTATATTTGATTAAATTGTTGGACACTTCAAAAAATAGTTTTTTTTATATATCATTAACAAAAATAATTGACAATCAGCTGATCAGTTAAATACAGTATTAAATTTATGACAACATTGTTGTGTGCATTGAATTCAATATTTTGTTTTGATATTAAAAAAAGTTAAAAATATCAAAATGCAAACTTAATAACACTATATATTTAATAATTAGTGTAAATATTTTTTTTGAATAAAATTATTTTCACAAATTGTGTGTTAGATTTTGAATTATCTAACAATGTATTAATTATTTATATGAAAATACAATTATATAGTAAATTGTTTAACCAGTACTAATGTACAGTATTATACAGTACTGTAATGTTTAGTTTTGATAGTTTGAAAATAAATAATGATCCCTGGTTGATTATTTAAAAGTAATTTTATTTTATTAATATTTTAGTAAAATTAAATTAGAAAATAAATGACAATTGAGTGGCAAATAATTTATATACAGAGCTTTAATCAACTATTTATTGAAATCTGGATTTTTCTTTAATAAGACGAACCCTTCGAGCACTGGAGTCAATGGTATGTACTCATCAGTGGCCAGTTCTGCTCTTTCACCCAATGCTAACAATACGGGTGTCGTATGTGTCTGGAAACCGGTTATTGTTTTAGGTTTTCCTGCCTGTCCAACAACATCGACGGCCTGTCCTACTCTGACGGGAACTGGTAGTGGATTCAGCTCCTCATCCAATGTGATTAACATACGCGGCTGTATTGCGGTCACCAAATAATAAAGTAAATAATGTGACTTAACAATAGTCGACTTGACATCTAATAGGCTTATAATTGTGGCCAAAAGTCCGGCCAATGCGGTCGGCATAAGAAGGTGTCGGTCAGAATTGAATGGCGATAGAGTGAGTGTACCCTTTCCCAGATGTGTCAATCCCTGTGCAATCCTAACCATAAACAGACAGTTTTGTTCTTTGGCGTGATATTGAGCCAACTGTCTCAACATTGTGGCCAATCGGGCATTATTAGTACCGGCACCCACTAAACCCATAGCAAAGATAGCATTGCAGGCCACTTCTGTGTCCGAGTCGTGACTGAATTTGCTGAGTGTCTCCAAAATATTAAGTTTTGGATTTGATATAGAAGTCAGAGCTAATGCCAACGGAACAGCTCTTTTAATCATAGGTTCGCCGTAACGTAACAAATGACCAAAAGTTCTGAACGCCATTTCGCAGCTGACATCTTCTGCCATCGCTATTAAACCGATACCAATGGTTGCAACCGATTGTTGCCACGACATGTCAGTTGTTGTTTCACTTTTGTTTTTGTCGTCTTTTTTCTTGTTTTTATCATTTCCTTGTTCTTCAGCTTCTTTTTCGGTTTTTTCAGAACAAATGTGAAGCAAACTCTGTATTTTCAGTACATTACCGGTGGCCGCATAGGCGCAGACATCGACCAATGCTTTAGACAATGCCTTAAGCGATGGATTTTGAATAATCTCGAGCGCGGCTTCAATGGCGTCAGAACTTTCCTGTTTGCCTAAATAGCACAAACCTAATGCCAGCGGAAGAAACCTCACGAAGTTGTCCTTTACATCCAAATCGGGTTTTTCAATAAACACTTGCATTATGTTTTGAGTGACGTCTGCATTACCCGAACCGACAGCAATTAAACCGCATGAAAGCGCTGTCACTCCAATCACTTCAGTCGATGATTTGCTATCAGAGAGAACAGGCAATAATACAGAGAGAACATCACTGCGATTGGATCCAGAATAGGCTAATCCTAAACCAATTATTGCACCAATTCTTAGAGCCATTGAATTGTTAGTCACATAATCGACAAGAAGAGCGAGAGCCGGATCGCATTCGTTACGGACACCACAGTTGACAACACCGCAGGCTAACAAAGCGCCGGCCTTTATGTTATCTTCAGCTGAATAAAGATATTTATCAATCTGTGCGAGACCTCCGTCCACATCCCATAGCAATATAAGACCCAAACTGGCCGTTGCGCTCAACATTCCGTGATCTTTATTCTTGTAAAGCCATTTGTTGCCGTCTTCGCACAACAGAATCTTATCTTTACCGAAGGCCGCATTGACGAACCCGTTTACAAACGATGAGGCCAAGTTGGCTCGGGCAGAGTCCGGGCCACCGCCRCCACCGAATGTTGGCCGAGTAGTGTTCTCCAAATGTGTTTTATATATATCGTCCGGTGTTTTTGGCTCAAGAATATCCAATTCTCGTCCCAATTGCAAGAAATGAGTGTTCAGTTGAGTGTTTGAAATAATTTCGATCAGATCCTGATCTTCAATTTCATCCATTAAAAAGAGCTGTTGTCTGCCAATCATAAATGACAATTGTTTCTGAAGCACCGGATCGGGACATTGTTTAAAAATGGCGACAATTTGTTTCAAATCATTCAATTGCATCGCCAGACGTAAGGCTTCACTATATTTATTAAACTTCAAGAATATAGTCAGCGCTGTCTTCAATAGAGAGGTGTTTTCCGGGTCGGGTACAAATGGTACACAACTTGTCAAATATAGACATACTTTTTGACACAAATCTTCGTTATCAATATATTCTTGAAGGAGTTCTAGTTTTTCGATTTCCATTAAAAGATCGGCCGCTTCTGATTCAGCGTTATGTAACATATTATACGGTACTATGTCTTGAACTAACTCTAAAAGCTTAGCCTTGCGTTCATCGGTAACGCTATCCGATTGCCATTCGATAGCAATTTCACCCGACAAATGTCGGACATATTCGTGACCCCACGAGCCGATCGTTTCGTGGCTACCGATCAATCGAAACTGAAGTGCTTCGCCGCTAGTATTGACCGAATCGGTTGGTGGGATAGTCATGGCCAGAATGGACACAATGTCGGCCATAAATCGTTTTGTGTCTTCAGTTGGCATTTCATTATACAAATCTTTGAGTGTTTGATAGTGCGGTCGCAAAAACTTCAACGGTTTGGGAACCGATGTCATAGAAGTGGTGGCACTTTTAATGTGTTGTCGCAGCGCTTCCAATGCCGGCTTATAGAGTGTCTGATCGGATTCTTTGAGTCGTTGAACACACAGTTCCAGTTCGTCCTGAAGTTGTTTGTCTTCTTCAGTCAAATCCATTTCTTTGTCTTCGATTCCATTCTTTGCGTTTTTCGCTTTTTCTTTGTCCACCACTTTGTCAGCCGTCGGTAGTTTTGTCTCCTCTTTGGTTGTCTTGTCCTTCATATTGTTGTCCAACACAAGTGCTGATCAATTGAATCAAAATAAGTGGACAATCGATGATTTGTTTAATGTCTTCACAAAAAGTCAATTCAATTAATGGTTTATAAATGTATTGAAATAAGTGTTGAAATAAGTGCTGATTCACTAAACACTAAACACTTGTATTATAATGTAAATGACAATACAGTAAATACAAGTACTCAACAACTATTTGGTACTTTTTATGATTACGTTACTAAATATATATAATATACACGAAATAGTACATATCGTTATAGTTGCCGACACTTATTTTAATGACAAACCCTAAAAGCGCTAAAATTTAATTTAATTATTATTACTATTTCTTAATGTTTTAACTAAAAAAATAAAAATGATAACCAATTATGCGGTAATCGTTGTTATGGATAATAAAAAAAATAAAATCAAAGAATAAAACAAAATTAATGATTATTTATCAAAACAAATGATAATATAATAATAATTGCATTATTGTCTAAACGCGTGCATCGCGTGAGAGAACAATACTTTTCGGCTGAAAATTAAAAAAACTTTTCAAATGATTGCTTGTATTCGATAAGTAATTCTTCTGTTGACAGATTAGTGTCCACAACTGATCCCTGAAGTCATCGGTTCAGTGATTGCTTACAATTTGTGATTTTTTGTCTATTTAAAAGATTAAGCATTTATTCAACAAAAAAAGTTGAGACAATTTTTCAATAGGAAAGTAAAGTAATAATTCCGGTGCTATTATACCCAAAGTATAGGAACCGTTAGTTTTTAAAAGACCACAACAACAACAATGACTTCAGGACCAGTTTCATCGATGGCCTCGCTATATGTTGGCGATCTCGAGTCAAACGTTACCGAAGCTATGCTTTTCGAGAAATTCTCAGCAATAGGTCCGGTGTTGTCCATACGTGTCTGTCGCGATCTGATGACTCGTCGCTCTCTGGGATATGCGTACGTCAACTACCAGAACGTATCGGACGCCGAAAAAGCCATCGAAACGATGAACTTCGATGCACTCAAAGAGAAACCTTTGCGTATAATGTGGTCACAGAGAGATCCTTCGCTTAGAAAGTCTGGCGTCGGTAATGTGTTTATCAAGAATTTGGACAAATCTATCGATAATAACGTATTACACGACACGTTCTCCACGTTTGGAACCATTCTCTCCTGTAAAATAGCACAAGACTTGCATGGGATCAGTAAAGGCTATGGATTTGTTCACTTCGCCACTGAAGAAGCGGCCACTAATGCCATTAATAAAGTCAATGATATGCTATTAAATGGCAAAAAAGTATTCGTCGGCAAATTTATACCGAAAACCGAAAGACTAAARTTAGCCGAAGAAACTGCCAAACGATTTACAAATATTTATGTCAAATACTTGACTGAAGAATATAACGACCAAATGTTGAGAGAACTGTTTCAGTCGTTCGGCAAAATAATGTCAACAAAAGTGATGATCGACGACAAGACCGGAAAAAGTCGATGTTTTGGATTTGTGTCGTTTGAATCTTCAGATTCGGCTCAGAAATGCATCGAAGAGTTAAACGGAAAGAAAGAGATGGCAAACGGGAAAAAGCTTTACATAAATCGGGCGCAGAAAAAGGCTGAGAGACAGGAGGAACTAAAGCGTCGGTTTGAAGAGTTAAGACAAAAACGTGTCAATCGATACAAAGGAGTCAATCTATACGTCAAGAATTTGAACGAAGACTTTGACGACAAGCGTTTGGCTGACGAGTTCTCGACATTCGGTACAATCAAATCGGTTAAAGTCATGTGTGACGGCACAACTGGCCGATCGCGAGGGTTTGGTTTTGTTTGTTTTTCAGCGCCAGAAGAAGCACAGAAGGCTATCAATGAAATGAATAACAGGATTGTCGGCACCAAACCATTGTATGTGGCTTTCGCTCAAAACAAAGAGGAAAGAAAAGAATTATTGAACGCACACTTCATAAATAAGACTAATTCAGTGCTGAGAGCGGAACAGATACCGACACCGATGGCCCACTCACACCATCCGCCACAACTGCCTTCGCATCCGCATCTCTTCAGCGCTGCCATCAATCCGGCTGCCGCTGCTATGGCCTACGCGGCGAACCCGGCTATGGCTTTGAATGCGTTCGGCGGACACAGAATGTCATCCAATTCATGGAATGATATGAGACGCGGCAGACGTATTAAGTTTTATTAAGACATTTTCATTTTCGGCAATTGTTTCGCTTTTAAATTTTTCGTAAATTGCATTCAATTCATTACTTTTATTTATACTTTTAATTTATATATATATATATATATAACTTTTATTTACTTATTTAAGCTTAATTTATTTGATAATTAATATTTAATTACTTTTTAATAATAATAATACTCTTTAATTATATTATTAATTAATTAATATTATATATAAAAAATACTTATAATTTATAACATTTTGTATAGTTGTTTCTCTTTTTTGTTCATTTGTTTCATTCAATTAAATATAAAATTAAATAATACTATTGTATAAAAAATAATAATATTAAGTATATTTAAAATTATATAAATACTAAAAAAATTTTTACTATTATTAAAATACATTTATAAAAAATATATATAAATATTTGTCATCAAACTTGTGTCCATTGAGTGGGAGGTGAGAATCGATGTGAATGAGGGGGTCGGGTGACAGTATGTGAGCCTAAATAGGATAATAATATTACCGTAATAATAATAGTGTTAAACTTTACCGTACTATTGAATGAGGGAAAGTAGTGTACAGTACATACCGGTGACATTATTAGTAGATGTGCTGTGATTTAGATTAGTATTTGATTTACTTTTAGTCGACGATTTTATTTTGAGTCCTCTAAAAGCATTGGATAACTTGGACCCGAAAGTACCCGAAGTTGACTCCTGTTGTGTTGCCGTCGGAAGATTAGAAGTACTGTTAGCTGTTTTCTTCTTCATCGACTCGTTCTTATGGTTTGACTTAGTATTCAAATTATTGGTATTCTTCTCTTTTTTCTCCATTTTCTTACTCTTTTTAATTGAATTCTTAATATTATCGGGTTTTTCAATATTATTCGCTAAATTATTTGTAATTCTCTCAGTGTTTGACTTAATATTTGGTTCACTTTTTGTTTTACTTAGATTAACATTATTCTGATTATTATTACTATTACTGTTAACATTGTTATGATTATTAACAATGTTTGGATTGGCATTTGAATTCAAGTTTGGATTTGGATTAGTGTTGGCATAAATTGATTCAAAATTTGGCTTAAATTGTGGAAATGGATGAAGTTGTGTAATAGGCACAGGTATGTGACGCAAATTGGGAACAGTCATAAAACCATGTCTGCCGTAAATGCTATCATAGAATGGTATGGTTTGGTTGAGACCCGGATTTCTTAATTTCATAATATCATAATAGGAATGTATGTTTTGATTGTGTGTAACATTTGGCACTCCATTATTATCAACCGGTAATTGTTGTCCTCTTCTATATTTAGGTAATACTGATTCATATATATTATTATTGGAAACATTTAATACTTTTATGGTATTGTGTGGATTCAGATTGAAATTATTAAAGTTATCGATATTATTAGTATTGACTATAAGTGTGTCCGACATGTGTGCTCTTTGACCGATTTGTTCGTAAATGTTTGTCTGATTCATATTTAGATCATTTGGTTGACGTCTGGGAAGGGCTACAGAAACAATGAGTCTGCCCTCTGAGGTATTAGGCAGTGAAGCAATTGATCCATCGAGTAGATGATGGTACTGATATGTGCGCGGAGGCTTCGGAGGAGGTGGTAATGGCTGATTAGGCGGTCGTGACGGCAATGATTGGTTTGGTGGTGGAGGCAGTGATTGAGTGTTGCCATTGTTGAGTGACATTTGCATCGATGGTGTCATTTGATGCTGAATCTGTGTCTGCGAAGACATTTGTGGATCAATTTGGTAGACATTAGTGGCAACTAATTGCGTCTGCATTTGTTGAGCAGCACTTTGTTGAACGGATTGCAACTGTTTTTGTTGGATGTGTTGACGAATCTCTTGTTGCAATTGTTGATGATTTTGATGAAACAATTTCTGATCGTTTAATATAGTAAATGATTGTTCAATAAATTGTGGTCCACTGTAATGATGATTATTATTRGAAACCATTTGTGTATTATTATTATCCATTGATTTGTTTAGTTCATTAACAGAACTAAAATCATTATAATTTGTTTGATGACAATCATTGACAACATTTGTATTTTGATTATCAATTTCTAATTGATTCTGTTGTCTCATTTGATTATTATAATCACTATACAAACCATTGGTTTCAATCATAGATCTACTATTTCTTGATTTTTCTTGTTTAATACTTTGAGTTCTATTCAATGAACTATTGGTCGATCGCGACCTCACAACCACTGGAGTCATGTCCTGACCTGAACTTGGATTTTGATTTTCAAATATGGCTTTTAGTTTTGCAATACTTGGACGGCGTATAACAGTTGCCTTTCCTACCAGTCTTTGGTGTCGCACTTCATCACCACCTGATGTGTGAATACTGTTGGCAACAATGGATGGCATTCTCTGTGGCGATGGCTTTGTGTTGATGTTTGACTCATTCGACGTCGACTTCAATGAATCGTCAACTATAGGATCAGTTAACAATTGCAGTCTCATCAGTGGTTCTCCATCGCCATCAATGTTCTCATATGTGTGCGAATCAATCATTTTTAACTGCTGTTCAAACAGTGTGGACACAGCTTTATAGCACAGTATGTACTGCTCTAATGTCTGAACCATTGCTATCCTTTGTTTTCTCATATCTCGTATTATTGAATATAAACTAAAATCTAAAAAAATGAAAGAAAAACAATTTATTATTTATATTAATGACAGTAAATATATATATATATTATTATGACTTTTAAAGCAAACCTTCTCTGAGTTTTCCAGTCCTGAGAAGAGCCCAAACATAATCAATACTACATAGAGTACCGGTTCGGCCGCAGCCGGCGCTACAGTGAATAAGTATGGGTCGAGTTTCGGAGATCTGTACGTCACGCATGAGACGGCATAACTCGAGTATGGGATGAACAGAGTTAGGCACTCCGTGGTCGGGCCACGTCTGGTAATGAAACTGACAAACAGTCCGGTCTTTTGAATCGGCAGTCACTTTAAGAGTACGAACGAGAAAATCAGGACAAACCTGACGCCATTTAACCAATTGAACTGATTGTCAATAAAAAAAATATTAATTCAATTTATCGGTAAATGAAATCATTTATTCATTGATTCATTCATTCAATTGACAAACCGGTAATATTTCCGTATTGTTGCGGTTCACTGCTATCTTCGGGCCAATAGGACTCGCATTTATACTTTCCTCCCTCTCTCTCATTACAGGCCATCACAATGACCGACACATCCGATTCCCACATCATTCTCCAGAAGTCTACTAATGTGTTAGGCAGTGGTCCTTGACTTGCGATGTAAGCTCGTGGAGACCCAGAGGCGCCCTTTACGTAATTGGCGTTCATGTAGTCCGAACCGGGAACTCCTGGGTATTCTTCAAGTATGACTCGGCTGTGATCGTCTTTGGCATTAAAAAACAAATTTTTCAATTAAACAAATAAAACAATAATCAGTAAATTAATGGACATTACAAGGAAGTATGTCTTTGTAGCGATTTTTACGTCGATTGACATCATTTTCTCCTTCATCTGATCCACAATTTGGATCAGTCTTCAGTTGTTCTGTTAATTCTTTGAGTGTCTGAAATTCTTTACGATATAAACAAATGGATTCATCGCTGGTTTCGATCGCCAATCGATGTCTGGTCTCAAGTGTCTCGAAATGGTTGAGAAAATGTTGTAAAAGTGACTTAAGTGGCGCCGATTTGACCATCGCTTATGACTTATTTTGTTTTTTGGTGGACACCAACTATGAGACCAATTATAAGTGTGTTATTTGGGCGAAGATGTCTTAATAGCCATCAATTGATGGTAAAACCAGTTGTATCTGTGTTTTCACTTAAATGAAGTCAACAAAAGAGTATTGTTTTGAACGTTAAGTCTCTCTCTCTCTCATTGAGAGAGCAATCAATGCTATGCTATGTATTAATACAATAACACAATAGTTGTAACTCTAATGCAGTGAACCAGTGATTGAGTGATCAATGAATGTGTACTCCATTACACACATTCCATGCATTCCATTGACGTGTTGTCAGCCAAACCTCAATATTGAATTAATGTCACGTTTGTTGTGTATGAGACACAAGACATATTCAAACCAACTTAAAGCTGCGTTCACACGGACAAAATCTAAGTAGACTTGACTTAAGTTTTGGTGTTCACACATTTACTTACTTGAGTTACCTTGACTTAACTCAAGTATAGTAGTGACAAGTAAGTTTAATTAAGTACAGTGTGAACACACGAGACTTATAAACTTAGCCAATCAGTGTTAAGTATAATATGTAAATATTATTATGTTTTAAATGCCTGCTTCGCTGTCTAGCAAAAATATTACCTTTAAATTGTTTAATAAATAAAAATTAATTATTTTTTGTCTAATTTTTATAATTAACATCAAAATTAATAAAATAATTTCAATAATTTGATTAATTTTTATAAAATTAAATAAACTTAAGTGTGGCAATGTGAACACATGTTACTTGAAACTTGACTTGAGTACAAGTCAAGTCTACTTGGATAAGCATTAGTGTGAACGCAGCTTTACTGTAAATACAACACTGTTTTCAATATTAATACAAACATTGAATACAATATGTTATTAATGTATATATTATGTAATACTATGCTATCAAACAATACAATAACCAAAAAGTATTAATCAATTGATTGTAATCTTTGGTTAACTTTAGTTAACAACAATTTAATCGTCAATTGATTTGGTGGTAATAATAATACAAGACTCGCCACACAATGAATCCATTGACGTAAGTATTAATTTCTTTGTTGTTATCTCAAGAATTGGTCAAACATAAGATGGGATTTTTAATAAAATGATGTTTTATTCTTCTTCTGCAGAAACGTCAAGAATATTACAAAACTGAACGAAACGGAGCTCAAGATGGGAATCGATTCGAAGAACTCGTGGCATAACATGTATTCGCAGAGCGCCTGGATCTTTGTCGGTGGTCTTAATTATGAACTCAGCGAAGGCGATGTCATTACAGTGTTCTCGCAATACGGAGAAGTGGTTAATATAAATCTAATTCGCGACCAAAAGACTGGCAAATCTAAAGGTTTCTGTTTTATCTGTTATGAAGACCAAAGAAGTACGATATTGGCTGTCGATAACTTGAATGGTATTAAACTATTAAATCGGACAATACGTGTAGATCACGTGGAAGACTATAAGATACCCAAAGAACATGAAGACATGGATGAAATGACAAAAAAATTGCATAACGAAGGATGCGCTCCTGAAGAAGTGATTGTCAAACCTGAAGATGAAGTGAAACAGATTTTTGAAATTAATATCAATGTCAAGAAAGAAGGCAAACATCGAAAACGAAAGCATAGTAAACATAGGAGATCTTCTTCAAGTAGTTCTAATCATTCATATTCATCATCGAGTTCTTCGTCATCCGATTCTAAGCGAAGAAAACGTGAATCAAAATCAAAAGATAAACGAAAAGAAAAGAAGAATAAATTAAAACAAACGAATGATAGACGTTATGACAGTTATAATAGCAATAATAATGGCTATAAAAGTGATTTCAAACATTACGATACCTCAAAGTCATCGAAATCTATTAGACATAGAGATGTTGATCGCAAGTCAAGAGATGATTATAAATCGAGACACGATTATAGACATTAAGAGATTACGATTGTTTGATTGATTTATTTTATTTATAATTTTATTCATCAATAAATAATACCCTAAAAATACTGTATATCATTCAATAAAAAACACCTAAAATACTACATATAAAAAAATTATAATCAATAAATCATTTTTATTTTATAAAAAATAATCGTAAAAATTATGGTAATTAAAATTATCAAAGAATTAATTAAGTATATCATTGAATATTGTTGATGCAGTGATTGATTAAATGCAGATTTTTTAAAAAGAGAAAATAATTAAGAATATAATTAATGTGGCGATCGATCAAAGAGTCATTTAAAAACAAATCTAATGAACGTTAGGCGCGATAACCATTGGCTCTACCGAAGCCACGCGATAATACCTATTGATATTAGTAATAATAATAGTATTTATCATCAAATGTTTACTTTTTGATATTTTCCCAAATAGTGTAATCTATTAAAATACTTACTTATCGTTACTATATTTGGTTTGAATGGCCTGTTGCGGGTGTTTAGCAGCGAAAGCATGCATTTTGAGAAGCGCTTCGATACATCTCTTACGGTCAGCCAATAAGGAGACCACACTTCCGCCTTTCAAGTCGTTTTCATAGCTAAGCGAGTCTTGAATGAACTTAGCGTTTATCAGTTGAGGAAAGCCTAATGTGTGCGCCGATAGAATTATGCAGCAAATGGCGATCTCACTCGGATAGAAGCGGAGGAATGGTTCACTTTCGAGTAGAGTTAGAAAACATAAGTACTAAATAAAATAAGATAATTATTATAGATATTATATATATAACAACATTTGTAGACATATATATATATACTTTTGCCAAATACTTGACATTACTGATCAAATCTAACTGAGTCAACARTTTTTCGACAAAATAGTAAGTAGTGGGCGCCGAGATCTCGAAATCCAAAGCCTATAATATATATAATAACAATATATATAAATATATAAACTATTTATTAATGTTATAAATATATATAAATTATTTATAAGACGACCTTAAGTATGAGTTTCTCCATATTGAGGATCTGGTGTTTGGTATAGGAATCGTCAGTTATGTACACAAATTCGCTCAAATCTGGAGGATATATCTCTTCATATTTCGAAGCAATAAATAGTGCAGCCGTTCCTACAATCAGTAGATTCAAACAATTTATTTTGGTATTAATTTTTTAGTAACTTTTTATACCTAATAATTGAAAACTTTGCCTTGAAATGGACATATGCGACAAAAACCTAATATTTAAACAAAAAAAAATTTAGTTAAAACTTTTGAAATAATTTAGGAATAATATTCAGTTATACTAAATTAAACCCAATTATACCTATCGATGTAATTAACGGCAAAAAATAAAGTTTGGTCGTGAAGTTTGTACTCTTCGGTTACTTCAACCATCCAATCGATTAAAATGCTTCTCATTTTGGCATTAATTTCTGGTTGTTTACTGATATAACACGGATCGGCCATACATTTCCTCTCAATAAACATCAAATACTTATGGATCTCTTCCGCGTATTCTTTGCATCGCGAAAGAGCCGTCGCGTCAAATGTGTTTGTAATGAGTTCCGAGTTTTGCTCTGAAGTGGATTCGTCCTCCAGTTCTTCTTCATCTGATTCCAAATCTAAACTCTCTTCGCATTTGACTTCACTGTAATGGAAAGCTTGAATAACTGCTTCTTCAATGGCCAAAGAATTTTCAGTCCTTTCTGATAACATGTGATCAGTCAAATCCATGTCTTCTCTGTTCTCGTCATTTTCTTCCTCCTCCTCTTCTTCTTCTTCATATTCATCATTCATTTCCGAGTCCTGCGATTCATCGCAGAAAATCTCAAAGTCTGACGACTTGTGTGGCGGCAAAACAGGATTAATCTTAACGGTGGCATTGCTTGGCTTCACCACATTGGAAGTGTTAGAAGTCTTGAGGATATTGCCATTTGAGGTATTCTGAGTCCATTGTTTTGTCTGCAGAGCCAATGGTTTGCCTTTTGCAGCGACGTTAGGCCTCAAAACATTGGGAAGTATTGGTCCCAATATTCGCCTTTCCGTCGCCTTATGATTAGCTTTATTGGCCATCAATTGTTGATTTTCATCATTGATTGTTGTCATCATCAAGTTTTCATTAGTTATTTGAGCCATTGTTTTGGATCAATCAGTGATTTGAATCAAATTAATTATTAAGAGATCAATTATAAAAGATTTAACAGAAAGGAAAAATCGGTGGATAATTGTGTGACAAATATTGTAATAATAATTATATGAAATTTGTTTAACGTATTGTTGGCTATTATATAATGATTTATTAACAATTGTTTTTTGAATTAATGAGATTTGAATAAAACAATTGCAAGCGATTTAAAAAAATAATAACAAATTTTGTTTAAAAAATAATAAATTAATTAATGGTTTTTGAATGTGAAGTGAATAATGAGTTAAACAATTGAAAGTAAAAGTGACTGTTATTTGTTTTAAATAAATTAATTAATAATTTTGAGATAAAATATATAATCAATTGTTTGGTTTCATTGAATACACAAATAAAATAAAAGTAAAAATCGGTTTAAAAGCCCATAAAAACAACACTAATTTAATAGTGACTTATATTTGTCACCAATAAATGTATGGCTTTTTAAATGATAACATTATTTTGAAAACTCATTGTTTCTTAACTTAATTTCAGTGTTCACTCAAACCAACACTTTATTAAATAAATAATAAATTCAATGCAAATGTATTGTCAATAATATGAATACAGTATATATATAAATGTTTGAACTGATAATCTGATCGCTGATTGGCTAACCATTCAATGCCTATCGTGTCGTCATTGGTAACCAAACGGAAGACTCCGCCCATTCGACACTCAATCAGCTGTTTATGACATATAAGTTGTTTTTATAAGACAAGAGATCCGTCGGTAATAATCCGTACGACACACGACTCTGACCACACATTTTGTTACCGTAATTAGTGAACCAATTGGTTTGTAATGCCAAAGAAGTTGGGCATCAATAGCAAGTCGGTTGAGGCCAAAGGTAATACTCAAACGTTATGTTGACGTCATTTGTCATTATTATTATTGATGGATGTCTTTGGCCGTGTCTTTAGCCCGAAAGGATGCCATYAAACAGGCAAAGGACGAGGCAGTTGAACGACAAAAAGAGGACGAATTCTGGAAAGACGACGACAAACATGTGACAAGAAAATTGAACAGAAAGGACGAGAAAGAGAAGAAGAAGCAGGAAGTGATGGACAGAAAGGCGACAAATAGAGCCGCTTATGTCGAAGAGATGGACCAATTGAAAGGCAAAAAGATTGCCGAACCTAAGCCACAGAAAGTGAGCCGATTTGATATAAACGAAAAACTGGAGAAACAAAATCAAGAGAAACAAAATGATAACAAAGAGCCGACAGTCACTGAACTGCCCATMGAAGAGAATGTCAACAGATTGGTGGCCGACGATGACGGCAACGCCAGAAGTGTCGAAGACGCTATTGCTCTTCTCAGGTATTATTTTATTAGACATTTATTTTTATATCCAAATAAATTGTATCAATAATTTTATAATAATATCATCGATTGACTTATTTCTGAACAGTACTAAGGATGATGATGTGGACAGACATCCGGAGAAGCGTATGAAAGCCGCTTATACGGCATTTGAAGAAATACATTTGGATAGACTTAAGAAAGAAAATCCCAATTTAAGGCTTTCGCAGTTAAAACAGATGCTTAAAAAAGATTGGATGAAATCACCGGACAATCCGCTAAACCAGAGAGCGATCGCTTATAACACAAAAATATGAGTGAATAAGATATTCTGGTTGTTGTCCATTGAATGAAGTAATCTATCAATTGTTTGATTAACTGTTAAGTTAACAACAAATACTATAAAACTGAAATAATCATAATTAATGTGAATTAATAACACAATATTATAATTGATGGTCGCATTATCACCTTTAATATACAGTATATTATACGTATATACCTTACAGTAATTATACACAGAATATTCTAAAGATTACACTCTATTTTATGTTAATAATTTTAATAAATTTTTGATTTTTTAAATAAAAATAATTATATAATTACTGGTACTTACCGTATAAGTTATGGGTGTTATCAACAACGTATAGGTAAGTGCTGATTGTGTACTGTATGTGTGCTATTTGTGAGAACATATCGGAACCTGTAATATCATAAACTGTTTTCTTAGACTTGATTTCTTCACTTTGTCTTAAAAAACCAATATATCAGTAATTGTAATATAATTTAAAAATATATATTTTAGTAAATTAGATAAATTTTTGTAAAAATCATACAAAAAATATACCGTTTTACCTGATTATTAATGATCCAAATGAATAGTTAATTCTAATCAAACAATTTTTTGTTGTTAAAGTATTACCGATAGTTGTACTGTATGTTCAGTACCCCCAGAAAGCATTGACTTTCGGTATATTAATTCAGTAAATTTACAACAAAAAAGTTATAATATCGTGTCCACTTAAAAATGTGTTAATTTACTGTTAATTAAAAATTTTACTGTAATTTTATTTGATATTTTGGCTAATTAATTGAAATATATATATATTATATAATAAAATACACAAATAAATACAATTATTATTTCTAAGTGAACTAAATATTCAAATAAAATTAACGAAAAATATGTCAAAAAACCAATTATTCCAAAATTACGGTAAGAGTAATATTTATGCGTATGAAATGTACAACGAGTTTCAAAATTACAATTTTTTTGTAGATAAAAATATAATTACGGTATTAATTAATTTATAAATAATAGTCGAATTATGATAATAGTTGTTAATATAATAATAATAAACATTTTAATCAAATTTCGCATTCATTTAAAGCCTTTTCCAGCTTTTGGCGAACACTTTGAACTCTAAGTTCTTGTCGCTTAATGTCGTCATCATTGATGATCATTGTGTGGACCAATGGTTGTTCGGGATTTAGATAGACAGCCGGTTCCTTCTCGAGCTTCTCTTTAGCACTCATTTGGCCAGTGATTGGCTGAGTGTGTATGTGAAGAGCGGTAGCAATACTCCTGAGTAAAGTATCTTTTGTCATATGAGGGCCGACGGGCTTCATATTGATGGGCAGCTCAAAGTTGTCCAACTCTTCGCGCTCGACATCAAGTTTTTCGAGTCTCTTTTCCCAAAACAATTGTTTCGGCTTTTCGTTTTGTTGGCCGTGTTTAAGGTCACTCTTGACCCGACTATCCGGCTGTGACTTAATGACAGTTACCGGCTGTTTAAATATGGACGCCGTCTGACGTATGGGTGGAATCAGTGACGAATCGTTACGCATATTCTTCGTGTAATCGTAACCCATAAGACCCGATTTGGATCTCTTGTTTTTTCTCATCAGCGATGAATTGATTTTACCGGTTCGGTAGTCAAATGTGGTCAAGTCTACCGAATCGCCCAAATAACGGGCCAATTGAGGCTTTGTTCGGAATTTACGACCCGACGGGCTGTTTGGTAAAAAACAATAATCAACGGTTTATAAGTTGTTATCAATGAAAATGTCTTAAATGTCTGTCAATACAAACCTATAATAAAAAATATCGATTTTTCCGGCCGACAAACCATTCTTCCGCATTAACTCTTGTCGTGTCCAACCTTCGGGAAGTGCTAACGACATGATTGCCAGATATTATTCTTCTTTGTTGTGCAAAAACTACTCAACAAATATCAATTTGATTTGTTTGTAATATATATCATATGATGACTACAAGTGATTAATAAAGAGTTTTTTTGGTCACTTCTTCAGTCATTCAAAAGAGTTGTCAACAAAAACAATAGACTCAACAAAGTGTTGAACCATTCATAGAGTCTGTTACACAATATTTTTGTGTTTTACTATCCCTTTATTATATGGTTTAATAATATCACCAATAGATTGATTCGTCAATTCATTAATAGATAAATAGATAATAAATATATATATAAAAAGTTTTATAATAAAAAAAAAGTTTTAAATATAAAATTCTTTATTAAAAAATATATAATTATTTTATTTTTAAATATATTATTGTATTTTGTTTTGCCATATACTGTAGTAACTTATATAAATTACAATTATAATTAACATTTATATCTATAATAATTGTTATCTCATTTTTATAGTCAATGATAATATTTTTTGTTGTTAATAACTTTCTATAATAAAGTTTTTACTACTGTATAAAAACTTATTGTTTAGTAATTTTTAATTTACATAAAATTATTAATTAATTGATTGTATATATAATAAAGTAGTGTAAATTAATATAATARATGTATATATTTTATTTAAAAGTGCTCATGCTAAAAATATGAATTTTTTCATAATTATAAAAGTATAATATTATATATTTTTAAAAACTATAAGTTATATTTTATTGTCGATAAAACTAATTAATAAAAAAATATAGAAAAATTGTATTTAATAGGTTTGGTTGATATAAAATCGGGTGTAATAAGAGATGGCGGTTACGGTATGATAAACTGATCTCATGATGCAATTGAATCAATAGTGAGTCGGCTATAGTTAACAAGCATTGGTATGTGTTTTATAGTACACTCTCTCTCATCTCTCTCTTTCTATAATATTCTGTGTTATAGTGATGTCTATTTGGTGTGAGTGTTGTGTTTGTGCTAAGAATTTCGCTAAAGAATTGTGAATTTGAGGCCCAAATGGCTGTACAAACAACACAACGAATGATACCTTTCATACAATTTCTATTAATTATGATTTACTATTAATTACTAATACCATCTCAACACTGGTCAATATGATTGTCACCACCACTGCGCTCATACTAAATGTGGCCTTAATTGGTATGTTTTTAGACATTTATCAAAATATATTATTAATATAATTTCAATAAATATATATACAATATAAATATAAATATATATCTATATATATTTATCATACACTCATAATACATAGTGCATTGATATTAAATATAAGTTATATATTATATAACACACTCACACAAACACTCACACACACACACATAGCATAAGCCGTTAAACTATTCAAATATTCCTAACGCTAATAATAAATGTATAGATTCTATAATATTCTTGTTTAAACATTATAAATTTTCATATTTATTTACTTAATTATTATTTTATTAACATTAAGTACACATTTGTATTTAATGAAATATTTGTTTAACATTATTTATTATTTTTTAATATTTCAATTATAAGTTATATAATTTTATTTTGTTTTTCAATTTTATACCATTATTCCTATTGGAGAATACGATATAATCATTTATCAGTTATATTGGATTATTTGAGATAAAAATGATTTTACGACAAATATATTACTAAATCTTTGTTTCAAACATTCACTTATATTATATTTGTATTATGAAACATATCAATAAAAATTTGTATAAACTTATCTTTTGATTAATTGTTATTTGAAGTACATTACTATAATATAAAAAAGTATACAACTTAAATGTATATATGGTTAGTGTGTGTTATTGCAAAAATTGATGGAAATTTATATATATTTATATTATATTTAATATTTTGTAAATGTTATTATATGTGATATAAATACAGCCGTAAAAGCAAAATAATATGAGTAAAACTGGAGAAAATCGTTTTGAGGGCCAGAATATGGCTGTGATTTGCTGTTGTGGTAACAGTTTATAAGTGAATATTGAATTAATTTAATGGTTATGTTTGCAATGAAAATGATACAAAACAGCCAACACATCCCCCACACAAACACACACACAAACACATACATACAGTGTGTCAGATGGAAAGTCATTCTCCAGAACAGATCCAATGAGAACCATAGCAACGGATGAGCTGAGGAATGTGTTGGATGTGTTGTTTGGTTGCCATCGAGTCTCATATTTTTAAAAACGACTGCAAAGGGATTCATAAGAATATGTCATTCATTTGAGGATAACTTCTCTTTTAGTATACATTTAGTTGAAATGTTGAAACCATTATATAAAACTACTATAATATACTATATACTCGCACACTGTATATACTGTAATATACAGTATAAAAATACATATACATATACATACAATATATTTATATAAATTATATATATATATATATATATAATTGTATATACAGTACTACTTATGTACAGTAAGTACTTTATCTCAATGTTATATAAATTCATTGAACTCAACACATAATTATCTCAATAATAATAATCATCTGCAAACACGCCTTTTCATGAAATGATATTAAATATATATTTTATTAACAACTAATTTGAATAAAACATTTCGTAAAAATAATAGATGAAAATCACCCAACAAATTGTTTTACGTGTGATATAAATAAAACATTAGCCTATAAAATATAATCTATAGTCTAACAAATAACATTCATAAATATTTTTGTCGTATATTTGATATAAACAATACTATTGATTCATTATAATTTTACAATACAAAACAATTATATAGTTTTTATTTTAGTTAAATTGAGTTTAGGTGGGAATCAAGTAGTATTAAATGATATATATAATGATTTATACACATTATAATCATAGATAACATATACTCACATTTACTATAGTCTATATTTAACAATAGAGTAATTGAAATAAATTAATGAATTAACGATTTGTGAGACAAACTAAGGTTGTCTCCGCCTATCAAATCAAACAATTATATCTAATTTATTAATTAAATAATTAATTTATAAGAGGTTTTGGTGTTTGTCAAGAGATTTTTGGTTACTTTTTTCATTCACTAATCACACTATACTGTATTCAATGAAAATTTTATTTATAAATTATTGAATAATACAACATAAAAAAGTCAATATGTTTAGAGAGAGGAAAAATAAGCCAAACTTTATTGATAATTAATATTATTTTTTTAAATAGTCATTTATTACAAAATACAAATGCCATTAATTTCAATGAATGACTCAATAAATATATACTATTTATTATATATTTTAAATTTTTTCGGTCTTTATAACTGTTGAGAGCTTCAAATGAGATGTCTATATCTAAGAAAAAAATTCAGTGATTTATAAAAATGTTTAGAAAAATGAATTTACAGTTACTTCATATAATATAGTAGTCAATAATATAAGCTATAAAAATGATAGTATTAAGTATCAATGATATTAGTCTATAATTTAATATTAAACCCCTCCTCTATTTGTGAAGTTATTATCAATAATAATAATCACAAGAATAGAGAAACTAATCGTTATTTTTGTCGGTTTTGTGAGCAATAAAAGCGATCCAACCATTAGACTCAGTCATGCATTAGTGAAATATAGTATATATAAAACTTTCAGATATTTATAAATATATCTATATATACAAAAAAAATGATTTTAAATTGATTTCAAAGTGATTTGTGTGTCTATAATTAAAAAGTCCATTAAAAACTAATTTGATAAATGAATTGTAACATCATTTTTGAGTTTTTCTCATTCATTTTCATATAAAAATTATTTTTTTGAGCACAAAATTAAGCCATCATTTCTATTATCATTATTTTYTATCGTTATGTAGTAATGCTTTTTAAGCATAAAAATTWAAAAAAATTAAAATTATGTTTACTAAGTCATCAAATTATAAAAACATTTTTCCCCAAACAATACTAATGCATACTATAGTGAATAAAACAATGCATCTATTGTTTAGCGCATAAATTATTATTTTAGTTAAATCTCTTAAATACCTGTTTTAAACAAACAGGTGGATAATAAATTTGTTATTGTTTTATAATATGATAATTAAAAAAAGTTTTTTTTTAAATATAAAAAGATAATAAAAAAAATAAAAATAATTACTAATTTATTTTATGTAAAGCAATGAATTTTAAAATAATTTTTATATAATTTTCATTGAATTTATTCGCTGATTAACTTATTGATGTGTAAATTGTAATTATGATGACTACTAACTTACAACTATTGTCATTACAATATATCATATTATTCTTCTTTAAACTGATATATTTTATTGATATACGGTTTATTGAATACTCTTTTAGATATAAGAAAAATTATATATTATTATCTACTATCTATCTATTTATTATTATTAATATTATTATTATTATTATTATTATACAATATGTCTAGAAATAGTATCCAGTTAAAGATATGCCATAAAAATAGCAATGAAATTTGCAATACATAATCTTTAATATTGATTTTCCAATAAAGCTCCTGAATTAGTATGTATTGTTAGTGTCTAATCATTTCCCAAAAAAGTGTTGTCCCATAAATAATATACAGAAATATTTTCATCTTATTTATCTCTTCGATAGACTGTTAGAGAAACTACAAGGAAAGCAATTTATACCATCAATATTATATATATTGGATTAACATTTATTGCTTGGTAATAGAATTATGACCATATAATTTATCAATGGTTATACAATTTAAAGTAATAATATCTTAATCTTTTTTTTTTTGTTGGCAAAATTCTTAAGGCTTTAGATCATGCAATGAGTTTCTAAGTTTAATTACTTGAATGTTATATTTGTTGATAAAAATATCAAATATATATATATATCTATATAAACACATAAAAAAATAAAATTAATAAGATATACACAAAAATGATTATAAATTAATAAGACTTAATTATAATTTTGAAAGGTTTTTTGACTTCTAATTTAGTTAACTAAATATTTAGCTCTGACTATAATTTAATTAAAATTTTATTACTTACATTTACAAATATATATATATATATATATATATATATATATATATATATATGTAATTAATTATTTGAAATTACGATTACTAAGTAATCCTTTATGCATTAAGTTTGCCATATGGATGACGCTTTTTTTATTTTAAATAAAATATGAATCATTAAAGATAAATTAATATTTATTATAATATTATCTGGTTATATATATATGTGTGTATATTTATAAATTATGTTACATCAAGACATGAAGCTATAAATGTATTAAACATAATACTGTATAATATGGTATTTTATTATTATTATTATTTTTCTACGTTTATATACTGTAATATTYTAAGTGTTTGCTGTTTCATTTGCTTTCATAAATATTCAATGTTTTATGATTTAAATTGTAAAAATAGGAGAATTTTTTTGTTTCTGAGATTCAATGTATTTTGAAGTGTGGTTTAAAAGAGTCGTATTTTTTTTGTTGATGACATCAAACTCGATGGCAAAAATTTTGAGACCATTGAATTGATCGTCGATTTAGACATTAGTTTTGTAAATTATGGCTTAACATAGTATCATATACTGTGTAGTTCATAACTACTAATTGTAAATAATGCTATGATCATAGGTTTTAAACTTTTTTAACGTAGTGTATGTTAATGTTAATCACATATATTACTTATTCACAAATAAACTCTTATTACTAAAATTATTTTTTATCCTTTTATACTATTTAGTTGATAATTTGTAGTATATCAAATTATTTGTATTATGTTATTAGTATTTGTAGTACAAAATATGTACAAAATCATCAAAACATGTTAAAAATATTCATCACATGCTATGTTTGTTATATTCATTTAGTGTTAATTATTTTTAATATAATTAACGTAATAAGGACCAACTAATAATTTGCCTATTAGAGCTTATATATAATTTAGTGTATATTTTATGATAAATAGATAGATAGATAGATAGATAGATAGATAGTAGTGACTATAGTAGCCATTATAATGTATGGCCACACAGGCAGCGACTGATATATCGATCACTTCATTACATGCATTGAATTTAAATAAACATTTTTTTTTGAGTATAAAAAATATATAAATTTTAGGAAAATTTTAAAAAGAAAAATATTCCGAAACACTCACTGATACCCAATATATATATATACAGTATATAAATAATATAATAATGTTATAGATATATATAAGTTATGTGTGTATTTTATTTAGTTAGTTTTTTTAGCAAAAAAATATTCGCTGAATTTTTTTACATTTGTTTTTAAAAATTTGACGATCACTTCATATTTCATTTTAATTGAATTTTAGAATATAAGAGTTGCCTTCAAAAATATTAGACATATGATTGATATTTATGTTTAAATGTTATATTACAGACACAGCTATATATACGGTATATAACTTGTAACCCTATGTTTATATATATATACAAAAAATAAGTAGTTTAGGGAGAGATTAGTTAATAAAAGAAGGATTTAATAATAATAATAAAGAATTGGTTCATTTTGTTCATCAATTGACTTTCATGTTTATTATAAAGCATTGAATGAAAAATTAGTTATAATCAGAATTAGTATATCATTTATTTATAGTGTATTTAAACACAAAATTTGTATATCAAAAAATTAATAATAAATACAAAAATTCTATAGTTATATAACTGTACTATACATTCACTTTAATATATATATATAATATGACAAACAAACAAACAAACAAAAAAAACATATCATATATAATGACTGCCATTTTGTTGTCCAAACAGTTTTATGTTCAGACGATGAGGAGCGTCTGGTAAGGGATCTGTTTCGTGATTACAATAAACTGATCCGACCGGTGGAAATGATGAATGAGACCGTTGAAGTCCATTTCAAAATTTCATTAGTTCAACTTATCAATGTTGTGAGTATTGATCATCAATTATTAATATATACTCTTATATACATAAATATATCCATATTTTTGTTTGTATTGCTATTAGAAAACTATAAAATAAAGAGTACAAAATATTGTAAACAGTTTATAGACGTCCAGTAAAAAATGAAATGAGAAAAAATTATTGATATTAACTTTAAAAAAATTTATATTACAATATATTAAAGTAGAGTATATTTAAATCAATTGTGTGCGTCAAACGTCACACAAATCATTATTGTATATCAATAATAGTATATATTTATTATATATATTTTTTTCGGACGTCTCTATCAAATGCATTCTCAATGTTATTATTAGAATATAGAATATTCTGTTTGTGTGTTTGCATAGAATCGATTGATTGCTAAAGAGAAAAAATATATGTATATATTTATTATTAAAGATAAACATTTATATATATATATATATATATAAATTTATATCTAATAATAATAATAATAATAGACAAAACTGATAACTAAAATAGTGTTGTTTTTAATTAATATTCAGAACGAAAAGAACCAAATAATGACAGCAAATGTATGGCTTCAATTCGTAAGTAGTCTTTAAATTAATTCAATTACCGCTATATACTTATTATATATATATATATTACTATTCTGTATATATTTATATTTATATGTGTGCCTATATGTTATAATATTTCTAAATAATATATTGCTAACAAATTTTTCTCAAACAAACAAAAATCTTAATTTGTTTAAAAATGATTGAAGTGCTGTTCTCTCTCTCTCTCTCTCTCTCTCTCTCTCTAAAATACAGTATATATATGACTAGTTTTATATCTTAGGAGAGATAAATTAATTTACAATTTAAGAGCTTAAATGAATGCTTAAGATGTTTGCCAACAAAACAATAACAAATGCATCCGTTATTTGTGTGTTATATCAGAATAACTGTAATTTAATTATTTTATTTTTTTCTATAATTTAATGAGTATTTTATTTCAACAAAAATTTATATTCTAATAGTGTAAAACTTATTGAAAGAGATAAAAAAAAGAAAAGAAATTTAATGCAAATAAATTGAAATAATGTATTAATAAATGCAAAGTTATTATATAACTTTGTATTAGATTAATAATATTAAAAAATTTAAATATTTAGTTTAAGAGAGTGATGAATGAAAGAGTAGGTGAGTGGGTGGGTGAGTGGGTGAATTAGTTATTTAGTTAGTTACTGTGTAAATAAGTGATAGAAAGAAAGAGAGAGAGAGAGAGAGAGAGAGAGATTCAAACAATGAATGGCGAATTAAGAGATTCTCATTTGAGATAATGTAGTGATAATGGATGAATGGGTTGGTGTGAGTGCTGGCCATCACACTAACCATCACATAGGCATCAATGTTGCTGAAGATTACATATAATGGTTAAGAATATAGAATATACTCTTAACATCTAGTAATAGGTTATGGGTTTAGTTGTATGTATGTATGTGTGTGTGTGTTAGGAAATAGTGTATTTTAGTGAATAAAATCAATACTACATGACATAACGGTTCTCAAGTATTGCAGTTAACTTAATTTGACTGAATTTTAGGTTACAGTTATGTTAGGTTGGCGTCAAAATCGGCACAACTTTATTAAGACATTTGGTTTTATGCTTTGGTAATAGCAATGCAATCATAACGTTAGTCTATTCATATCGTATCAATCATATCATACTCTCTTTCCATTTGTGTTATACATATATAGTATATATATATATCAATGATATTGCTGTTAGTCAAACCTACACTTCATATAACTACTTATAGATGAAAAATTGATAATTCATGAAAAATGATGAATTTTATTTAAGTCATCAATTGCAACTGTAATACAATTCTAGTGCAATCATATCAAATGCGATAATTTTTATTTGAAATATGTGATATTTATTGAAAACACTAAATAAATTATTCAAAAATTATAGATTAGTTTTCTTATATATTAGTTTATTGATATATAATCGAGTATTTTATGCCGGGTATATATTATAATATAGTTAAAAATAGACAAATCAATTTTTAATTTTATTTGCGAAGCATATAGTTATAATAACAATATAATAGTGATATCTTAATACACTATTTATATTGATATACATTTAGATTATATTGATATTTATTTAAATATATGTCATGTCATAAGCATTTAATAAAAAAATTATTCAAATATTGTCGACAAATTTTATAATAACAACTAATAATTACATCAAATTAAGCTATTTATTATAAATTATTATTATTATTATTATTATTATAGTCTATAAAATAATTCTGTATATAAATGACAAAATTAGTAGTGAAAAGCAAAATTGGTTTTTGGCTTTTATGTTTAATTTTGACAACAATTGATGTGATATTATTTAGTGTCAAAATAAGAGCAAATATTATGTATTAATAATATATCTACACAATTAAATGACTGTAGGCTAAACAATAACTAACAACTTATATATATATATATATATATATATACTGAATAAAGCATTACATATACTGTATATTTGCAATCGACTACTACTACTACAGAGTTTTATTGTTATGAAAAGTATTTTGTCATTAAAATATTCATTTTGAGACTTTTTGTTCATTTATATTAATTACAAATCCTTCTCTCTCTCTCTCTCTCTCTCTCTCTCTCTCTCTCTCTCTCTCTCTCTCTCTCTCTCTCTCTCTCTCTCTCTCTCTCTCTATTTCTCTGTCTATCTATATCTATCTATCTATCTATTTATTTATCTTTCTTTTACAAAAATTAAACGACAAAACAAAATGTGAATTTATGGTACAAATATTTTATATCAAAGTCGGTAATAAATAGTAGTTGTAAATATAATACTGCCTCAAACACTAAATAATAGAATAATGTAAATAATTGATGATTTGATTTATAGAAATAAATAATTAATTATTTTATATTCCAGGCTTTCATAGTATATATTTTATATACAGTATCATATAAAAAAACTTTCATCAAAATTTTTGTTTTATATATCTGATTTTTAGTTCAATGTATTTCATAGTGAAAATAAAATAGAAAATGTTTGGTCTGAGTAACAGATTATTGTATAATTCAAGAATCATTTGACATTTCAATAAATATTTGCATTGAATTTTTTTAAAAAAAACTCAACATTTTTTGTTGTGTTTTGAAACTAGAAATTGAATGTTTGACTGAATATTTTTTAGTAGGTTTTTTAGGAGGAAAATTTCATTTCAATTGAATAGCTAATATACAGTATAGTATAGTATAATACTGGAAAAGTTATATAATATTACTGTTTTACTGTAAACCTTAGCGTCTGATATATATATTTATTCACTTATATTACAACATCTACTACTACTACTACGACTACTACTACTACTACGACTACTACTACTACTACTACGACTACTACTACTACTACGACTACTACTACTACTACTACGACTACTACTACTACTACTACTACTACTACTACTACTACTACTACTACTACTACTACTACTACTACTACTACTACTACTACTGTATATTATAGTTGACTTCATTATTGCTTCAATGAATTTTGTCATCCCTTTCAATTCACATTCAATTAGACTCTATTTTTATATAATATATATAAAGTTGTAAATTAAAATCAATGTTAAGTAAATAATCTAATATTTTAAACATTATATAAAAATGTGTTAGTATAAATGAATATATATATATATTATTTCATATTAAAAGTTTTTAGCATAAATTTTAAAATAATTATATTTTAATATTTTTAAACTTTTTATTAAAGTGTGTTAGTTATGGTTCAATATGAAGTACTATCTAAAAAAATATTTTAAATTAATTATTTAGTTATTTAATAATTATTTTTCACATTATTATTAAGACAAATTGTTATAATACTATAATACTAAGATAAAGTACTATATCATTAATTTTTTAATCAATTTTATAACTAAATAATTGTATTTTTAATTAATTATCATAATTATAGTTATATAATTATGCATAAATTAAATTAATTATTTAGAACTAATTAATAATTATTTCTGCCAATTTTATTTTTATTATTATTATTAAAACGTTATAATAAATACAGTACTATATCATTAATTTTTTAATTAATAACTATTTTTTAAAAACAATAATATTTTTATTTAATAATTATAATTATAATAGTTATATATATATTTATGCAATTCTTATATTTTAAAAATTGGCAAAAATTGTCGTTTAAAAATGCAATAAAAAATGTTCACATAAATTGTCTATTTAATATATAATATATATAAAGTTGTAAATTAAAATCAATGTTAAGTAAATAATCTAATCTATATAATTTTTAACAACATAATTTTAATTTACAAATTTGCATATATGTTTAAAAAAAATTTTTACATACAATTGTTATTTGTAACTGTTTACTCTATAGTAGTAAGTCAATAGTTAGTTAATAATGATGTCTATTGTATATTAAACAAAGTTACAGTAATAGAAATACTCAATTATTAGATAAATTAATAATGTATCAAAATTCATGTGTAGTATATTAATAGTTTTTAATTATATATTTTGTTAAAAAAGGTTAATATTTTTTTAGTCACATTTAACATATCATATATATATATATTAATATGTTAAATATAATCCATATATATACAGTATATTATAATATACATTAAATATATCGTATACTGGATATAACATTCATAAAATGTAATATATTCAGGTATAAAGATATAATGTTATATTAGTCTAATAACTAGTCTATTATTGGTATATAAATAGAACTGTAGTCTGAATACGATTAGATTACCGGTAAAAACCGAAACCGCCAACAATTTTCTACGGGTTTTTATAAATTTCAAATAAACTAAATTGAAATAAGAGATACAGTTTTAGTGTAACAATTTGATTATGGTTTTAGCTCTAGAGTTCAATTTTTGTTTGTTTGAATATTGCTTTAATTTCAATACTTTTACTGCAGTATAAAAAATTTACAGTAGAAATAGTACTGTAGTGTACAGTATTACAGTACTTGTTTAGTGAATTAATAATACGGTAGATATACAGTATAAGAAAATAAGTTTTTTTTAAATAATTAAAATAAATGTATAAATGATAATTAAATTATACAGAATTGGGACGACTATCAACTTAAATGGGATGAAGCAGATTATGGCGGCATATCTGTGCTTAGGTTACCACCGGATAAGGTCTGGAAACCGGATATAGTCTTATTTAATAAGTGAGTTCAATAAATAGCTAATTGTCCTATAATTAAGTAGTTAAAGATTCAATAAATATATAAAATGCTAACAAAAACAATTTGGTGTAATTGTAATCAAGTGCTGACGGCAATTACGAGGTACGGTACAAATCCAATGTACTGATATACCCGTCTGGTTCATTGATGTGGGTGCCACCGGCCATCTACCAGAGCTCGTGTCAGATCGATGTGACATACTTTCCATTTGATGAACAAAAGTGTGTCATGAAGTTCGGGTCGTGGACTTTCAATGGAGACCAAGTGTCCTTAAAGCTATACCAAGACAACTATTGGGTCGATCTGTCCGACTATTGGAAAAGTGGTACCTGGGATATAGTGGCCGTACCGGCGACACTCAATGTATACAATAATACCAAATACGGAAAGCCTACAGAAACCGATATATCATTTTACATAACAATCCGCCGAAAGACACTCTTCTATACTGTCAATCTAATACTTCCAACGGTTCTCATCTCTTTTCTATGTATTCTCCTCTTCTATTTACCCGCAGAGGCCGGTATGTCTATAATTAAACCTTGTTATTGTTGTTATTGTTGTTGTTTTGGTCATTTTTCATACCTCTCAATGTGTGTACACCTGTAGGCGAAAAGGTAACACTAGGCATATCGATATTGCTATCACTGGTTGTGTTTCTACTGCTGGTGTCAAAGATATTACCGCCGACTTCATTAGTGCTTCCGTTAATTGCAAAATACTTATTGTTTACATTTCTTATGAATTGTGTGTCAATATTGGTGACAGTGATTATCATCAATTGGAACTTTCGCGGCCCGAGAACTCATAAGATGCCCAATTGGGTTCGGGTCGTGTTTCTCAAATACCTACCGGTGCTTCTATTTATGAAACGGCCAAAAAAGACACGCTTACGCTGGATGATGGATATGCCGGACCTTCACTACCAGCACTTCCATCCAACGCATCACCAGCAGAGCGGTTCACCAGATTTTAAACAACAGTGCACCGCAAAGTCCAAAGTAGAGTTCATGGAGTTGACAGATATCGGCCAACAGAACCTACCCCTCGATCATCACCCGAACTGTACGAAAGTTACTCAACCTCTTCAACGTAAAGCATCGCTCGAGAGGCTCGAGAGGGAGAGGGATGGCCTTCGAGACAACGAAAGCATTGATATGCTATACCTCACGCCTGAGGCCTACAAAGCGGCCGAAGCTATTGAGTTCATCGCTGAACACTTGAGAAGTGAAGACGAGTACATTCAGGTATGACTAACTGCTAATTATTTAATTACATATAAACACATACCAGTGCTTATGTAATACTGTCTCTCATCTTAACAAAAACAAGTCCTATCTATCGCACAGCCCTTTTACGACACTTGTACTCTCTATTACATCTCTATTCCACACAATAAATAAACACTGTATTTGTCATCCAATAGTGCACTACATATAGACATTACAACTAAATTTAATTTATATTCATATGAATAGTAGTATTGCAATAGTTATGTACTAAACACTCAATACATTGAATGCAATGTTTTTCCCTTTTCTATTGAAACACTACTCGAACTAAGATTTAATCAATTCTTTTATATGTATTTACTATACATACTATACTATTCACTAAAATATAGTATATATAATCTAAACAAATCATTATTACTTTTACTTTGTATTATTATTTTATTTTTTATTTGTCAACTAATTTAAATTTTTATACAATTTTTTTATAAAATACACAAACTATTACCATAGACTATTACAGTATGCACTTTACAATGTAGTGTATGTTTACCTAAAGTGTCTTAAAAGTGATGCATCTTTGCGTATAAAATTCAATTATCAGTGACATTGCATTTTTGTGTTTCTTAATTATTATTTACATTAAAAATTTTATTCAATTATAAAATTTTATAGAAATTTTTATTTTTAAACAGAATAAATAATCAAAATGTTTTCTGTCATTTTGAACATAATATTATCGTTTGATATATTAATAAAACATAATTTATACCATGTTTTTAATTTTATTGTATGTATTTAAGTGTGTGTGTGTTTCATATGTTTTTTATTAAAAATTTAATTTATAGGATATAGTTATTAAACATAAATAATATAATATACCGCATATAACTAAATTACTGGACATGAAAATATCATATTTTAAGTTAAATTGCAATAATATATTTTTATTGTAATGCATATACTGTATATTCAGTAAATTATATATTTAATATAAATATTTTTTGTTAAAATTTTTAAATTTATGTTAGATATGAAAATAATTTATAATATTAGTATATATTATAGTATGCAGTATTGATATTATAGGTCTCAATTTTTATAAGATTTGAATATTTAATTTGATATACTTAAAATATAATTATTCAGCAAATTATTTTATATAAAATAATAAATCAAAGCCACGGCTTAAAAATATCAATAAAAAATCAATATAATTACTGTTCACTATAAAACAGAAGTGATTTTTATCGATTTTTTATTGAAATATCAAAACTTGAGATCAAAAGCTTTATAGTATATTAGATATGTATTATATAGTGTAATATAAATATGAAATAATTTGTTGAATGATTATATAGTATATATAAGTTTATGATTTGATGGAAACTGAAGCTTATAATAATGCAAATGCATGACAGCATAACCATAGACTCTGTTATCTATAATACATGAATGTATTGATGAGTTTTATGGCTATAGAGTGGATGCCAAAGCAAATAGAGTGCAAACATAGTCTCAAACAATAAGTTTTAGTTGGATTCGGATGAATGCATGGCTCACACTATCGATTGATTGTCTCGTAAACGTTAAGACATATAAATAATCCAAACAGTCATGTGCTATCTATATGGCCAGTTGTGTTGCATACCAGTGCTATGTTTATCAAGTATTAGGGATGAAAGAGAGAGAGAGAGAGAGAGAGAGAGAGAGAGAGAGAGAGAGAGAGAACACATACTGAGATGAGATGAGAGGGTCAATGCAATTGTTTGGTTCGTTCCTCTGAGACATACACATACTGTTGATGGCATCAATACAGTTGACTGTCCATAACTATAGTCACTTCAATTGATGTGATGTCACACCAATGCCTTGCAAAATAAGACACATATTCACCGACACTTATACCGACATTCATTCATCTCTCTCTCTCTTTCTTTCTTTCTTTCTTTCTCTCAATGTCTTATAAATCCCCAAATGAGAGACAAATTTGTTTTTTGTGCCATTTTTGTGTCATTTGATGGACGAGTAGCTGACAAAACTAACCGGTTGTTTTTTCGTTATGGTATCTCATTTCTCTAGTAATTGATTGCATTGCTTATAGATTATGTGACACTACAACAACAACTACGACAACACCAGTAAATAATAACAAAAACAAAAAAAAATATTTAATCCATCAGCCATTCAATAGTACACAACTTATTATTTATTAGCTATTTTTATAATTTTATTTAATTAATGACTATTGATGTTTAGCTAAGTTTAACTATTATGATTAGTTGTTAGTTTTATTATTTGAAACTAATATATTGGTTCTCTAAGTTATGAAAAAATAAGTAGTTTACAAAAATATTGTGTGTAAATAAATATAATTTTTATGATTAACCATTTAAATGACTTTTTCATTTCCCTCTTGTTTATATATATGGTATATAAAATGTTTTTACTTTAAATTGTATAACACTTAAAAAAATAAAAGATATTTATTTAAGTGTTCATCACAACAGAAAATCTTTAAAAGTAGTTTTTTTTTGTTGAAAAATATAATTTAAAAGCAAATGTTTTTTATATTAAATAACACTTACTTACAATTCAGCACTTATTTGGTTATGTTTTTGTAAAGCATACACCAATTATTTGATACCTTTGGGCTAGAAATTAATAAATTGTGTAAAAATATATAATGTATATATATTGTAGAAAAATCGGATAAACTTGATTTTAGGCTAATTGAAAACATTTATTCAAACATATTTCTTAATAATAATATTACATTTTGCTTACGGAAGTATCTAAAAATGTGCGTCAATTTGTATATAATATTTTAACTGTTTTTCTATTGATTAACAATTTACTCGAAACCCATAATTGAATTACAGTAAACTTTTATAGAGTATATTATTATTATAGCATATTTTCATCTTTAATTTATTTGACAACAATATTTGCTGATTATGCCATATCAAACATTTCTATTAATTTATTTCACTTTAGTAATATATGGTCAAATAAATATTATATATCTTAAACGTAATTTAATTAAAATATGATTTATATTACACATATGATATATATATAACATATATACATGTATTTATATAAATAAAATGTTTTGGTCATGTAAGATATCAGATATTAAACTTCAAAGTATTATGTAATAAATATATATTTTTTTATATATATTTACGTTTGTATCAGCATTGCCTTCATTGTGTTTGACAAATATTTTTCTTTGAATTCATGTTTTTTAGTCCTAAAAATTGTATTGAGATTTATGGCAGTAACTATCATTGATATGAAATTTCTTTAATATAAAATCTCTCTCTCTCTCTCTCTCTCTCTCTCTCTCTCTCTCTCACTGAACCAATATATATACATTTATCATCCATACAATTTATGTTTTGATATCATATAAACATATTATAATATGAGATCTCAAAATGTGAATACAAGTACCATATCTTTTTCGTTATGATTTGAAATTTTTCGTTTAAAAAAATTGATTCCTTTTGTTTGAATTCAAGTTACTGAAGAATTTACCCAAAATTTATATTACAATTATTGTTATGTAAACGTCAAATACTGTATATATCAACGCATTAATATTTTTTTTATTGAATTATTACCTCTATTTTTATCATTTGATGCGTTTTACAGTTTGATACTTTAATCATTTTCAAGCAATATATGATTACGTTATACAGTACAGTATCAATATAAATATATTTCATATTAAAAACTTATTTAAATTTCTATAATTAAAATAAAATACAATATATATAAAAATTATATATATATATATATATATATATACGTGTATGTCATATATAGCTATGTCATATATAAAATTAATAGCTATTTATAAAAGTGTTAGAAAAAAAGTAAGATATCAAAGTTGGCCGAAAAATAAAATTTATGATCAGTTTACATTAATTACTAAATAAATGCTGAGTCTATTATTTTATGGTTCAAATAGCATTATATATTATATAATAGTATACAATCTCTATAGAGTTTGAGTTAGGGTTGCATATCATACAATAGATCTTACAGTTGTAGTCTAACTGTTATTTTTTTCAATTTCGTAAAATCCTATCAATTAGTCGGTTAATAGGATATTCGTTTTTATTTAACTTATAATAAAATAATGATTATATTTTTTTATAGAAAAATATTTTTTAAAAAAATTATATTTTTATAGAAGATCTATAAATTACATTATAATTTAATAGTAATATGGTTCAGTTAATACATAAATATATTTTAGTTAATATATATATTAAATTAAATTAAATAATATTAAAATAATTAATCTTTAGGACTAAGAACTATAATTAAATAAATATTAAATTATTGTATATTTAGATCCTTAGTTAATTTAATACACAAACACACATAGTAAATGATATATATATATAATTATTTATAAGTAAAGCTAAATAACGTAAAATAGATTTATTTAAGAAAATAAAAAAAACAACAAAATTTTTAGTGATATTACCACTAATAGTACAGTGATTATCATCAATAGTTAATTATGGTTTAAATTAAAATAAATCTTATAGTCAAGAATATAATTATATAAAGATATTATTAACGATAACAAACATAATAAATAAAAATAAATGAACAGTACTTACTGTTACTTCAAACACAATAATAATAATTACTATTTTGTGTTTTGTTAAATAGTTTTTAGCTTTTGTTTTAGTATATTAATAAACGAGTGCTTACTGTACACTTGATCACAAAATAATTATTTTAACTTATATACTGTTATTTGAATGTTTTAATTAATTCTTTTAATATAGTATTAATTTTTAAAGATACTAATTAATTAAGGGAATTTAAAGTTATAATTAAATTTTTAAATCAATTAAATCATGTTATTTAATTTACTAGTATTTTAGTAATATTTCAAAAAATGACAACTAATAAAACAGGATATTTAATACAAATAGTTACTAACTTTATATACAGTATATAAAATAATATATTATAGTATAGAATAATTATATGCATATAAATTATATGGATATAAAAGAAAAATCTAATAATTAAATAATTAAAGGAAAATATTTTACTAATTAATTATTTTAAAAATATTTTACAAACAAAGAGAAGAAACATGTAGTTATTTTTAGAGAAAATACTATACTTTTATTTTCAGAATTATTTTTTATTATTTAATTTTTATAAAACATTTCATTACGTAATATTTAAAAGTTGTTTTTTATAAGTTTTAATTAATAGGGAAATATAATATTTGATTAAACTATGAGTTTAATGTGTTTAATAAATAAAAGATAAAAAAAATTCAATTTAGAGACAAAATTTCTCAATACTATTATTATTATACAGTAGTTATTATTGCATATTTTACTGATGCAAAACGTAATACTATTAGATAAGAGAGAGTGAGTGAGTAAGTGAGTGGGAGAGAGAGAGAGAGAGAGAGAGAGACTAATAAAATGTTTGTGCTTTTGGTCAATAAAGTTCAATACAGTTAATCCAAGAGGATCTGTGTGTGTGTGTGTGTGTGTGTGTGTGTGTGTGTGTGTGTGTGTATGTGTGTGTGTGTATGTGTGTGTGTGTGTGAATGTATGTGTATGTGTTTGTGTGTATGTATGTTTGTGTGTGTGTATGTGTTTGTGTGTGTGTGTGTGTATGTGTATGTATGTATGTGTGTATGTATGTATGTATGTATGTATGTATCTATGTGTGTGTGTATGTGTGTGTGTGTTTATGTGTGGGAAATGCTTAAACTTATACTTAATGAACTCAATATTATTATTATTATTTGAATCGACTTTATTTACATACAATATATTATATTTATATTTCGTTAGAGAATTTAATGTTTAAGTAAACATTGATTTGAAGTTTTTAAAAAATCAATATAATAAAAGCAACTCATTGCAGTTGACTGTATTATTAAAATCAATTATAATAATTTTTACCTTAAAAATTCAGGACACTTACAAAAGATTTATTATTATTATTATTTTAAAATTTTTAAAATAAATAAATAAAATAATATGCTATTTTCAGATTTTATATTTTAAAATGAGTCCAAAAAATAAAAATAAAAAAAGAGTCATTTTCAATAAATCTTTTTCCCCCATAAATACAATCTTAATTTATTTACATAATGTATTAGAGCATCAAAAATATATGATGGTTTTAAAAACTTATTTTTTATTTATCATATATTTATTATTAGGTTTTCTAGTGAAGTCGGTTTATATTTATTTCTAATAAAATATATTAAACGCGTGTACAGAATAAATATCGCGTCTAATGTTTATCCAATATTGTTGACCCAATCCCTCCTTTCCTATCTATGTTTTGCCAGATATACAGTATTGAGTGTGTATTATATAAGTTATAGATATATACTGTATATAATATATATATACTAATAGTATATATAAACTACAGAGTATATACAGTTTATCTTACATAAAGACAATAAAAATGTTGTGAATGTAAACTATTTTTAGTATTCAACGCCAAATATCTTTGGGAATAAAAATATATGATATATAAAAATATTCACTATTTGTCTCATTGAGTGCATTGATAAAACCAAATTTCAGTCAATACGAGTGCATATATATTCAATGTTTATCCTCTAAACTCATGCTTTTAATTGCGATTACTATTGATTTTTTTATAATGTTTTCTAATCTAATGGTGTTTGTTGTTGAATGTCTACTATATTTAGATCCGCGAAGACTGGAAGTACGTAGCGATGGTCATCGATAGACTACAATTATATATATTCTTCGGAGTGACCGCTTTCGGCACAATTGCCATTTTGTTGGACGCGCCGCATATCTTCGAGCCCGTAGACCAGGACGCTGTCATTGATAAGCATCGCGGAACCAGTTGAGAGACCCAATTAGATCTGGTCAATGGTCACTGGTATCCACTTACACATACACTCACATCTACTGATGCCAAAGTTGTGCTCAATTATCTTAATCAAAGCAATTGTGGCAAACCATTGCTTCACTTCATTGCCATTTTGATCATATATTTCTTTTATTATTATTATTATTAAATTAATAATATTATGTTTTAGTAATTCATCTTTAGATAAAACAAAGATCACTAATAATAATAATAAAAACAAATACAAAGTAATACAATATATTATTATTGTATAAATTAATGTTAAATAAAAAAAATAATTAGTAATGTAATTATTATTTAAAAAAATAATTTAATTAACTAAAAAATCATTACAATTACTAAATAATTTGTAGACATAATTAATACCAACAATTTTAGGCAAAAATATTGTGTCAAATTTATTGTATATATGATATATATATAACTATTAAAAAATAATATTATTATTGTAAATATAATTTATAACATTAAATCTAGAGATTAAATTCACACTAAAAATGAATATGAAATTAACAGAAATCCGAGTAAATAGCACAAAGAGATGTTAACATTAATGTTATTTATTATATATAATTGTCAAATAATAAAAAAATAGTGAATTAAAATTGTAATGATGGTTTTTTGTTTATATGAAATTTATATTAAAAAAAATTGTTATGTAAATAAAAATATTGTGCTTTTCAAATAAAATTTAATGTTAATTGCTCAAATTTTGTTGTCAACTAAATTATTTAAATTTTAATATTGACGCACAAAAAAATATCACATATTAAATCTACAATTATATACGGTTCATTAAATATTTTTAAATTTTGTCTAGACAATATTTAATTTATTTTATTTAAAAAACTAAGTCTAAAAATATATTTATTTTTTTTGTAAAACTTTTAAAAATACTTTAATCCAGTATATATTTCGTATAAAATAAAATCAATTTTTAGTATAATATTCTTTCAACTAAAAAAAAAGTTAGTTATTTATGCTATTTATGTTCGTTAAATAGAAAATAAATACTATAGAAATAAGTAATATAATTTATATATAATAAAATAACTTTTAATACTTATAAATTGAAATAATTGATTATTATTTTTTATTTTATAAATAAATATAATAGATAAAAAATATGCTTTTAAATTATATTCAAACAATTATATTGTGTATTATATTTATATTCTATATAATAATATAGTATATATATTACATTAATTAATTAGACAACATTTAGTACAAATAATTAAATATATAAATCATTATATATGTACAGTAATTGAATAATTTGTTGTTTTGTTGAAAAGTTGATTAGAAATTATTAAAGTAAAATAATATATATATATATACTTATATACCTATTTGTTGACCCCTTTGGTTGTTGTAGTCGACTGTTTGACACTTTTTTTCTCAAACAGTGCCACAAAAACAGTACAACTTTATGGGTTTGTATAGGAATTTCATGTATAAGAGAGAGAAAGACTTACAGTCTTTTGGAAACTTTGGAATCCATCGATCGATTGCCTCTGAAAACTGTAAGCGCTATCAACTGGCAGTCAATGCACTGCACATTATCCGTGAGTTTTTCACTGCAATACACATAGTATTACATATACACAGACAATGCAGTAGTCACTACTGTATGGCATCGATGTAGTGCAGAGCAGTAGTACTACTCTACAGTGTGTATATAAAAATATGTGTATATATTGAACGACTGTTTTCCCCATCAATTGATCGGAAAGTTTTTCACCGAAATCTTAACACAAAAATAAAATATTATAATTATTTGAATTTTGATGTTTCATTGAAAGTCTAACTATATATTCAAATACTATTTTGCAAATGAATTTTAAGTAAAGATTATTGTAATGATTGTATGTAATTAAAAATATTTTTTTTAAGACAAATTATAAACTTTTAATGCAATTATAGTTTAACACCAAATATTTATAAAATAGATGCCATAGACTGGGATGCGTTGAATCGCGCATCGGTTGGCTTCGCGATTGAGATGTCGGTGCGATTTTGCGCCATTCATACCATCAGAAGATATCGGTTTATGATTTTTATTTAAAAAAATTTAATATAAAGATTTTTATGAATTTTTAATACAAATTTTTAATCAAATTACATATAATTAACTAATAATTATTGTCTTATTTAAAATCATTCAATCTATTAGTATGTTATGGTATTGAATGCTAACACACTTATAAATACAATGATGTTGTCATCACTGAAAACAACTATTTCTCTGTTGATCCTATCGCTAGCATTCAATGCTATTGACTGTAATCTAGGTCTGTATTTAATTCAATAATAATAATATTACACATGTTTAGTATTTTTAAATTATTTAATTAAAGATGCCAAAAAACTTTATGATGATGTTTTATCAAGGTTAGTTTTTGTTTTAAGTTAAATTTATACTATTTTTTATATACATATATTTAATACACGTTTTTATTGTTTTTCTATACATTTAGCTATAATCGACTAATACGACCCGTTTATAACAATAGGTATTTATAACATAAATTTATTAATATTGAAATATGACTAATAAATGACATTTTCTTATTATTTTTAGCGATAAACTAATAGTCAAAATGGGATTAAAGTTGACGCAACTTATTGATGTGGTTTGTATTGATTTTGTTTGATTCAATTTTGTCATCCAATTTACACGCCATATATATGGTGTATATTTAATGAAAACAAAAATTGATTTAACCAGAATCTCAAGAATCAAATTATGACAACTAATGTATGGGTCGATCAGGTATTGCTTCACATTTATTATTGTATAATAATTATTATATAAAAAAATAATTTGTTGCATATTTAATTCTAACGATTAAAAGCTTAAACTATTTATATCATATATTAGAATATAATTATAAAATAATAATAATATTAAAATATATACTTTTGTTTGTTTAACTTTATATTTTTAGATAATAAGTATTTTAAATACTTACTTAAATTATTATTATTATTATTATATATTATAGAATTGGTACGATTATAAGCTTGTTTGGAAACCTGCCGATTATGGAGGGGTCGATATGCTTCACGTTCCCGCTGAAGACATATGGTTACCGGGTTTGTCAATATATTATATAATTTATATATATTTTTTATCAGTTTATTATTTCTATAAATATATAAAAATATTTACAGTATATTTTTGATAAGTATTTTCTCTATGATATACTGAGTATATACTAATGTAGTAAAATGTTTTTATTAATTTAGTTAAATATTATATTATATTATATAATACCCTACTATATATAGTTAATAGCTTTTCGCTAAGTACTGCTTGTTAGCAGAGATAATGCTAATAAAAATAATAACATATTTATAGATCTATTGCTCAATGCTTTAAGTCGGATATCATATTATTTATTGCCATTACATTTATTGTATTAAACAAATTTTTATCTATAATATTAATAAGAGCTAATACTCAGCCAGAAAATTATAATAGCTTTTAATGATATTAACAACAGATATCGTATTATTCAATAACGCCGATGGAAACTATGAGGTGAACCTATTGACAAAAGCCATAGTGTATTATACGGGACATGTAGTATGGAATCCACCCGCGCTTTACAAGTCTACCTGTAAAATAGATGTCGAATACTTCCCATTTGATGTACAACACTGTCTCATGAAATTTGGGAGTTGGACTTATGATGGACATGAGGTATGTATAGTACATTGTATACCATATCAACTTTATTACACATTATTGTTGTTATTGTTTATATTTTGTTTGCTATTAAATTAGCTATATATTTATATATATATATATATTAGCCAATTTATACTTTAACTATTGGGCGCTGATTATTGCTTAGGATAATGTTTGATGTAAAAAAATTATTATTAATAATAGACACAATAGTTAAAGCTTTTTAATAATTTAATCTTATAAAATGCCAACTACATATTTATTATTATTTTATTTTTGCAAATAGCATTTCTGTAATTTATGCAAATTTAATAAATGCATTTTAGCGCAAATGCGTTGCTCAGTGCTAACAAAAAAATATATATAGTAATTTATATATTATTAAAATTAGATAAAAATTAATATCAAATTTCTAAAGATAAAACATTTTGATAAGTTTGCATTAAGCTATATATATATATATATATATAAATAATGATTTTTTTATTGTTAAATATATAAATTCCACACATTTTTGACATTAATTTCATAGCAAACAAATAGAGAGATTCACATTAAAAGAATTTAATTATTTGATAAATCAAATACAGTTTACAAACTTATAAAGTTATATATATATTATATACAAAAAAAACAAACAAAACAAAACAATAGGTAGATTTACGTCACGTCAACCAACACCACGATTCGAGTGCAATGGAAGTGGGTATTGATATGAGTGACTTTTATAAGAGTGTTGAATGGGATATACTGCTGGTTCCGGCCCAATATAATGAAGAATATTATGACGGTCTGCCGGCTCCCTATCCCGACATTACCTTCAATATAACGCTTAGACGGAAAACCCTGTTCTATACGGTTAACCTAATCATTCCTTGTGTCGGCATTTCATTCTTAACTGTTTTAGTATTTTATTTGCCGTCCGATTCGGGCGAAAAGGTCACACTTTCCATCTCTATTCTCGTATCACTCACTGTATTCTTCTTACTATTGGCTGAGATAATACCCGTAAGTCTTTTTGACTATTATTTGTCTCATCACTCATGAGATTTCCAAACTAATTAATAGCAAAAGCCTTTCCATTGATTAATGTATTTATTTATACTGTTATTGTCTCCAAATATAATAGCCAACTAGTCTGGCAGTGCCTCTGTTAGGCAAATATTTGTTGTTCACAATGATTTTGGTCACGTTATCCATATGTGTTACGGTGGGTGTACTTAATGTTCACTTTAGGTCGTCATCTACCCATCGTATGTCTCCCTGGGTGCGCACTTTATTCATACATATGTTGCCGCGACTATTACTTATGAAAAGACCATCTTTTCACGATTGGACTGAGGAGTTGGCCGGTAAGTGTTCATCTAATATCATACTAGTGGTCATATCATATGACATAAGTTTCAAATGTTTAAAGCTGTGGCCTCTAAACACAAATCCAAAGTTGATTCATGTAATGGAGGCTCCAATGGATTGCCTTTGAGAAGAAACTCCTACCGAATGATGCAAAGAAACACCAATAATGGTGGCTATAGAGTAGAGCCTATGTCTTCATACTCTGGTGTTGATCAGCGCTATGTCGACAACGACATACCCGGTCTGCCATTGATCTATCACTACAGCTGTACTCATGAGTACAATAATGTTTTAGACTCGGAGTTAGCGATGCCTGAAATGCCTGAAATGAATGGCAACACGTTTTGCAATATAAATAATGATAACTGTATTCATTGGTCTAATGGACATAAGGATGTCATCGCAAACACAGCACACGAACAGCAGACAAATCAAAATCAATTACTGGGTTCATCATTGCAGACATCAGTGGACGTCCAGAAAGCTATTCAAAGTATTTTAGCCATCGCTGACCATATCAGGAAAGATGACGACGAAAATAATGTGAGTCAAGTGACCCCTCATTCACCGATAACTTTCCCTTTCACTCCCTTTTCTCTCTTTTACTGTCTTTTCTTTCAATAGTTTTTTTCTGTTTTCTATTCACACACTCTCTCCTTATATTCAATATATATTGTATATTATAATACAGTATATATAGTATTATCTAAACTAATCGATAGACAGTTTTGTGATGTTTTTTCGGTGTTTCCTTTGCATTCTTATCATTTTCTTATCAATTGTTTGTCACCGATATATATAAATAAACACCAAATATAATGCACTTGTAGGTGATGGAGGATTGGAAATATGTGGCAATGGTTCTGGATCGACTATTCCTATGGATATTTACTCTAGCATGTTTATGTGGCACCTGTGGCATCATTTTTCAGGTATTGATTTAATACCAGTGCACACACACACACACACACACATGTATGTGATATACCGTATATATAGACAACACACTGTGATTATTGCATAAATGAATTACATTTGACTTGAAGACTAACTAAACTAAACAATGACATGAATAGGACAAACACAGACAGCAATCAATAAATTACCAGACAATTAGTTAATTGAATTGTATGACTGTTTTATATATATATATATTTATTTATAGGCCCCGTCTCTCTACGATCAGAGATCACCTATCGATCAACAGCTCTCACAAATTGGACGATAAATACCATTCATTTTATTTAATCTGTGCTTAATTTTTTGTGCAAAAAATGCTTGTTTTTTAATTAATATTACATGTATTAAAGAGATATTTTGATGTTAATTTCAATTGTTTTATTTTTTCTTTGGTAACTATTTTTATTATTATATTTGTTTTTTTCTAAATAATAATAATATGCAAATATTATTAATGTAAATATAAATATTCAGCTCTTGAAAGGCAGCTAATGTATTAAGCAAATAATATATATATATATTAATAAATATAACTATAAAATATTCAAATAATTGTAAATACATATAAATATTTAAATAATTTGTATTTTAAAAGTAAAAATATTTGTTAGATAATAATAATTGTAATATTACTGAATTATTGTAACATAATTTATATTATATATGTATATAAAATTAAAAAAATTTAATTCCATTTCTCAAACAGTGTTTTATATATATTTAATTTATGGATTTATGTTTTCATAGGATAAAAATCAATAATTTTTAAATAAAATCCCTGAAATGATTTATTTATGAATATATGCATTGCATATTATGCAAACTTATTAATAAAGCATGTTGAGTTATATATAAATAAATATATACTGGTACAGTATTTGAATGGTAAATATATTTTCAATAATCATATCATTTAAATAAATAACATAAAACAGATACACTATATTTATGTTTAGAGTTATGGATATATACAGTGTATATATATATATACTAAAGATTAATAAATAAATAGAATTTTAATTCATATTTATGTGTGTTATGAGTTTATTTTGATACATTAACTTTGATAACATTACCATATATAAGGTAAGAATATACTGTATATATATATATGATAACTATATTTATATTATTTATATTTAGTATAACTCAAATATAAACACATAAAACATGATATGTTAGTCAAAGATGTTTAACATTTTTGCCTCGAATACAGTATTAGTAATTGAGAGAGAGAGAGAGAGAGAGAGAGAGAGAGAGAGAGAGAGAGAGAGAGAGAGAGAGAGAGAGAGAGAGAGAGAGAGAGAGAGAGAGAGAGAGAGAGAGCACTGAATTTGTGGTCACAATATATTTATATTGTAAGTAATTATTTATATACAGAATATAATATAGTGTATATCTAAAAGATTTGGTCACAAAATATAGATTATATTTCTATTGATGTGATTGTTTTGATCAGATTTCAGTTCAATTGATTGCATATAATATGATGCCATTGTTGGTGCAAATAATTGATACAATTGATGGTCAATTCATACATCAAAAGTGATGCCAGAGATAGGAGAGAGAGTATAGCAAAATCATACCATAAAATATAATAATTTTGTTTTTTGCTACTTATTTACCACTTTTGCATATATAGTAAATAATGATTATAATAATAGAGTAGTTATACTATAGAATATTTTGTATATTTTATTATTTATGTTTTATATGCTATTTTTGGGGTTTTATATGTTAGACCAGTCATAAACAGTCATAAACTTGATATTGATTCGTGTTTTAAATGTATTAAATATTATATTTATGTTAATATTATACAAAATAATTTTCAATATTAATCATATAAAACATCATCATCAATATTAAAACATTAATAAACAAATTTGAGCAATATAAAACATATTTTTTAATTTGTTGTTGTTGTTTTTAAATAATTTTTATATTTTTAAACAAAAAAAAACAAGTACGGGTATTAATAATAATTTTTTAAAAATTTCAACTATTTTTACTACAAATTTAAAAACCATAGCAGCTATTAATATTGTTTAATGTTACATAACTAATTTTAACGAATGTAATACACACACAAAATTGTAATAAAATAATTTTACTAATAAAATATATTATATGTATAATATATGTCTTAATTTTTTGAAATATTTATAAAAATTATGAAAAGACATTTTTCAAAAGAAATTACATAAACAACAGCTCTTTTAGCTCCGGGAGATAATAATGATGATTATGTCACACACACACACACACACACACACACACACACACACACACACACACACACACACACACACACACACACACACACTCACTCACATACACATACTGTACTACAAAATATTTGTTGAAATAAATTCAATTACTGTATTAATGTTGATAACATAAAAAAGATTTAATATTTAACAGTTTATCATTTTTTTAAATAGAAAATATTAATTCATATCTCACTTAACAAATATCAATTTAATTTTAACAAAATGTAAAAAATTGAATTATTAATATGATTGTCTACAATTGTATTTTTTACAATTGTACAGTATTTAATTATAATGTTATATACAGGATTTTATTTGATTAATTTAAGTTAATTAAAATTATTTTACATTTTGATTACCAGTAAATATATAAAAATGCTGTATATTAGTGTAATTGATCATATTAGTAGTCATATCTACTATCTAATATAATATACAATATCCATACATTATCTATTACTAAATTTATACTATATTTTTATGATTATTAAATATTTACCTAAATTTTAATATTTGTTTCTAATTATAACATAAAACTAATACAATAATTGAGATAAAAATATTTATCTTGTTAAAATCATATCAAATAAATAACAGTTAGATAAGTGACTACGAGTTTATATTTATTAATAATATAATTATCGTTAAATTATATGTTTTACATTTGTTTGGTCTGACTTTTTCTCTTATAGTATAAGAGATATATGAGAGCAAAGAGCTATCAATTATAATAAGCATCGCTTGTAGTCAGTGTTTATGGCTGTTGTGTCGGACATTGAGTAAAGACCTAAAATGTATTATTAAAGATAATACAAGAATAAAGTGTTATATTTATTGATGTATTGGTTGATGCCGTTTGCAAACGGATCCCAATCTGACTGTGCAGTATGTGGTGGCTTAGCTGATACACATACATACATACATACATACAAACACTTGCACACCAGAGCCCTGAAGATTCACAAAAATAAAAAATAAATTCAAGACATTAGTCAAAGTGACACTTTAAATGTGAATCTTTTACACGAGATATCAAACATAAAGCATAAATACAGTACAACACACCATATTTTGTAAACCTATTTCACCAGATTTATTATGAACTACAATACACTAAAGACTAGAAAACACCATTAATACCGAAGCTATCATTTGGTATTAAATTTTTTCAATTACGATACCATTCAATCACATGTGTTTCGCATATCAAGTCATTAACCAAAATAATGCCGTTTTATTGTTTAATAGTATCTGAAAGTTTGAAAAATTATAATAACAGTCTTTAATTTCACAATATATTATTATTATTACATAAAAGATATTCAAATTGATATTTTCTCAAAAAAATATAATTGTTAAAAAAAATTAATCAAATACTTAATTATATTATAACAACAATAATGATATGAAAAGATAAAAAAGAGAGAGGATATATATATATATATATATATATATATATATATATATATATATATAGAGAGAGAGAGAGAGAGAGAGAGAGAGAGAGAGAGAGAGAATTTGAGATATTATGTTGTATTAAGGAATAGTTAGATTAGAATAGATTAGAAAATCGATATCCAGTAAAATAAAGGAACGGTATGTCAGTTGCTATATGTGTTATGTTTTTGTTTTGTGAGCTTATATATAGTAAAGTAATTTACGAAAGAGAGAGTGAAATGACACACAAAAGCGAGTTCAGCGGCAGTTCAGTCATGTTATTGTTGTTTGCGAGACACTGATAGCGCATTGCTGCTCACTTTGGACACTACTACTATTACTACTACTACTACTACTACTACTACTACTACTACTACTACTACTACTACTACTACTACTACTACTACTACTACTACTACTACTACTACTACCATCACCACCACCACTACCAGTGCGACCAATAGCTATGATAGTGAGAGGCATTACTGGATATTCTAATCTAATTGTGATGTCGAGTAAACTGCCAGCTATTCCTAATTTGATATGTTGTTGTCGATGATGTCGACCATTGTATTTGGTATGAGAGACACAGCATTTGGCACATCCATGCAAGTCATGTCATTATTGAGAGACAGTGAGTGAAAGAGAGTGAATGAATCAATGAGTGGGTGAATGAATGAGAAGGAAAGTGAGAAAGAAAGAAAGAAAGAAAGAAAGAAAGAAAGAGAGAGAGAGAGAGAGATACTGTCTCTTAAAATATAACACATTCTCAACTATAAGCATAAGTACATTATCTTTAGCCTTAAGCGAGATATTATCGTCACACATATCATCACTTATATCATCGCATCCATTGCTTTATTTCACTACACTTAATAATATTGTTTTCAATTTTTACCTCAATTTGTATAAAACTACAGTAGATTTTATATATTATATACTGTATTACTAAAAAAAACTATCTCAATATTTATATATTATATATCTATATAAATAATACTGCATTTATGCATTTCTATAATAAACTGTAGCTTTTTTGGAAAAACAAGAAATTTAATGAATTACTAAAACAAATACAATAAACTTATTTTTTTCTAAACATTTGTTTCATAAAAGAAAAGGAATAAATATAATTGTAATATTATATAAAATATTATATATAAATAAAAAATATTCTATGCTTTGAACACAATTATAGCATAAGTTTAGTATTTATTTTTTTCTGCAGAAGAAAGAAGTCAAATGAAAAGCTATAAAAAACGTGAAGATAAATGTCATCGTCTAAGTCATAACATGTGGTCTTCAATAGTCTTCTATATATATATATAACACTCGGGTATGAAGTGTCACATATCAGTGCTAAACATAACTGCAAAAGACAGCCAACATAGACAATAAGTTATGTCATAATATTGTTAGTGCATTCAAAATAGGCTTACTTTATATATATATATATATATAATTCATATAACTGTAAAAGTATTAAGTAATATATAAATTATATATATATATATATATATGTGTGTGTGTGTAAAGTAACGCACATTCATTGAGACCATCTCTAATGTTTTGAAATACTTTTTTTTTGGTGGAAAATAGCTTCAGATATCAGTACGGATTCCATCTGTTGAATCAATTGCCAGCAGATAATCCTGTATTTCATATCTACTTTTTTGCCACATTTTTCATTTAAGTATATATATATATAATATAATTATGATTGTAAGGTCAGTGCAGCAATTGATAATATATATATATATACAGTATATTCTGTAGAAAATAAAATAACATTTTTTTATAAAAAAATAAGTAAAATAAAATAAGTTATCAAAGTGTTGAAGAATTTAATTTTTTATTACATCAATGCCTTAAAGTCATACATTTTTATATAGTGTTTAACATTTATATTGTATATATTATATAATATATACTATATATCATACTCGGTATTTTATAATATATGAGCTCTCTCTCTCTCTCTCTCTCTCTCTCTCTCATTCTTTCTCTCTCTCATCTATTCATAGCTACTATAACTTTAGGCAATATTCAGTTATTTCAATTCAATTCAAGTGTATAATAAAGTGAATAAAATTACTCAATTCATTGCAAACTGTGTTTCTCAGAGTCGATATTATGCCAAATAAGGGCTAATATTTTATTTATTCTCATCGCTAACGGAAATACTAATTTTTTCATTCAATGATTCTCATACTAATCATTGCAAGCAATTGATCAAACAGTTTGTGATTCAATAATATATTAAGAGATTAATCGATATAAATTATATCATATAATATCATAATTTACATTTATTTTTTCCAAATATAAGTATTAATGAAAACATAACAAACAATATTGTTAGTTTATATAATTAAATTAATATATTATTTTTAAATATAAGATAATATTATATTATAAAATCTTATAGCAAATAAATAAACAAATAATTAAAAATATAAGTATATTAAAAATAATTTAAAAGTACACTTTTTATTATTTTTAACAATAATTTTAATTTATTATTAATATATATTCAATATACATAAAGCTAATATTGTATAATTAAAACAGTAGTAGAAATCATCCATAATTTTTGATATAAATTTAATTTGAATTAGCAATAACCAGAAAAAATGAAAAATTCAGCAATATTAGATAAAATAGTAAATAAACTAATGTATTATTATTATTATTACTATTTTTATTATTACTGTTATTTACGGTATTTATTAAAGTATTAACTCAAATATTATTAAATACTGTAAATAGAATAAATAGGATTAATTGAAACTTTATGATTTAGTCCAAATTACTGAACATATATTTACCATAAAAGCAAAAGTATTTATAAAATAAATGTATCTAAAGATTAATTATCATTAAAAGCATTAAATATATCACTCACATTGATATATTATAAATAAAATTATAAATATATATATTTTTAAATTTATTTATTGAAAACTAATTACACACTAAAATTAGTTTTGAAAATTTTAAACTCAAATTTTTTTAGTTTTTAGTCTAACATAATTTATTTATATTTTATTATTAAATAAATTATATCAAATTTCATATTTGAATTTCATTTTATATAACTTTATTTTATTATTGATTTTGTTCACATAGTAGTTCATAAATTCTAAATAAAAAAACTTTCAAAAATCTAAAACATAAAACTATAAATGGCAACCAATAAATTTTTTAAACAATAATTCTAGATTTTTTTTTATTTTAAAAAAATAGATTTTTTACTTTATTATAATGCGTTAGGAGTCTCCTATACTTGTATAGTAATTATTATTGAATATTTATTATATATATTACATTATAAAAATCGTATATATTGTACATTATATCTCAATACTGTTACTATTATAATTATAAAAAGTTAGTTTTATTAAAAATTTATTTCATAGTGTAATTATTTTATAGGTTTTTGACAGTAAAGCAAAGTTACAAAAATATATGTAAAAGTATTGATTATTTTAACTTTATTGTTATTTAAACGATTAAAATTGATAATATTATTTAATTTTATTAATAATTTTAGCTAATTGAAGAGTAACAAATAGAGAAAATTAACATGATGATTCTATTATATTTATAATATATAAGTAAAATTTTGTTAAACTTTCTAAAATTTTCTAGATTTTTTTTCTAAAGAAATTTTCCTCTTTATAATCAATTATACATAAGACATATGTTTTAAATGTTAAAAAGAGTTATTAATATTAAATATTAGGCATTGATTATTATTTTTTATTTGTTTTTTATTTTTGAAAAAAACTATACATATTTTACTAGAAATAAATTAAATAACATTTATTACAAATTTTTATTTAATAATTTTAATCATTAAATTATAAAATAAATTAGATTAAAATTTCTATGACATTGTTTGTTAACCCTCTTTTGTTAGCTGAATATCAATGGGAAGTCTAGTATCATATAGTGATGGGGCGCTGAATATGATAAGTATGGTACCCATGACACAGGATATGGCAAATATCCAGAGAAACAGTCGGTCCAAAACCATTGCCACAAACTTCCAGTCCTCCTCGATCTATAAATTCGTATACATTCATTTATATATGATATATACAGTATATATATTACAGTATATATATTACAGTATATAGTATATACAGTAATATTGATAATAATAATATATAAATGTGAAGAAAAAATTATGATCATAACGTTAATGCGATCGTATCGATGCCATTACTGGCGATACCTTTTTTACCGGACACTTAATGTTTTAGTGTATTTATGAAAAGAAATAAAAGCAATGAAAGCAACACAACATCAAAAAAATTGTCGCATTTGTCATCGCTATTGCAAATCCATTGCAAACACATACACAAAAAAAAATCTAAGTTTTATAACGATTGCATCAAAACGATCGATACATTATATTCACGGCAATCATATGTCTGCCCAATAGTATAGTACTTGACTGAGAGCATTGGCATCACTCACCCGCTCTCTCTCTCTCTCTCTCTCTCTCTCTCCGTTCACTTACTCACTCATACTTTCCTTCTGTTTCTTTCTTTCTCTACAAACAATTGAGTAAAAAAGTGAAATATAGTCTATCGTTTAGTTTTTTTTTGGTAAAAGTGGATTCAATGGCATTTAGTGATGCATTTGATTTTGGCGAACGTTGAATGAATATACGAGTATAAGAAATAATACACAAAAAAAACGTCTAACGATGACTGCGGACACCAGAAAATGTTGAGATAACAAAATATTTACCATAAACTCCCCGTCCCTTCACTACTACTACTACTACTATCCCTTTCAGCCACTATTCTCTATTGCAATCTTTATATATATATATATATATATATATATATATATATATATATATATATATATATATATATATATATAAGTATATATACATTGTATACAACTATTGTGTTGTCTGTTATTACAAAACCCCTAACAATCGATTTTTTATTATGAGATAAAAAGTTTGCAAATAAAAGCAATTTTCTAAAAGAAATATTTTGATAGAAACAGAATTAAAGTATTATTCTTATTATTGTTATTATATATATATATATTTCTTTAATGAAACAAACAAATCAAGTGAAGTGATTATTTGAAAGAGAATGTGAATGAATTGAGAAATGCATTTTCTGGACATTAATTTAGTTTGAAATCAAATAGGAAAGTGTGTGAATTAATTAGGATATGAGACCCACATTATCTGTATGTCAAGGGGTTATATAACAGTTATATAGTATAAAATAATGCCATAGAAGTGGTCAACAAATAAGACCACAAGAAAATAGTATAGTCATTGACAAAATGTTGTGTGTCTTTCTTAAACCTAAAGGTGCTCTTTTGGTAGTAACACAAGGAAACGCCATTAAGGTTCAGCTGACAGACCCTTTCCATTGAATAATTACACTATCATTCAATATATATTGTTATAATGTATATCTAGCGTTATATATATATACCGTATATTTATATATTCAATATATTGTATATTCACTACATTTTCTCCAATTCCTTATAATGCTTTTTCTCTCTCTATATGTATATTTTGTCGGCAATACTGCACTTAAATCGCTTGCCAGCCGTCTCTCTCTCTCTCTCTCTCTCTCTCTCTCTCTCTCTCTCTCTCTCGACTCACTCTATGAATGTATCGATCGCTAAATAAATACTAACCGTTTGCTTCTTCATTCCTATGCATTATATAATACTGTATATATTATATATAGTATATACTGTACTATATATATACAGTATAATGTATATAACAGTCTTAAGTGAGAAGCAGTTTTATATATAATTTATATATATATATGAAAAGGGGTTTCATTTTTTTAGACATGAAATTGATTCTGAGTTTAACACAAAAAATTGAATTTTGCTTCACTTAAAAGCATTGAATCGTAAAAAATTGTGGACTGACTTGAGTCTGACAATCAAAATAATCTAATATTAAACATAAGTATTATATAACGCATATACGTATATATATATTGAGGATATATTACATTATACAATATATATATATTGCTATACGTATACTATACCGGTATATATATTTTATATTTGTATAATCAATTATAGCAATAACACAATTCTCTCTCTCTCTCTCTCTTTCTCTCTCTCTCTCTCTCTCTCTCTCTCTCAAACTCGTAGCTCACTTGACATCACTTCTCAATGAAATGCAATTATGTGTACCATTTCCCTCCCTTAACCTCAACTTATATTAATATAGAAAGTAGGATAGAGTATATACTATATACAGTAGTAGATTGTTAAGTATGATATAAAATATACAAAACATTAGTGATAATAACAATTGAATTTAAATTGTAATTCAAAACATGATACATAACTTACCTCAAGATATTTGTCGAGATTGATATTATGCTGAGCCATAAACCTGACCCCCAAAACTGCTTTTTCCATTTCAGGGCATAACTTTTTTTTCGACGCTTCCATTTCATCGGTCACTGACCCGGCAGGCAATGGACTAACAGTTTCAGCATCCGTTGCAAAGGGATCGGCATCGGTGTCATAATTGGGTGGCAAAGGAAAGCCTATTCTGTCAACACATTTGTCGGCTCCGTTTGTATGCAACGTCTTAATTGACAACATATTAGATTTGTCCGGCGGTGGCGGCGGAGGGAAGTCATTGAGTGAATTGTTACTCACTCTTCTAACACCGGTTTTCGTTAATATGATTGGCTTCTCTGGTAATCCCATGTCTCCGACCGGAGGCGATAAACGTTTGCCATTATTACTATAGCCGTAATGTATGTCATCATCGATATCGACATCATTTTCACTTGCTTTTGGTCTTTGCATACACAGAAGTCGTGGCAATACATTCAAAAAGACAGTCTTAACCCACGGCGCCATACGATGGGTTGCCGGCGAACGGAAGTTCACATTAAGTACTACTATAGTGACCACTACTGATAGGGTCACCAAAATCATTGTGAATAACAGATATCTACCCAATAGTGGAACCTTTAGACTCGTCTGTGGTATGATTTCGGTCAACAACAAGAAGAATACACCCAATGATAGCATTATAGTTATGGAAAGACTGACCTAAAAATTTATGTAACAATCAAAGTAATTGGTATTAGGTTTTAGCCACTTTGGCCATCATTTTCCAGTTAAATATTATTAGTAGTAGTATTATAATGATTGTAGTGATGGACATACTTTCTCTCCACTGTCTGACGGCAAATAAAAGACCAAAATTGATAGGAAAGATATGGCGACGCACGGGATAATCAGATTAACCGTATAAAACAGGGTCTTCCGTCTCAGTGTTATATTAAATGTAATGTCCGGATATGGCATTTCACAACAGCTAAACATACACACAAAAACACATCATTTGGTATATGAAATGAAACTTTCATTAAATCTAAGTGCTTATCGACAAACATGAGAGTAGTAGTACTACTAGTAATAGTAAAACTGTATATTGTTTTAATAGACTATACCTATAAAACTTTTCCTTTCTCTTGGCCGGCACTGACATTATATCCCATTCAACACTCAAGTAGAAAGCACTCAAATCCATACCCATTTGAATGTAATTACTGTCCTCTAGTTGTTTCATATGCTTGAGATCGACCTAAAAATAATTTTCAAGTATACTCTCATTTGCATAAAATATCAGTTTTTGGTCATTTTAAGTGTCTTTTTACATAAAAGCTATATTTGCATAATACATTGCATACAATTATTATTATTATAGACATCAATAAAACATTTAATGATTATTGTAATTATAATGCTTATTATAGATAAGTATTATTAATAACAATTTACATACCGTATAGCCGTCATATCTGCAATTAATTAACAATAATTGCACTCATTAGATAAGTAATAAACATTATTATAAATAAAATTTTAATACTATAGAATATATTTATATATACAATATATATTTCTATTTATTTAAAAATAATTTACAAAAGTTTAGTAAATATTAATCATTATATAAGCGTAAAAATATTTGTCTCGTTTTTTAACCAATAATAAGATAAATGCGGTTTTATATAAATATTAAATCATGTCTGCCTTTTCATAGCTAATAAAAGATTTAATTTATTGTTTTAAATTGTTTGCTTTTACAATTGATTATCTATTTGTGTGTGAAAGCTGTCAAACAAAATAAACGGCTAACCGTTTAATGAGAGACACACACAAAAAAACATAATACTACAGAACTAACATAAATGGTCGACAAAATAATTGATTTTTGTTTATTTGAAGTGACTTTTTTGAATAAGAAATTTTTTCAATTTTTTATATCAATAATAAAAAACAAAACAAAAAATTGCATATGATTTGTTTTGCGTACAGATATATAAATTATATATATATACTTTATACTATATATTCTAGTCATATATTTAAGCGCTTCATGTATTAAATAGGACGGAATTAATCGTTCAATATTTCAAATATAAGTTTTGTGTTAAAGATTTTATTTTTTATTATTTTTTCTTTCATTTTATGCTCGAAAAAATCCCTTTTTATATGATATATACAGTTTAATATATATATTATATAAAAATTGGCAGAAAATTTTTATTAATATTGCATTTGAAAAGTAGTTGTAATGAAGAGTTTTTACAAAGAGTTCAGTGTTGTAATGAAGGCATGAATTTATTTCTAAATCAACCAAAAATTGGCTTAATTTCATGAATTACACAAAAATTTCATTTCTCCGACAAATTTATTTCTAATCAATTTATTTATTTATGTAATAGTTAGACGTATAGTATTTTATACTGTATTTAGGTTTTTACAGACAACTAATATTATATATATATATATATACTTATATGTTGTCAAATAAAGCATTAAATGAGAGTAAATTATAAGAAAAAAGTTTATCTTTGCTATGATTTAATAGATATAAAAAACATTATTATTATTATTATTACTTCTACTAGTAATGATAATTAAAATTGGATATATAATATTATATAACTATTATGTGCTATCATTCAAACATACAGACTATTATATCCTACAATTTTGTTGTTGTTGTATATAAGTGCAGGTGTATTGAATTTATATAGTTAGACACTCCTGGGAATGGCTATTATTGAGTTAAAATATTGTTAAACAAATAAATATGTTTTGATATCTGATAGATATTTGTAAGTAAACAACTTAAATGGTCAACTAAAATAAACTTTAAAAAAGCAATACACGTAATACATTTTCTTAGTATTAGTATATTAAATATATACTATAATACATTATACACTAAAACTATTATACATTGTATTATATTTATATAATAAATAAAGTATTTTATCTCAATTGAATAATATCATCAATAATAATAATAATTTTATTTTAACTTACGTCCAGCTCCCAAATTTCATGAAGCACTCTATACACAAATTATTGAATATGAATGCATTTTATAAAATAAAATAAAAATATATTAATATATATTTTGAGAAATTTTAGTTTAATAACAATTTTATAAATAATCATTAATATATATACCCTGTTCATCAAATGGAAAATAATCGATATCTATATTACAAGAGCTCTTATAAATTGCCGGTGGATTCCACATCACTTTTCCCGACTCGTGCTGTCAAACGAGTCAATCATTTAAAAAAAAATAATTTTATCATTTCAATCATTTTTTGTTTGTTTGCTTACAATAATCGCTTTAGTCATTATTACCACTTCATAGTTGCCATCAGCACTTAAAAAATATATATAAATTTCTATATTATTGAATATTTAAAGTTAGATATTTAGATTTTGTAATAAATAATATTATATATGTACTATTATATAAATACAGTATTTATGTTATTATATTTGTAAAACATAATATAGGCGTTAATTGTATAATTTGCTTAATTAAAAATAATTAATTTTTTTATTGAATTTAATAAACATAAAACATTATTATCTTACTTATTATAAAGTACAATATCTGGTAACCAAATTAGTTCAGATGGTACATATAATTTTGTAATTCCTCCATATTCATCTGGGTCCCATTTTAATTTATGATCATACCATTCCTATCAAAATGTTATTGTAAAAAAATAATAATCATCATAATTATAGTAAAATATTAACAGCAACAAAATTAATTTTATTATATATAATATTTAAATTGATTGTAATCTATTGTAAAAGATTGACTATAATTGATGCGATGATAATAAAAATAAATATAAATGATGTCCAATTTAGTAAACAATACACAGTTATTTTTTAAGAGTGAGTGAGTGAGAGAGAGAGAGAGAGAGAGAGAGAGAGAGAGGGGATATAAGAGTAAATTACAAGAAAGAGAGTGAAAATTGTTATAATGAATCAAATCTGTAATTTTTCTCACGAAGATCTCTTAAGATTAGTTGAAACACTTATTTCTGCATTTTTATACTTTCTTTCTCTCTCTCTCTCTCTATCTATCTATCTATCTATCTATCTATCTATCCATCTATTTATTTACCTAACTATCTATCTAACTATCTATCTGAATGTCTGATGTCTATAAACATACACAACCATTGAGAGCACTGTTTGTTATTGTATTGTATAGCATGTCATTGTTCATCAAAACAAAAATCATAATATTGTTGGTATTCGTGATCTTATCTCAAGTTATGAGATACTGTTATATAACTATTGGGCACTCAATCTATATCTACTATAACATAAATAATACACTAATCATAAAACATGTTTGTTTTGAACAAAAAGCTCATTAAATATACACTAAATTATACAAATAATAATATTGTTTAGAAGTACTTAAATATTTAATATAGTTTTTAAAAATAATATTAATTTAATAATAATATCAGTTATTATCAGAATATACTGTAGCTGTTGTCAAATAATAACTTATAAAAATTACTTACTATATTTACAACAGTATACTGTATATTGTTAGAAGTGAGCCGTGTGTGTATATATATGTATGTATGTATGTATGTATGTATGTATAGTCGATATAATTTAATGCTATTTTGGTGTCGATTTTTAGATGCTGTCAATGTGTGTGTCGTATTGTATATAAGTTTTTGTTGTATATACTTATAGAGATAGAAGTATATGATAACATTATATCCATTAAATTGGTTATGGATTGCATGTCTCAGCTATATTACTAAACATTGGCAACACATTTGGTGATGACTATGATGGCTATCAGTAGGTCTGGCATATTAAGTCTAAGTGCAAGTGCTTCCAGTTATCAGTGATGCTAATGCTGTATCGGTCCATACTATTGGTAAGGCTGTGCCACCACTGCATTGCGTCTAACAATTGCCATCATTTAAAGCACAGGGCTATGGGTATTGATTTGTTCAATGAGTGCATCAGTTGCCCGCAAATATTACTCAACCATTCAATTTGTTTGTAATCTTTGAATTATTTATCAAAAATAACAAGCAGTTTAAACTCATGTAGTTTTTTAAAGCTTTAATTTGTTGATTGAAACACTCTCTTATTATAACTACTACTTAAATCACAAATTAACATAAAAATATACTATATATTATATGCATAGTTTATATGCACGAAAAATAAAAATAATAAAATAAACTTTTTTATATACTTTATATATATATACTCTATATGTCTTTAGGCATATTTTATAAATTTAATTTACAATAACATAAGTAAATCTAGACTTATATAATAGAGTTTATTTTTATAACATTAAGATTGTTTAATATATTTATAGTAAAATGTAAATTTATTTCAATTTTTCCAGCACTTAGTACATTGATACAATTGATATTTATATAATATTATTTATAATTTTTTATTAAATTTAACTTTTTTGTTACTATAAAAATATTTTATTATTGAGAAATATGTTAATAAAATTAAATAATATTTTTAGAGATAAATATTAAAATACGAAAAAAAAAATATTCTAACAAAAATGAAATAAGTAAAATCCACAATATTTAGATAATTTTTTATTTGATTTATCTGCAAAATATTTTATGTATAATATTATATAAAATTTTCAGAATAAAAATAATTGTTAAAATTGCATAATTATTTCTATACAATTTTAATTTTATTTATGTGTTAAAAAATTATTTTTTGATTAATATAAAATATTGCTTTGTTTATAGAGATGAAATATCTCTAACAAATTTTCGTAAATATATTTCTAGAAAGTTTTCAAAAAAATACGACTAAAACTAAAAAAATGTAATCATATTTATTTTAATATTAATTAAAATACTAATAATAGTATTTAGTTATTATAAATAATTATATGTAATATTAAAAGATAATAAATGTCGGAAAAAACAAAATTAACATGGGGATTCTGTATATTATCAACTCTATTTGTTTATCAAAATTATTTGTAGACTTCATAATAAAATTATATTTTTTTTATTATTGTATTAATTATTATAATGTTATTATTATAAAACTGTAAAATATATTTAAATTTTAAACAGATATGAAAATATATTTAGTTAAAAAAATTATTGTTATGATTTTTGTTGTATTAAAAATTTATTTTAAATCACAAACTAAATTAACTAAGCATTATAAAAATTAGTAAATATACTGTATATACTGTATAAATGTATATTCAAATCATCATATTCTCTATTATTGTTTATAATATATTTATGTCATTTAAATCATAAAAAATTTTAATATACAATATATGTATTTAAAGTATGTATGTTTAAGATATTCAATAAAATTAATTGAAATTATATTAATAATATACAGTATATATAGTGCTAACTAACATTATATAAATTTATATTTATTTGACATAAACTATAAATATAATTTATATACAGATTATGTTATGTAAGTCATCAAACCTGATTAACCCACATGTTTGTTGTCATTATTTGATTTTTAAGATTCTGTAAACAAATCATAATTTATAATATTTAGATTAAATATATTAAATTACTTGTAAATATATATATATATATAATATTTATAGGTTATAATTTTAAAGTAAACTTAAATAAATATAAATTAAAAACTTGCTAGTTTAATCAAAATAAAAATATATATATTTATGCAAATAAAAAATTTAATCTATAATATAATAAATAATAAAATAAACTGACCACATCAATTAGTTGAGATAATTTTAATTCCATTTTTACTGTTATTTTATCACTATAAAATAAATATTTATAATTAAAAAATTAGTTTTATATTAATCAATTATAATTGTTTAAAATTTTATGTTTACCTATTGTTATAGACCGGGCGTATTAGGCGATTATAGCTAAAAAATAAAAAATAAAATTAGATTTTTATTGTTTACTAAATTTTGGATCAATTAATTCAATTACCCGGATAATAGATCGTCATATAAACGTTTGGCATCTAAAATATAATAAATAAAATGAAAACAATATTTTTATTTAAAAAAACAATAACAATAAGACCTGGATTGCACTGCATGTGTCGGAATGTTATTAATAAAACAATTGATATAACAAATTGATGTAACATTTTGTTAGTAATTACAGATCAATTATATGTATTTATGTTTTATAATATAATAGGAATTTAATTAATTCTGATTATTTTTAAATAAAAATTTTGATTATAAATATTTTGGACAATATATTTGCAAATAAAAAAAACAGTTGTAAGACATGAATACATTGAATCGCGCATCGGTTGGCTTCGCAATTGAGATGTCGGTGCGATTTTGCGCCATTCATGGCATCTGAAGATATTTTGTGTGTTTTGAAAATATAAAGATTTTCTTAAAAAATATCACACAATAATAATATTATTAGTTATTATTATATTCAATTAGCCATCAATTTTATTAATATATAAATTAAAAACATATATTTATATCACATTTTACATTGATATAAGCATAATGTCATACCTTAAAGCAACTGTTACTCTATGGATCGGTTTGTTTGCTTACAATGTGGTTCATTGTAATCCAGGTCTGTTTGTTATTTTCAGTGCTTATACTCTTTTATTGTATAATTTATTATGCTATTAAAATATAATCTTATTATTAAATTAAAACAATTATTAAATAGATGCTAAACGACTATATGATGATCTATTATCAAGGTTAGTTAAAGATTTTTAATAATTTACATTAACAAAAAAACTAGTATTTATTTAAACATTTTTATACTGTATATTTTTATTATTATATTATAGTTATAACCGATTGATACGACCTGTCTACAATAACAGGTAATTAAAAAAATTAATTACTCTATCATTTAATAAAATTGTTAATTTATTTTTCTCTATTTAGTGATAAATTAATTGTAAAAATGGGATTGAAATTATCACAACTTATTGATGTGGTTTGTATTTACTGTATTATTATTTATTATTTATTATTGAAAATAAAATTAATGTATTAATTATTTCATTATTCGGCAGAATCTCAAAAGTCAAATAATGACAACTAATGTATGGCTTAATCAGGTATTGAATAAAAACAAAAATTATTAAAATTTTGTTTAATATGTGTTAATTGACACAAAACAAATAATAATAAAAATTTTATTAAATATTTAAGTAGAGTTTCATTATGACTTAATTGATTATTTTTACTAATAAGTATTTAAGTGGTTATACTACAAATTTTAATTTTTTACTGATAATAATTTTTATATTATGAGTTTATAACAATTAGATACAATTAAAACAATTTTTAGAATCTCAAAAAAACATAAAAAATAACAAAAACAAGTTGTTTAATAAATTTAAATATATATTTTGTTTGTATTTCAAAGTCTAAGTGTATATCGGTGCTCATTTACTGTACATAAACTGTAAATGAGATAAAATGTTATACAATTACACTGTAAGTTCCATAGTTGTATGCTTCTCATAAATTTCGAATCGAGTTCTAACTCAATTATTTACTGAGATATTAATCAAAAATCAGTGTACACCATTTTGGCAACAATTTAATTCAATATTTAGATTAGTAAACAAATTTGTGTCAATTGCAATAAATATATACACAGGACAAAATAATTTTGTAATTCATGTAAAATATTATAATTATTAAACAAATTATAGCCATAAGTCAATAGGATTTAATTTATTTTAATATTAATATTTTTATATGGATAACAAATAATGTTGTTATTTTCTTAAAAAACAAAATTCATATTATGCTATAATTTTAATCTGTGATAAATACAAACAAGTTGTTTATGGTTATTGTATTGACCATAATGTGAATTATCATTTAAACATTAATTTTTTGAAATTTAATTGTGTTTAATTTTTCAATTGAAAACCATTATAATCACTAACAAAATTTAAGAAAAACATTTTGTCAAAAAATTAATGTTTTATTTTTTTAAATCTTTCAAAAAATACTAATTTCATTAAATCATTTAAGACAACATAGCTGTTATTTAGCGATAATATTTGTATATATATATATATATATATATATCGTAAGATTTTAATGTTTAGACATAACATTCAATTGGACTTTGTTTTGATGTTTTTTTACAAAAAATAGTGGATTTTAAAGGAAATTATTATTAAGAAAAGTTATTTTTAAATTAAGTAAATCACTTAAGAAATCAATACTATTATATATATATATATATATATATATATATATATATATATATATATATGTGTGTGTGTGTGTGTGTGTGTCTGAGCATATCCTTGACTAAACTATGATGAGTCCAGTGTTGCCGACATTTGTTTAAATGATAGCTGAGATGCTCATTGCAGTTAACATTTAATATATGCCAGTTCTCATTGACCACTAGTCCAGTCATAATCATCGGCAAAATGTGTTGGCAATGACTGGAAAAATTGCTGAGACATGCAATTGAAGGAAAAAACAAATACAATGACTATAATAATAAAGCCATAACTGTTTCATTTCAATGACTTTTTACTAATGTGACAAACATTGAAAGCATCCTAAAGTGTCTAACAAATCGACAGTTTTTCAAATCATTTCAAAAATAGCGATCGCAATGATGACTACAATTCAATACATTAGTCAATACTATTATTCAATATAATTTATATATATATATATATGTGTTACACAACTCTTTAACTTTAACTGATTAATGCCTTAGAATGTCTCAATTTTGGTCAATCACTTTCAATTGCTATTTAAAATCAAATAAATTGTGTATATATTTCTATGATATATATTTCAAAATTATATGTAATCAATATAAACTATAATGTTAGATATAATATAAACAATATAATATATATATAAATTAACAGCAATATAAGATGACATTGTGTGGACATAAATTTATACTTATAAGACATTACACTTAAATTTCATCATAAGTTGAAAAACTTGTAATCATATAAATTGAATGTCTTGGCTATTATTTTAATATATTATCACATTATATGTTAGTTTTCTCGTCAAATACAGTATATCTTAATGATTGAGACACTCAGTAATGCCTTTTTATTAAATACTACAGTATTATAATATTGATTATTATACAGTACTACTGTAATATTACTGTTAGTATAAAATGGGGATTCAATTACTTAATGCAAACTCATTGGTGTTAAATTCATTGTATCGTTAGGATTTGAAACATACATTTTTGCTGTTATTGTTGTTGTTTGAAGTAAAAAGTCGATATATTAGATGACAGTCTCAACTAAATTAAAAGCAATTCAATCGATATTTGGATTTTCAATTTTTATGAACTCATCCTTCAGTCCCTATCATTCCTTATGTTTAATCAATTACTGCCATTTAGAGGGCTGTCTATCCTATTGTTATGTCACACATTCACACACATACTGTATATACTGATATAAATTATATACTGTATATATAAACTCGTTATTTCTATTGATCTCTCAATAATAATCATCGCAAACAATAATATTGTTTAGCACTCAATCATTTCTCGCATAAAATGTTAGACCAGTTTTTTGGGTTCATATTTAATATTTTCAATCGATTTGTTAATTGTGTTGAAAAGTATAATATGTTTTTCTCCATATTTTGTTTGTTTGTTAAATAGATGCAGAATTCATAATAGCGTTTAAAAATGACGCTATTTTTATAATATACAAAATAAAATCAAGTGAAACAAAATTTATATATACATAATATTTATATATATATTTATAAAAAAAGAGACAAAATACTTGACAACATGTGACAAATGTTTCAAAAAACTCGTGTAATCTTTTTTTTTAAAAAATAGTTTTTTATCTATTATTTAGCTTTTTATCGTTTTTTGGAAAACATTTTTATAAATCGTATTTTTTTAAAAACATTATGTTATAGATGTTGATATTTTTGTTTTGAAAAGTTAATTAAAATATTTTTTAAATTTCTATTTTTTTCTATTTGTGTGTCTACTATGAGATTATTAATGCTGACATTAAAAATGTTTATAAATTGTTAAAGTAGTTTAGCGTTCATTAAATTTACAATTTATCTTAATTAACCAACTTTTATTAAGATAATATAATAATTTAATTGCTGAACAAAAATTATTTTAAAAATATTTTTTAACATATTATATATATATATTTAATATCAGATAATAAACATTATTTTACAAATAAACTATTGAGAATGTAATAAATTGGAAAATTAGGAAAACAATAGTTAATTGAAAAAAAATATATATACTGTTTTTTTGGTCTAAGATTGACTAAAACATAGGATTTTTACTTGATTTGCCTTAAAGTACAATATCTTTAACAATAGTAATGCTTTTCAAGTATTTAATTTGTTTTCTGTGATTAAGGGTTATCACAAATTGTGTTTTTGTTATTTCGTTGTATTATTTGGTCAAAACATCTAAACATTCAAACATTTGGCCCTTAATTTACTAAATAATAGTTGTATACAGTATATTTCAATCTATAACTATATATAGTATAGCTATAGCTAAATATATATATATATATATATATATATATATATATTCAATTTAATACGAAACTCTACTGAATTTTGGTTTAAAATTCATTTTAAAGCAAATAGAAAATGTTTTTGTTTTTAAATTTATATATATTTCTCTTATTCTTTTGATAAATACATTTAGTATTCAATGCAATACTTCATTGATTTCACAAACCATTAATATTTATGCGATTCTAAAAAGGATCTTATAGTATATATAATATTAAATAGATTGCACTTATATAATATATAATATTGTGTATATATATATACATTATATACTGTATAAATATATTTCTATATATAAATATTTAAATCGATAAAAGAAGTTATCTAAATTTTTGCAATATATATATGTATGGTAGGAATGGACAGATTATAAGCTGAAATGGGATCCCAGAGAGTATGGCGGAGTGTCTCAGCTGTATGTGCCGGCAGAGGAGATATGGTTACCAGACATTGTTCTCTACAATAAGTAAGTTATGCACTAATACTTAATTCTCTGTTTGTATTTTATATGTACAGTATATATGATATACAGTATGTATACAAACACAGAGAATATTCTGTATCTATATATGAACTCATTTGATTGGCTTTGTTTTGTTTTTGACAAATATGAAAACAGTAGTAGTAGTAGTAGTATCAGTAAAAGTAGTAATAACACTAGTATTAAATTATTATCGATACAGTAATTATCATTTTTACAATATATGTTCAATAATATTACTGTAATAATAATTATATTCAGTAGTATTTGTAAATAAAATTTTAATCAAAATTTTCCAAATTTGAAAATAAATTCCTAAAATAATAGTCTCTCTCTCTCTCTCTCTTCTCTCCTTCTTTCTTTCATTCTTTCTTTCTCTCTCTCTCTCTCTCTCTCTCTCTCTCTCTCTTTCATATTTAATATTATAAGCCACGAGTGAACTGTTTTGTATAAATATACGTTTAGTTGCGAAGAAAAGCTTTGCACACATTTAGCATTGAATGCAATCAAATAACTTAGTAATTGTAAGCCATGTGGACGTAACAAATCAATGCTCAGTCGACTAGCATTTAATGCTCTGTAGTAACAGTAGTTGTTGTTTGCAAATGCATTCAAGTCTTGGCTTTTTTCATTCAAAGCACTGGGAATCCAAGGAATGCCTACCGATTGCCAACGATTCCCATACACACCAGTAATAATGTGTGTGTGTGTGTGTGTGTGTGTTTGTATGTWTGTGTGTGTGTGTGTGTGTGTGTATGTATGTATGTATGTATGTATGTATGTATGTATGTATGTATGTATGTATGTATGTATGTATGTATGTATGTATGTATGTATGTATGTATGTATGTATGTATGTATGTATGTATGTATGTATGTATGTATGTATGTATGTATGTATGTATGTATGTATGTATGTATGTATGTATGTATGTATGTATGTATGTATGTATGTATGTATGTATGTATGTATGTATGTATGTATGTATGTATGTATGTATGTATGTATGTATGTATGTATGTATGTATGTATGTWTGTRTGTATGTATGTATGTATGTATGTGTGTATGTATGTATGTGTGTGTATGTGTGAGTGTGTATGTATGTGTATGTGTATGTATGTGTGTGTGTGTGTGTGTGTGTGTGTGTGTGTGTGTGTTTGTATGTATGTGTGTGTGTGTGTGTGTGTGTGTGTGTGTATTGGCTGTGAACGTGATATTACATACAAACAAACGTCTTCTAACTCCATAGACATCACACGTTCATATCGTACAGAGTTTTTAGTCACATCTTTACAGTATTTATATAACATTTATAGCCAACAATTCATATATATATATAACAAAATATTTTTTATATGGTATTTATAAAATGTAGTGCAATTGTAAACTAAATGTGTCGGTTGAACACTGTGTTAGCCACTCACGTCATATACAGTAATAAAGAAATATAACACTGAAAACCTATACATTTTTGTCTAATCATAAACTATATTTCAAAAACATAACTATTATATACTGTTTATATGACGCTTTCAATGGACTTAACATTAATTGCACTTTTTATATCAATACTTCAATATACAGTATTTATAAGTTATTATTGAAACGCTTAGGATTTCAAATTTAAGCCATAATATTATAGTATACAGTATTTTATTTACAGTATAGTATATAGTATTTTTTAAATATAGCTATTTATACAAATTTACATTCAATGCATAGTATAGTGTATTGCTAGTTTTGACACAATGTTATCAAAATGTTACATATAAACTACTATCTAGTGGTTGAAAATATATTTTTTTATTTATACTGTATAAATAAATCTTAAATTTAGTTTTTTATTTGATTTTTATTGCAATCTCTAAATCTCAGTTGCTTTATATAGCACTATATGATATAATATCTTATATATATATATAACATTTTAAATCTAATTCAACTATAAAATATGTTATATAAATGACATGCAATATCTATTGATGTGTATAAATGACAATTTAGTTTATAATATATAGTTGAATGTGTTCTGAATTTATATGATTTAATTGTGACAAACTATTTAATGTAATGTAATCCTATTTAATATCTTTATATTATGCATACCAAACTCTAGTATTAAATAAAGTTAACAAATAATTACAATAAATTATAGTCTATATAAGTATATAATTTACTGTATATATATATTTATTTATATAATTTGCTGTAAAATTATAATAATAGTTATCTATCATATTTCATAGTTATGAATAAATTAGCATTTTAGTAAAGTTATAATACAAAATGATGAGAGCTAGCAGTGAGATCAACATTTATAATTTAGTCAAAATATAATATTTTTAATTTAATTTTATATTATAATTGACTTTGATAATATTATTACTGTAATGTTGTAAACCACATTATATACTGTTTGTTAGTTTTCATGAAAAACATTAAACTTAATTTATTCAATAAACAACAACAACAACAAAAATTGAAAATAATTTGATTTTTAATGTAACGAATATTATATGATATATACATTATAGTAATAAATGAATAACATTTTCATTTGTTTATAATTTTTTCTCTTTTTTAGCGCTGATGGCAATTATGAGGTTACTATCATGACTAAAGCTATCATTGTAAGTATCAATTATTATTATCACCCATTATTATTTACTATTACTATTAGTAATAGTCATTTTAGATATCTATTAGCCATTTATCAATAATACGACATGTAATACTACTACTATATATTGTATTATATATATATATATATTACAGTATATACCTTATATAAATTATATCTATATATCATATAAAGTACGAAATTATGCGCTAAAATGATTGACTCGTTTGACAGCACGACTCCGGAAAAGTGGTTTGGAATCCGCCGGCGATATACAAGAGTTCTTGTAATATAGACATCAATTATTTCCCATTTGATCAGCAGGGTATGTGTGCCACCAAATCAAGTATTATCACACATTATCACACATTATTATAATATTAATAATAATACTCAATTTAGTTGAGGATAACAACTATTATATAACTTACGTAGTGTTAGTACAAGTAGTGATCTCTCTTTCTTTCTGTCTCTCTTTTCTCTCATTTTATAATTTTATAAATATTTGTTACCAATAAATATTTTTGCACAAAATCACCATATGATATACTAATATAATATATTTTTTTATTATATTAAATTACATATAAAATAGAATATTATTAAATTTTATAACAACTAAAATGTTTGTTGTACTGTATGTATATTTACTGTATTAGATTATACTGTATGTAAGTACTGTATATATAATATAATGTATTTATGTAAATTTAATATAATAAAAATTTCCAACTCTAACTTTTATCATTTGTATGCTCAGATGCCTACAAATCAATGCTAATAATGATGATAGTAATAATACTTTTTAAATTTGTTTGTATCAAATTTTTAGCATTTTTTTATTGTTAATAATATGATATACCTGTATTATAATATATATATACATTTGTATTGTATTATTTATATTCTGTGATAATTAATACTGACATAACAATAATTTTTAATATCAAATATTTTTTTAGTGTTATAAGCAAATGAATACTAAATATATAGAGTGTTTGTCTATATTCTAGTAAAATATAACATTTTAATATAAGAATACGATTCTTATACTAAAATGTTATAATACTATATATATATATATATATATATATATATATATATATATATATATATATAGAATATATAATATATTATATACTGTATATAAATTATTATATAGTCTAATAATATTACAAAATAGAGTATATTAGTAATAAACTCGTTTCGGTGACCAATATATCATAACTATGTTAACTAAAGCGTGAGTTAGTTCGGGTGTCTATAATAGATGAGAGTTTCAATTGTTGGTAGAGATTAATGATCTGAAGTTTTCCTATTATTATTACTTCACATAGAAATTGAGTGCCAATCGATGGACCGATAATTTGAATTCTCAAACATCTCTTTTTCTTTTTAATAAAAAAAAATTATTTTAGACGAAAAAAAAGTGCTTTGAATATTAAAATCTTGACTAATGTAAATAACTTTAAATAATTTTTTTATATACAGTATATATTAACTTTTAGTCTATACTACTGTATATCATATGGATAAATCTAAACTAAAATAGTATATAATTTATTTAATATTATATTTTCATGTTTGGAAAGATGAGCTCAAAATTTTAATTATAAATGATTTTTGTCTCTCTTTTTTCTATGTCGGCACACATTTGATGACATACACGGTTAGAATGCTCGATGAAGTTCGGCAGCTGGACGTACGTTATTATACATTATATCATTATTTTATTTTTTGATTACAATAACCAGCAGAAAGAAAGAAAGAAAGAAAGAAAGAGCTTACCATTTAATGTTTCATATAATAGTGCTCTCTTGGATGCTCTCTCTCTCTCTCTCTCTCTCTCTCTCTCTCTCTCTCTCTCTCTCTCTCTCTCTCTCTCTCTCTCTCTCTCTCTCTCTGGTATTTCTGTCTTTCTTTTTTTATATATATAATTAATTTTGCTAACAATAGACTATTGTTTTAAACATAATTTTTATTTATCTAATTTCAGATACGACGGAAGTCAAGTAAATTGAATTTAGTTTTTATTTTCTGTTACACTATCTGTTTGATTCAATTATTAGTGGACAGCACTCACACACACTCACACACACTTGAAAACACTCTTATTTTCTTTTATGATAATTAGGTTGATTTGATACACTTGTTTGATCCGACACAAACTGAAAAGGAGACCACTATTGTCGATGGCATTGATTTATCTGAGTTTTATCTGAATGTTGAATGGGATATAATGCGAGTGCCGGCCAAAAAAAATATCAAATTTTATTCATACGATTCAGATCCCGCTCCCTATCTGGACATCACTTTCAATATAACACTTAGAAGAAAGACTCTCTTCTATACGGTTTGTTAACTCTCTCTCTCTCTCTCTCTCTCACACACACACACACACACACTTACTTACTCACTCACTTTCTCATTGACTGACTTAAGATTTATTTTTTAGTTTTATTTTAGTAGATATTCATTAATAATAAAGTAGATATACTTTTTTCGAGTGTCTGATTAAATCTATTTATATAATTATAATATTAATTTATATATTCATTAATTTAGGTAAATCTGATCATTCCTTGTGTCGGTATTTCGTGTCTATCAGTACTTGTATTTTATTTGCCCTCCGATTCCGGCGAAAAGGTTTGTCCACACGTTTGTAAACATAATGTAAAAATAAATGTCCGATATTTCACTTTTTTTTTGTTTTTTCCCGCTTTACTATCAATATTATAATAGTCTATATATAAGAGTTTTGTTTGCCTTTTATGTCGTTAATCTCAAAATAAAGCGATTTAATCGTCTGAATCATAACCAGCAGCCAAACGAATAAAAATCAATTAATCATTTTGTGTTGTATTGTAATATTATGTGTTATTCTCCGGCACTGTTAGGTCACACTATCGATCTCTATTATGCTGTCCTTAACTTTCTTTTTCTTGGTACTCATTGAGACCATTCCATCGACATCGTTGGCGATACCATTGTTAGGCAAATATCTTATTTTTACAATGGTCCTTGTTACTTTTTCAGGTATTACACACACACACACACACACACACACACACACACACACACTACACATATACTTTATCATACATTTGATACTTATTATACATTTGTAGAAAAACTAATTTCGACAATCATTATAAGTTTATCTAACTAACTATTCTTTTGTCAATAGTGTACACAAAGAGAGAGAGAGAGAGAGAGAGAGAGAGAGAGAGAGAGAGAGAGAGAGAAAATCAATTAAATAAATATCATTAGCACAGAGTATAATTCAAGCGAAAGAAAAATAAAACTAGTGATAAATAAATGTTATTTAGTTTGCAAATGTCGATATTCTATACTATAATTATTGGCATAATTTTGGTGTTTATTTTATTGAAACAGTAATCGTAACGGTATTAGTATTGAACATACATTTTCGGTCGCCATCCACTCATCGTATGGTATGTCTATTATATATATTGACCGCATATTTATGTTTTTCAATTATCATGAAAAACCAAATGTCTTGGGTATGTCATTATATTATTATTATTATTATAGGCTCCGTGGGTTCGCAAGACTTTTATTAGGATATTACCAAAGTTACTATTGATGAGACCGCCACAGTTTAAAATTGAGTCCACTGAGTCTGATAATAAAATTACCACTGAAAAGGTGATCACAGATATGGCCACTCTATTAGGTCCAATCTCTTCCACATCCAATTGTATTGCCGTCAAACCCGATCAATACATGATCGCCAATAAAGACTTCAGAAGTAGCAGTGGTGCCAACAAAGTGCGATCTATAGTTCCTCCACAACAAACTAATTTGTTTTCTAACTCTGGCTCCGGAGGAGATGAGATCATTATTCAAGATTTAGAGGGCAGTCCAGTACTACCATTTTTTGAGCCACCGGTGGCCACCAGTTATTATCCCAAAGAAGTGGATCAAATGATACATAACGCCATATTTATTGCTCACCACATCGGTAATCAAATCATTTATTTTATTTAAAAGTCTAATTCTAGAGACAACTTATTTTTATTTAATAATAATAATAATAGAAAATATAATAATACAGTATTTATTCTAACTATTGTAATGTTTATTTTGTTATATATATATGCAGATAATGCCGACGAATTCAAAAGTGTACGTATTATTGATTTTTTATACTCTAATATATTATTAATAATATATTAAACAAAAATTTATAGAGAATAAAGAGATTCTGTAGTATATATTTATATAAAGAATATTTTACACAAAAGCTTATACATGTAATTTATAAGCATTTATTTGTTATAGATTTGTATACATATTTATACTATATATTTATATATATAAATTTTATAAAGCATGCATCACATTGTATTTATAATTTATATACTAGAGTACATGTAGTGTATATTTAAAATGTCAATTGTGTCAAACTTTTTATCAACTTTTTTTTTGTTTTGTTTGTTGTTAAACACAATAAATAGTATCTGTAAGTATGTATCTACAGTATAATGTGTGTGTGACAAACAAAATATCATATAAAAAGTGATATAATTTATTTTATGCATAATATTATACTTACTGTACAACACATGTCTCTCTCTCTTCTTTAATACTCCTAATTTCACTGCATTTTTGTCTCTCTAAACAAAACTGATTATTAAAAATGCAAATATTTCTCTTCAATCGATTCACACAATTTAGCAATTGTTTTATACAAACAATAAGTGAATAAAATAGAAAATTTTAGTTTAAATCAAAATTGTTTGAATACATCTCTTTATATTCTTCCTCTTGAAGTCGGATATGCCGTTAAAGTTTGAGTTTGTTTTAAAGACATTTACTAATAAAAAGTCTATACTTAAGTACATAAGATATATAACTATATCGACCGGTAGTTCATTGTTTGGTAGAGTGTTATATCAGCCGTTATTTTCAATTGAATGTTATGTATGTTTGTTTCAAAGCTTTTTATAATAAACTGAAACATTTTTATGCTTTTTCAAAGCTTGCGACTCATTAATGCATTTAAAAAAACTTAAAAAGCAAAATGAAAATCACTGACTCTTGTGTTTGATGTTTACTTTGTTTTGTAGATTCAAGAGGACTGGAAATACGTTGCAATGGTTTTGGACAGGTTTGCAAACTTTTACGTTAATATATAATATATATTAAACAAAATATTTACTGTAAATTTCTATATAATATAATATATTATACATCTATAGCTATAGTTTTAGTTCACTTTTCTCTACAATTTATTTTCATTGTTTCTCATTTAGTTTACGCTTCTTTTACTCCTTTTTCTCTCATTTTTTTAGTTTCCATTTATTGAAAGAGAAAATAATAATAAAAATAATAGAAAAATATACAGAAAAATAAAAAGCGAAACTTAAGCCGCTTTTGAAGAGCAATCTTTCAGACAATTAGTGGCAAACAAATCAATTTCTTTACCCTTTTTCCGTGTTTTTGTTTAGTTTTAGTTTTATAACAACAAATAGTCAGCAATTAATTTTGTAACATTTTAATAACAATAGAAAATAGCTTTATTAAAACGTTTGGTTCAAAATATTTATCCAATTATTTATATATAATAAAAATATTATTTGGAAACAAAACTTTTTTACTTAAATTATATTTTTTTATTTGTTCGCATTTATAGTTATATAACTATTATTATAATTATATTTTTCTATTATCAGTTATAAATTAATAATTTTTACAATAAAAAATAGGCTATTTTTATGGATATTCACAGCTGCCTGTGTAATTGGCTCGTCGTGTATATTATTATTGGCCCCATCCATATACGATACAAGTATTATCAATAAATTAATAATGTTTTATTATTTTTATTATTAAAATAATAATAATTAATTTTTACATTTATTTATTTTTTTTATTAATAGCTATACCACTTGATATAATGCATTCAAAAATAGCTAAAAGTCAGTTTGATTTTTTGGCAGAAGTTTAAAATTATTTTGTTTATTATGTGTTATATGGATTATAAATTTATTTAATTAAAAATAATTAATAATGATATATTGTACTGTAAATTTATAAATCTGTAATCACAATTATGTAAAATGTAGTTATAATAAAATAATATAAATAACTAAAAATACTAAATATTATTATTATGTAATAATGATTATTATTATTCAAACTTTTATACAAAATTTTTATCATTAAAAAACTATATGATTGATTTGCAATCTCAAATCAATCAAATAACAAATATATCTAAAGTATATATCTATATATGTATTCAATTTATAGTTACTTAAGTTCTTATATGAAAATTCTTTATTTATAACATAAACGCAATGATAATCTTCGAGTAATAGTACGACACATATCCCTCCTACACATACCAGTGCTATAACATTGTGTTTTAAGTATCCCAGAATCGGTTAAGAGATTTGTTTCTATGGCAAACTAAATGATATTTTTGTAGATGAAATACTTTTACAATATTATTATTATTATTATTATTTTACTATTTTTATTATTAACTGATTTTTCAATGTTTTCAAAAATCTGGATTCTTTCACTTAAATTACTATTTTCTATTAAATGTGTTTTATTTTAAGATATATATTATATGTTTTTTAAAAAACATTTTATGCAATATTGATTTAAACAATGCAAAATTTTGACATCATTTTATTTTGAAAAAACTTGATTTATAGCCACACTTTGCTTACATTATAATATATAAAATAAAATATTATCATATATTTGGTGTCAATGAATATGACTGTAAAATGACTTTCTTGTTTTTTTAGTTATATAATATAACTTATATTATTATAAATTTAATATCAAATAACTAAAATAAACAATAGACCAATTAAATTTTTGGTTTATCATATATTTTTGTTGTTGAATTAAATATTTAATTTTGTTTAAAAAATTAATTACATAAATATCCTTAGCTCATATTTATGGATAAATCTTAGAGGACGTCTACATTAAGACTCAAAAATCATTGAAAATATGTTAAATAAAAATATTTATTGTGTTAAATATGTATAAATGCTGTTCATTATATTTAATATTAATATAGTTATCATTATTTATAAATTGTTTATTTTAGTATAATTTTTATCAAAATTAAACATTTTTAGGCAAAATATCATAATTATTTTTTTTATAATTAATAATAATTAGAATTACAATTAAATTTTCAAGATAATAATAGTCAGAGATATGAACATCTATTAAGGATATGCCACTAATAGTTAATCGTAAAGTAAATACAAAAATTGCAAATTATGTTATATAATAGTAAAAAATTTAAATTATATAAGTTATATGATATATCACAGTTAGTGTTTGTCAAAAACAATTTAACTTTTGAGTTTAAAATTCAATATTTATATAAAGTATTAGAAAAACAATCAAATAGTGAGTGAAGTGAATGAGTGGAAGAAGAGAGGGATCTAATGTGAAGACAATTAAAATAAATTGATGTCTTATTCCCTGATGTTGTGTACAATAGTATGTTATGTATGTATCCAAACCATTGGTTTATCCTTTGTTCAGATCTCTGGTTTCACCGAAAGTCTGGCAGCTGTTGCTGTCTTCCCGTTTCCATAGCAATCGCATCAATAATATTGCACTTCCTATAAGAGTTATATCTAAAAGTTTGTGCCAATTGTGTACACCATTGGCTTTAGACACAAGAAAATCCATTTTGTCGATCAAACGGCTCTTACTATTGACCCAAAAGTTATTAAGTTTAACACCGAAAGAGAGAGAGAGAGAGAATGAGAGAGAGAGAGAGAGAGAGAGAGAGAGAGAGAGAGAGAGAGAGAGAGAGAGAGAGAGAGAGAGAGAGAGGTTTAACAACGAATGTTTGCTTATATTAAAATTTATGTCGTTTTGTGGCTTTACTCTATATTAATTACTTATATAAATTAATGAAAATATAGTCAAATATTTACAAGTAATTTCAACTATATATTTAATTACATACAATACAGTATATATTTATACATTTAAGTTAGTATTAGTTGATACAATTATAAATATACTGTAAATACCAGGAACTGTATACTGTATAGAGTATATAAATTTATATACAGTAGTAGTTTATAACCAATTTTTCTTTATTGTCTCGAGAGTGTTAACAAAAAATAAAATAAAAGTAAAAACTAAAAATATTTTGACGGCGTTTGTATTGTTTGTGTTGATAAACATTTCAAAAACCCTAAGTGAGAGATAAGTTTTGACACATTTTGTAATGAAATTCACTTGAGATGAAAATCACATCCAATTGAGAACTCACTTGAATTTGAAAAACATTTATCATAAGATTATTCCAATAGTTGCTTAAATCAATAATAAAGAGGACAACAATACTAGTATTTATGTTGCAAACGACGACAGAGTATTTCTATTAGACATTATATATAAATATATATATATATAATATATAAGACGATTGTTTGGCCGCAAATAAAATTATATATATTATATGACAAATCGACACAATCTATATTTAACTTTTTTTATGAAAATAAAAAATCTTCTATTATATTGACATTTTCTTTGATATTATAAAAAAATATAAAAACTTATTTTGTCTAAATTTAATTTTTTTCTAAAGTGCAATATGTTTTAGCAATCACTGCTTTTAGTAAAGCAAAATTCACAATTATTAAAGAGTATTATCTCTATGTGTTATTATACTGTGTGTATATATACAGTATATATATATATATATTATTTGGATACTGTATTTGGATATATATATATATATAAATTTAAGAATTATAGATAAAAACCTAAAGAAAAGCAATCATTTTATGGATTTTTGACTCATATTCACTATTAAAAGCTTCAGTCATTTATCAAATGATGGGAACAATACATGAAAGGAAAGGCATATAAAAAATGTGTTCAAAATATGGTTACAGGCAATAGCTATTTGAAAAGATATTTATATTTCTTTGATTATATATTTATATATAACTGTTTGATATGTATTTTTATTTAAATTTAGTTTATTTATACAAAAATATACAGTATAATAATAAATTATAACCATTAAATAATTGAATAAAGAGTTATATAAAAAACAAATTATACTAAATATTAATCTTTCTGCAAATTTTTAGATTTATTTATTATTAAAATAATCTTAGGTTTTGTCAATATATTTATATTTCAAAAATTATATTACAATAAAATCTAAAATTTTATTATACTGTACAATACAATATTCAAACAATTAGTTGAATAAAATAAAATAAAATATATATTTATATAAAAAATTAATATTTTTTTTTTGGTTTTAACTCATGAATTCTTTAATAATAATTTATTTATAATTCCCGTGTATTTCAATAATTGACTTTACTTTACATTTTTTTTTGTCGTTTTGGTCGTTACAACAAATAAAATGTCACATAAATGTGTCATAAAAGCCTTGTTTTTCAATTATAACTGTTATAATAAATTAAGTAAACTTTATTTTTAGTATATATATATATATATATATATATATATATATATATATATATATAGTATTGTATAGTATAGTATAGTATAGTACTGTACTGTATATAACATATGTATAAAATACACTGAGTTATAATATTTATATATGGTATTATTTAATGATTTTGTTAGCAAAAATATACACAATATATATATTTATAAGATTTATTACACATATGCAGGCACTGTACGGTATATGCAAAAAATATTTAAATAATTATTTTGATTTTAATGAATACTATCTTGTAAATCACGTAAAGGATTTATATATATATATATATATATATATATATATATATATATATATAGAATGTATAATAAATATTAATACTTGTTTTAAATGTCATTATATAACAAAAATAATAAATATTTTTGCAAGAATTAAATTTTTATTTGTCGGAAAAAATTATTTGACAAAAGAAAATGTAAAAAATAAGTTTTTTCATTAAAAATATTGATTTTGTAATATATTAGAAAAAATTTGTTATAATACTTTACTTTTTATATACATTTGATTACACATTTTAATGCTTAAAATTTTGAAAGTGCTGTATTTTATAAATTTGTGTCATAAATAAAACCATTACTGTATTATTCTGTATATACTGTATATATCAATATTTACAGTATATGTAAAACTTCATTATTAAACATTTTAAAAATAGTACTACAAATAAAATGTAAAACATTGACTAATTAAATACTATATACAACAATATTCTAGTTTTTAGTATTAATTATAAATTTTATAATGTTTATATGCAAACAAGTGGATGGATTATAATTATATATTTGTTTTAATTAATTAAAATTTTATATAAACAAAATATTTAAATATACTTATTCTAAAAATATAAAATGATACAAATTGACAATATATTAAATAGTACAGCAGTATCACTATTATTTATTATCAAATCTAATATTATAGATTATTTCTAATATTTATTATTTAAACTAAAGAATCGATTAAGTATTATTTTACAGTAATTTTAAATTTATTGAAGATTTAGTTAATTATAATTTTGTAAATATATTTATAAATTTCTAATACAATATGAAATATTTGTAATTAATATTAATAATATACATAATACTCTATTTTTAATGAATGAATTTATTTCTCTTTAATTTTTAAAATCAAATATAAACTTAACTTATATTAACAAAATTTTTCTTAATTATAATAAATTCTTGATTTATTCAACACTTGATATATACTGTATATATATAACAGAATATTCTTTTAGGAGACGGAACTATAGATATAGAGAGTGAGATATACTGTAGAGAGGAAAGAGAGAGATAGATAGGACTCCTATGATAGGAGAGGGCATTACTAGTGGTACCGGTGCTGTGCTCTGCAGTGGAAAACGTGTTTTTATTAAAAGTCTTAAAAAAATACTAATAGTATTAATACTGAACCGTATATTAACATTGCATTAGGTGTTAGCCATTTGAATAGCGCACATGTTTTCCATGATTTTTACAATAATTATTGTTTAAATCAAATCATTAATAGACAAAAACCACTGGTATTTCATTTGACAATCAAATCAGTAAATTATTTATTGATTTGTACACTATTTTTAACGGACACACAACCAGTTGAAAGATGTTTTGGGGTTTGTATTTAGCTTTTTGTATGACAAACACGCCGTCACGTATTGTCGGCCGCATGTCTTGAAACCACTTAATGATATAATGTCTAACAACACGTGTTATCTTATTTGATATGCAAACAGGTGTTACACTAGAATCGGGTAAACGATACTCGCAGAGAGTGGAGGAGTCATATCACGTAACGATGGCCGCACTTCAGCCGCCGTCGACCGAAGGCAACAAAGCCTCAAAATATGTGTCGGTCTTTGTTGAACACGACAAGAATCAGCACATGTTGTGTACACTGGAACCGAATCGTACACTTCAGGTAAATCTGGATCTCATGTTCATCGAAGGCGAAGAAGTTACCTATTATTTGGTTGGAGACGGAACTGTTCATCTGACCGGTTATCTCGTACCCGACGCTTTCGATGACTACGACGAAGAGGATGATGAAGAGGAAGACGAAGAAGATGAGGATGAAGAGGTTAGCAGTGATGAAGAGTCACCGTTAAAGATTAAGTCTAATAAACGCAAGAATGAAGAGCTGACGAGTTCACCCGAAGCTACAGACAAGAAGGCAAAGGTTGATACGAAAGTTGTCGCCACCAAAGGTGTCGAACTGAATAAGAAGTCCAAAGTAGAGACAAAGGCTGAAGTGAAGCCGGCAAAGGGCGCGCTTAAGAATGAATTGAATGGCAAAAATAAAAAAGATAATAAAGTGGCCAATAATGTGAACAATAAAAAAGGTAAAGAAATTGAAAGCGAAGAAGAGAGTGAAGAAAGTGAGGACGAGGAGGAAGACGACCAAATGGATGATTCACTTGGATTCATAGACAAGGAAGCTGTTGAAAGTGGAGACGATGATGATGACGAAGAGGACGAGGAAGATGAAGAGAGTTCTGGTAATTACAATTGTCTTATTTTTGTTTGATTTTTAAAACTAATATTTAGTCTTAACAGATGAATCAGATGAGGCCAAATCAACGCCACAAAAACAGCAACAAAAGGCTGGTAACGACACGTTTACGCCATCACCTCAAAAGACACCACAGAATAATCAGAACCAAAATAATAAGCAAAAACCGTTCGGCAGCGGACAGAAGGGTGGCTTTCAGAACAGTCAACAAAAGGGTGGTCGACCACAACAAGGAAAGGGACAGTGGAATCAATCGGCAAACAAGAATCAGAACCAGAATAATAAGCCGAGACAGTTTGGTAGTGGACAGAAAGGCGGTTCTCCCGGTGCTGGTGGTGGAGGCGGCGGCAAATGGGGTAACCAACAACAAAAGGGACAATGGAACCAATCGGGTAATAAGAATCAAAACCAGAATAGGCCCAAACAGTTCGGTAGTGGACAAAAGGGTGGTACTCCCGGTGGCGGCGGTGGACAAAGAGGTGGACCACAACAAAAGGGACAGTGGAATAATTCGGGAAATAAGAACCAAAGAGGAGGAGGAGGAGGAGGTGGTGGTCAACAGTGGCAGAATAAGAAGAGCCCATTCAAGGCCTGAAAAGCATATTATTCACACATCTTTAAACATATTTAAAAAACGATAACACACTTCACATATATTTTTTAAATAAACAAATTGTGTTTTAATTAAAACTTTAATTTCTTAATAATTAGTTTAATTAGTAATAATAATAATACAAGTGTTTTTTAAATAAAGGCAAGTGTACACAAATTAATTTTATTGTACATATAAAACAAAAAATAAGTGATATTACAGTATTAATAATATGAATGGTCGACAAACTATTATCTTTTATTTTTTGGATAAAAATTTTTATTTCAAAAGATAATTAAAGAGCACTATCGATACAAATCAAGATATTTTTATAATATATATATACTTGAAATTAAATATATATATAATTAGTCGTATTCGTCATCGTCCTGATAGTTTGCGTTCGATGAACGGCTATTATCACTGGCCGGCGGCGGCGGTGGACGAGGATTATGTGGTGATCGACTATTAGGACCAGTCGATGAATTGCTGGTCTGATTCGTTGTACTACGACTTGTGGCCAACTCTTTCCGACACACCGGACATGTGGCGTGCTTTTCATAAGACAAATATGTTATTAATTTAATCAGTAAATTACCGGTAATTGAAAACACCCGATGCTTACCATTTTAAGCCAGGGAACAATACATTCATCATGATATCGGTGACTGCACTCCAATAGTCTCACTTTTTCGCCTAATTTATAGTCTTCCATACAGACAGTGCATTGTAGCACTCGTTGAATTTCATCTTCAGTTATCGTAACAATAGGTAAACGATCGATGTCTTCTTGAGGCATTGGTAGCGGACCAGAACCATCCAATTGATTTAATAACTAAACATTTATTAGATAATTAGTAAAATATAACATATTTAACAAAAATCAAATTAATTGCTTACTTGACTTATTATTTCATTGAGTCCTCCCTCACCCCAAGCATAGTCTCCAGGATTGCCATGAAGTACTTGAAATAATGGGAGCGGGAAATCAATGTTAATCATTCCTCGGGCAACACCACCGCCGCCGCCGCCCGACCCATCACGACCGGGCATCTGTCCACTCGTCATATTCGCCAATATCTGCTGAAATAACCTGAGTCAATTATAAAATATAAATTAATATCAATATATATGTGCTAATATATATATATATACACTGCGGGCCAATGTTCAGACATGAAGAAGCGATTTTAGATTTATTTAATTTTATAAATCAAATGAAAATTAAAATCAATATACAGTTTAATGTATGTATAGAGTAGATGTCTGTCTAATTTATGCAAATTTACACTCTATTGCACTTTAAAAAGATTTGACTACATTTCACACATTTGATATAATATTTAAGTATAATTTCGACTACAACTATGTTTCACTGTCTATAATAGTTTGACTTATGTTAATACAAATGTTTAATCATTAAAAAAATTATTTAAATAATAAAAATACTAATGAAATATTTAATACTATTTACTGTATAAATATGTAGAGTAAAACTTTTGCATTGGTCAGCATTGACTGCATAAAGTGTGGCATACAGTATGTAAACAGTGTATTGTGATTGTTGTGTTGACCTACCCCTCCAAAGACTGAGCGTTGTCAATAGTTCCGCCAGAATTGGTCATCACATTAAAATGAATAACTCGTGCGGTCGGTGGTGGTTGCGGTGGTCGTGGATTGCCATCGCTTGGTGTATATCTCATCGACGGTCGATCAAGCGGTGGTCGCCCAGAACTGGTTGCTCCGTTTGTTGCGCCGTCACTGGAACTATGATTTCGAGCGGCGCCGCCGTCGCCTTCCTGGTCAGGCAATAGATGCTCCAATATATCCATTGACTGGTCATCTTCATCGCTATTGTCGGTGAAAACAAATGTACGAATATCATTATACAATAAGCAATTGAATCAAATCAATGGATCAACTAATACGTACTGACTGTTTGTGTCCATTCCATCTTTTGGATTGATTTCTTCGACAAAACCCGACCGACAGAGAGGACACGTAAAATCCTAAAAATGATTAACACATAAATTAATATCAGATATTTGTTTAGTAATAACAAAGAAATGTCATAATTGTTTCGTTAATAAATTATCATCAAATGAGTGGATGAGCTCTGAATCAAAACAAATCGGGTCATCGGAAAAAAACAAAAAGTGGTCGGACATCAAACAAAATAATTACCGATAGTACACGATCTGACTCTTGATGGCAATTATGACAATAATATCTTGTGGGCGACATATTGGTGGACATATCAAGCGTCGCCTCAGCCATCACTTGTCGCAGACAATCAAATGATTTGTTTACAAACGTCTGTAACGTAGACTCTGATTGCAAACCTATGAAGAGTACAGAGACTCCACTCTCTCTCTCTCTCTCTCTCTGAATGATGTCTTCGACGCCAATGAGTGACCAAAGAGGGCGATACTGAAGATGGAGAGAAAGCCAAAAGTTTGAAACCAAATCAATGGGTTTTATCATAACATTTGTGTTATTGATTGAACAGATGTGTGATGACTGAGTTAACCGACGATGAGATCAATGGATTGAATATAAGACTGTTTTGAATCTAATGTCTGATTGAAAACAATTTTAAAATACAATTAAAATATTTGTTTGTTTTTTGTTTGCAAATCAATCGATGCATTCATTGTATTGACGTTCACTAATGACGTGCACTTTAACTGTACAACTATTGGGGGAACCAATAGTTTTGACAACCCTTTTGTATGTATCCAATGAATTGAATGTTTACCACTCCATACATTTGATGACATGATTTATGAATTGTTACACAAGAGTCATATGACTGAAGTCTGAAGTCAAGTGATTAAAAGATTTTTTAATTTCAATGAAGACTTGTTTTAGTGATGTCTTAACTTTTCATACAAATTGGTGTCCAAACAATGTGTTTATTGGTCACCGAATTAAGTTTGAATTTAAGTGATCACTAGTGGACACTGTTGTGACCACTTTTTCTGCTGATTTGCTCCGTTTAACGACGTCTTGAGCGCCGTAGACGACAAATGTCTGGAAAAGTGGACAAACTGTTGTGTTTCTGTCACTTCTGTGAACTTCACGGTCCGAACGTTATTCTCACTACACATTGTGTCTCAAAGTCGGATCTATTGAACTATAACATCGATGGCAAACAATCGGACACAAGCCGTACGACCTCATCGTTGGCCTCATCGATGTCTTCATTGCCGACCAATTCATTTATGAACAACTCTAACCTCTTCACCGACGAAATTCATATGATTAATGACGAGCTTAATGATCGGACCAATGGTTGCGAAGGCTGTTCACTGAAGTCTAAATCGATGGACGGCTTCAATGGGTTTCTGTCGTTCAGCGAAAGCAAAAAGTTTGGTTTTATAACAAACGAGTATCCAATGGATGGCAATAATAACAGAAATAGTTGTGACATCAGTAACAGTATTATCCGCGACGCGTGTATCCGTAGTCTCAGCTGCGAAGTGTACGACTCGAGTGAAGGCGAAGGCATCATATACTTTGGTGACGACCAAAGAGCTCATATACTTAGTTGTCTATTCTTCTTAAAAGACTCAAAGGCCCGGGGCTTTCAACGCACGTATAGTATACTTGTTATCAGTCGACACAAACACGAGTTACTAAATGATTGGGATTTCTATGTCAAACACATCAAACAAATAGTCACAAAATTAAAGTCTAAGGCAAAGATTATATACGAAAGTGAATTAACGCAAACCACTTGCCAACAGAGGAGGTCTCTAATACTGGACAATGTGTCCAATATTCGGGCCAATATTAACTCACTCGAAGACATAGTCGACCGAAACCCGTTGAATACACACCGCATGAACAGCAAAGCGCGTTCACTACTCGAGCTTACAGGAGATAACACTGCCTTCGCTTATCTTCACATTCAATTCTCTTGGATCCTATCGGCCGTCTTTGTCTTACATAGTAATACCAATTCAGTCATTGATTATAGCGGTTCAAACTCAATAAGACTATCACCGAACTTGGATCAGAAACTTAGTTTAAGAAATTTCTATAATGTTATCACAAAAGACAACTATAATGCCATTAGTTATAATATAGTGACCGGAAATAAGATAATAATTTGTGACACAAATACCAATCGCCAGAAAGCAATTATTCAATGTTTATCACAACTATTACCTGAAGAATGTGTTTGCGTTTTAACTGATTACCAGAGATTTGATGAGTCGTCTAAACATAATTTTATAGGAGTTTCTTCTTTAAATTTGTTGCCAAAAAATATAATGGATTCGGAATATCACTTATTAGTGGTCGTTAAGGACAAGTCGACCGACAAGAATAATAGCAATAATAAAAATAATTTATTTACTGATAAAACTCAAATCCAATTGCACTCTGTGTGCAAACTTCCCGATTGTTTGCCCAATTTTTTGGTGAATATTGAGAATATATTGACCGACTTATCCTATTCGGATCAAACACTTATGTCATATCTGATGACATCGAAGAATGAATGGCTAAACAAAGCTCAGGCCTTTTATTCGTACACCAAAGGCGTGAATCCGCCGCGAAGTCAATCGGAGATCAACGCAATGTTCAAACTGATTGGTGCCGACGATTGTGACCGAAAAATGATTACATATTGGGCTAACAATGGCTTCAATATTGAATACAAGACTAAAGTGTTTTCAATTAATTCGGAAACAGATTTAGTAATCAATGGAAAGCAATTGTCAATCAAATGAAATATATATTTTTTAAAACGTTTTGAGATTTATTATTAATTTATAACTATTTTTATGTAATTTTTATCAAATAAAAAATGACTAACAAATCAATCTATATATATATATGGGCTGTTAAATGATATCGAATTAACGCGGAGCGGGAGCCGATAAGGGAGGCATTGGCATACCGTGACCTCCACCCGAAATGGCCGCCGAAGGACCCAACAGTATCTGAAAATTGCAATAAATTGTTTAATTATTTTATTAATTGTTAAACTCAATCAATACTTGTCTCTGTTGCTGTTTATTTATCTCTTCCAACTGCGATCTCTCCATCTCGAGAGCCAACGGCGCCAATAAAACGGCCGATGAAGTGAAGACCACCCAAAACACCGAACAACTCAATCCATACAATTGTTTGCTTCTATTAAGACTACCTTTGGTCACATTATAGACCAAATTACGTAACGTCTCGGGAAACATCTCAGTCAGACCAATGAGTCGCTCGACTAATGTTTCATCAAAATCCTGACCATTAAAATAGTGACAAATTATAAACTCAAATAAAAATATGTCATTGAATTGAGTCAATCATCACTAACGTCATCGTCATCTATGTCTTGGTCGACATTAGCAATTGGTTTGCTGACAACTTGTGATGACGAAATCTCCGCCGGTATAGTAGCATCTGCTGGACTTGTGGCCATTGTGTCATCAATACCCGAATCGGGAGATTGGACACTAAACATTTAAAAAAATCAAATGTTTGAATTGAAAATAACAATAATAATTGTAAACAATAATTGGTTTAAATCAGAAAATCAATTGAATTAATCAAATGATTGAAAGTGAAAACCAATTGATGACAAAAAACGTGAAATTAATTTGTCAATCAATAGCTTGTTTTAAAAGCGCATGTTTTGAATCAATTTTTTATCGCAACACTTGTAATCAATGTTAAAAACAATACTATAAATCAATCAAATTATAATATAATTTAATGTGTGATTACTATAACTATCATTTAGTTATGTAATTATTTTTTAAAAATAAATTATCAAATATTTAGTATTTTTTTGTTAAAAATCTTAAACCAATTTTGTATAATTAATACCTTTGATCGCCAAACCCTTGCGGTAATTCAGGCGGCAATGTTGATGATTGTTGTTCATCACCACTTTCTCCATAATCCATATCATGAGCGCCACTATTGTCTTCAGTCATAATTGTAAACAAATTAAGATTATTATTAACCACTGATGACAACTAAAAACAAGACGACAATACAGTTGTCTATGAATTGACTGTTTATTATACAGTAATAATAATTATAATTCAAATGCGTTTTCAATTGAACTTATAGTGCGATCCCTTGTTATGTGTTGACACACGTGTTGTTATTTAAAACGGATTGAATGAATCCAATGATTGCATTATTTTACCGACAGATTTAGTGACCAAACATTTCGGTAAACATTTGGTCACTTAATACATCTATTCAATGATTTCTCAGTTTTTAATTCTTCATAATTAATAATCAATACATTGAAACCAATTGACTGATTGCATAATTTTTAATTAACTGTTAAAAAACTTTTCATATTTACAAAAAAAAGTTATTAATAACTTTCAATTGACAACTAATTGGATCAATAGATCCATACGAAAGAAGAAGAAGATAATGAACGAAGAAGTGATGACCGAATCGACAGCCGTTGAGTCGACAAATAGAAGACAATTCGGTGTCGACTGTATTGTCACCGAAGGAAAGGCTAATATAATTCGTTTACCATTTGTTTTCTATAATAAAGTACAAGAATTTAATAGAGATTTAAGGTATCATTTCTTGTGTAATGTCTATAATTTTTGATGCAATTAATAAATCTTATTATTTGACCACTAATTTGGTTCAGTGTTTTAGCGATTAATACATTTCTCAAGAATCAACTTTGGAAGAATAATCTTAAACCAAATAAATGGATTAAAGATCAGGTATTTATTATTATTTAGTAGTCATTAAACAAGAAATAAAATCCATTAATGATTTTTTTATCCTTAAGATCACAATATTGGACGCGCTTTCGGCTACAGGTTTGCGATCTATTAGGTATGCCTTGGAATGTACTGATTGTTGTGAACTACCGATTAAAATATACGCCAACGATGTATCAATAAAAGCCATTGAGACCATCGACAAGAATATTGAAAGAAATAATGTAAAGGATAGGGTTGTGTCCAATCGAGAGGACGCCGCGTATGTATTATATTCTGTAAAATAATTTCAAAGTTAATTGGTATCTAATTATTTTTAACCATTGAATTTACAGAATATTTATGATTAAAAATCGCGATTTCAAGCGACGATTTTCAATCATCGATTTGGATCCATACGGAAGTCCTGCAATATTTTTAGACTCAGCTGTTCAGTCATTGGCCGAAGGAGGTCTGTTGATGGTGACTTGTACTGATATGGCTGTTCTTTGTGGTAATCATAGTGAGACCTGTCACGCAAAATATGGATCCATTTCTTTGAGATCTAAGTCCTGCCATGAAATGGTTTGTACCAAATGGTTATCTGTTTGAAACAAACATTTGTTGTGTAGATAACAGTCATTTTTTAATCATTCAGGCCTTACGAATAATTCTTCGGAGCATTGAATCACATGCCAACAGATACGGCAGATATATTGTGCCATTGATTTCATTAAGTGTCGACTTTTATGTCCGAATATTTCTTCAAATATATACCTCACCTAATGAAGTGAAGAGAAGCGCCAGGTTTTTAATAACAGTCATTCAATTATTTTTAAAATAATTTTTAATTTAATTTTTATTCATAAATAGCAAACTATCTTATGTTTATCACTGCACTGGTTGTGAGTCTATTGAATTGCAACGACTCACTCATCAAAAGTAAGTTTTTGTATTTTAATGTATAAAATGTTAATATTTATACAAATCATTATTAAATAACAATATTTGTTTTATTGTAAAATCAGAAATATCGATAAAGAATATAACTTTATTCCAAACGGACCTAAAGTTGACCGCAAATGCCAACACTGTGGACATACATATCAAATGGGTGGACCTATTTGGTCGGATCCCATACATTCAATTGATTTTGTTCGACAATTACAGAAACAATTGTCTGAATTTACTGATCAAACATTTTCAACACACAAACGTCTTCACGGAATCCTTCAAGTAATCAACGAAGAACTAATAGATTGTCCGCTATATTACTGTTTGGATCGACTCTGTCGTGTAGTCCAGTGCTCGATGCCATCGATGAGGATATTTCGATCAGCTATTCTGAATGGTGGATATCAGGTATCATATTCACACGCAAACAAAACATCAATTAAAACTAATGCAACCAATGATTATATATGGGATGTAATGCGAGAAATATATAAACAAAATCCTAACGACAACCTTAACGATAAAAGTGCCGGTTTTGCTATAATTAAACAACAGTCCAGTCATACGATATCATTAGAGCCGCACGACAGCGCCGAACCCATGTCTAAGGAAATGCAATTATTGCGATATCAAGTAAACCCTGAACCCAATTGGGGACCACAAAGTCTGCCATCAAAACAATGCGATAAACGGGTACTAAATCAGGGAAAGCGAAGTCGACCTAAAGATAATGATGATAATAAAGATGAAGATACAAATAAAAAGTTATCTAAAGATAATCAATTTATTGAATTAAATGAATTAAAACAATAAATTGTTTATAAAATTTTAATTAAATCATTAACATTTACAAGATTTGATAAATTGAATCAGAATTAGTGACTAATTAATAATGAATTTTTTGGGCACCATTTTGATCTCATCTATTTAACCAAAAAAATTTATATATAGTGACCGGTATTTGACTTAATCGTGTTTATAATTTTATAACAAATTTGTGATGAGTTCAGTGGTAAATGATTGAATTAAAAATGGCATAAACTTTATATTTAAACAATGATTAATTTTAAAGTGATTAATATACAAAAAAAACAATATTTTTATGATTTAAATAAATTCCTAATATTTATAAGTTGTATATAAAATTTATAAATTAAGTCTAAAAACTAAAAATCAATAAATAAATATATAAATATTATCTATATAATATTATTTAACAATAATAATTATTAATTACGACTAAACTAGGTGCTCTTAAAACTATTTAATATTAGTTAAGGGAGAAATTTTTTAAAGCTATAATATTTGTGTAAAAAAACGGCAGATTTGATAAATATTAATATACAGTAAGACATCATTTGTATCGTAATCCACAACAATTGATCGAATTTTGTTTTGTTTCAATCGATATTATTTAGTCTATGTATGAGTTGTTTAAATGAGAATTAATTGATATATAAGTATTGATTAGACTCTTTGGGATTGCAATTAGTATACAATTAGTTAACAACAAATTATGAGATGTTTTAAGTAATAAACAGTCAAAGCGTCGCTAAATATGGCGATGATCTTCTACGCCTTGAACTTATCGGTACATATCTAAACACTCCCGATGTTATCATTAGAAACAGACGCTTTGGCCATCGGCAAGGAGTGGCCGCTATCTGACTGATTGTCTCTAAAAACATTGCGATATAATCTGTAAAAAGAGGAAAAAAAGTCAAAACATTGTAAATGTTTTCAACTAATCCATGACAAAGATTTGTTTACCTAATAGTGTTGGTTGTGGTCGACCTCCGTTGATGTACAGCACATACGAGAAGCCATCTCTGGCCGTACTATTGATTGAGTAATAAAGAGGTAGATATAAGTGGCGTTTAAACTGCCGATTCTCATAGAAACGTATGGCAACTATATTAGTGGTCAATACATGTAAATAGACTGCTTTTACGCCTCTGTTTTTCGGTTCGTATATCAAGTCTTTGATTAGTTTGTCCAACAAAAGACTGGCGATACCGTTGCGTCGATGCTCTTTGACCACTCCTAACGTCAATATATAGGCCACTTCGGAGTCTTTAGGCAAACTTGTGGCCAATAATCCTTTATCTTCACGATTGCATTTGTCTTGGCTTTTAGTTTCCACAACTATTAAACCAACAATTTCTGAATCATAAACTGCGGCCTTAGATATAAACTTCTTATTTGTGGTGATTTCTTCATACCAACTGTCGGGATATCTGTAAAAACAAAATTTTGTCAGTAATGGTATACAGTATATGATAATGACTGAAGAAAATTATAAAATACTGACTCAATTGGGAACCAATCGCTACATAATTGTTTCACTTTTGGCACATCCGATGAATTCAAGTCTCGCAATTCAATTGAATTAATATAACCATTGGATGCCAACCAAACACTATTCATTCAGATGGACTACAATTGTCTTCAGCGATGACCAAAAAATCATGTGATGATTGACACCATGTCTTGCAATCAAACACTTTGACAATCAGTTGTCATATATTGTTGTTGTTATTCATATGAAACACAATATTATTGTTGACAAGTGTTTAGTATTTATTAGTCAATAGTTTATTAGTTACTCAATGAATGCAATACATTGAATGAATGAGTAATGTTATGCTATTAACTCAGTTTATATACAGAATATACAGTACTTTAATGTAACAAATAATGCATTGATTGGTTGATAGTCTCTATTGTATTGCAAATATCATATACACGACTACTTTAACTTATTTATTAAATTATCAAAAATCACTCAAAAAACGCCTCAAATTTCCAATATTTGAATCAAATTACAAATTATATTATATATAATATAAATTATATGATATATAGTAATCATTTTTATTTAACAACTATTTAGTTAAGGAAATCAAATATTTTTAACTCTAGATATCAATTGATAGTTCAAAGTTCATCAAAGTTTGTTAAAAAAAACAATACAATGTATTTATCCGGTTATCGCTTTAAACAAAATAAATTGATTATAATTTTTGAAATATTTATATTAAATAATTGTTTATTAAAAAAATCATTAAAAAGTTTTTTTTCAAATAAATGTAAACATTTTTTAAAAATTATGACATAATATTTATATACATATTTTTTCGAAAAAAAAGTTTTACACTAAAAATAGTATAATTTTGTTATTAAAGTAAAAAAAGTTACTAAATAGTTGTATACATACCTATTATATGCTAATAATATAAATACAGTATAAATATTTATATAATATAAATAAAATAATTATAATTTATTACTTTTTTTATTACTGTGTATGATATCATATATATCACGATTTATTAATTTTTTTTCTTAAATTATTTTTACATTATATTTATTATCAATAATAGTACCATAATACAATAATTAAAATTTATAACTTTATCCTTTCATTAAGTAATAGATTAGTTAGAAATAATATATTTATTATTTATTATTGAGTCCTAATAATAATAATTTAAAAATCAATCAAATTTTTTCAATTGGTTATCCAATACAGTAGTAGTTTAGTTAACTCTATAACTGGTGTCAACTGTAGTAAACCACTTGTTATGCAATAAAATGTTTTTATAATGTGAATCAAGTGTTATGTAATAGCAATGCATTTAACCGCAGATTAGACACAATTAGCGGTCACCGATGGACTCGTCGAAAGGTCACCGAAACAATGAGGACGACTTGTATTCGCTAAGCGACGGCAACACGAGTTGCGACAATACAATCGGTTCGTATCGGTCGAGTGCCCGGACGTCCATTTCCTCATATGATTTCACACCGATCGAGACGCCGGGTGATTGGTCGCCACGATTACCGCGAAAGGCCATTGCTAAAAACAATCAGGTCCTACAGCTGTCGGAGGACACAACCACATGGAAAGTGGTACACAAACGTAGCAAACGATCGCCGCGTAAACAACAGATTCAAAACTCGACGGCCAAAATGCAGGCCATTCTTATGAAAGGAAATGCACCCGAGTTTCGGTTTCGGATTGTCGTCGGACTTATCCTAATAGCTATTGTTATTATTATATTGAGTACAAGATATTTCTATAATCGTAATCGTATTTTGATGGCCATCAGAGACAGAATCTTCTTCATTAAAGAAGAACGACATCTAAACTTATTGGACAGTGAAGGTCACGATTTGTTGCACATAGAGTTTGGTCTCAATATTCCGCCCGACATTCCGCCCGTCAATTGCAAGACAATCGAAAAGAATATGCGATTGTGTTTTGATTGGAAATATAGGGCACATCTGAGTCTTCAACACAAACATTATGACAAAGCCATCACTTGTTATGATATCAAATGGAAAAGCTATGAAAAGTATGCAATTCTTAAAGATTGCTTTGATATGAGTGATAGCTTTTGGTACGGTATGGGAGATGTTAGCGGACTCAAGTGGCCACTCAATGATATGTCTTTAGAAGACTCGCCATTTATGACCAGCCATTCAACTGATTCTGATAATCCATTTGGTTCTTTGATTGGTAGACATTGGTTCTCATCGAAAGGTATAACAATAAGTGTGGGACTAAATGTTCCCCTATTTGTCAGTTTAAACAGTAGTGAAGATCCAAACAAACTTTGTTTCATATCAAAGAAACAGTTCCCCTATTATGTGCTCAATAAGGATGATATTTATGCGCACTTGGAGTACACTATATGCACGGCTCCTCGTCTTCCAGATCTTCAAAATCATTTAATTGAAAATTTTCCAAAAAAAGAAACCAAAGATACCATTGTTGAGTCCAATTCTAGCGTCGCAGAAGATCCCGAAGAATACACATTTCTTGAACGACATATTTGGGCGACAGATATGAATGTTATGTCCAATTTTACCCACCAATCAGTTCAGTCATATGTGGACCGAATAACGAGTTACGGTTTCGAGCCGGGAATCATATTACTTGACTCCCGATGGGAGAACATAATCGGCAATTTAAAACTAAATAAGACATTGTTTGCCACGCCATCAGTTTTGATCAATATTCTCCATAACAAAGGCTTCAAAATATTTCTTACAATTACACCGAACATCGATTTACGTTCCGATACGCTGGTCAACGCCCGACTCAATCATCGACTATTGCGCGATAATCGACTCAATGTACCGCTACTGACCAGATGTGGCAACAATAATGAATTTATTTGCGGTTTAATTAATTTGACAAACGCTGACAATAGAGAATGGTTTAGAAATCGTTTGGTCGACGAACTGATCACCGGTTTGTCAATCGATGGCTTTCTGTTTGTTGGCGGACAGTCATCATTAATGCCACGACATATGAATGTCGACAAAAGTATAAATCCAGACTATTATCTGAATTATATGAAACGATTGGCCATTAATACAACTAACTTGATTGGAACAACTAGTTCTGTGGATGCAAAACAATTTGACGGTTTCGTTAAAATACTTCCTCGAAAGTCTTCGTGGCAATCGTTGAGATCATTAATACCAACTGTTCTATCGCTGAGTTTAATGGGCTATCCATTGGTTAACACGGGTTCTGTCGGAGGAGTACGTGCGCCGAACGAAACCAGTTATAACAAAGAATTATACATTCGATGGTTACAAGTGACGACATTTTTTCCTGTCATTCAATTTGGTGAACCCGATAGCGATCCAGAAAGTCTTAAAATAACCAAAAGATTGTTAAAACAAAGAGATGAGTTAATATTGCCGGCGATGAAGAAATGTTTGAAAGAATTCCAGAGGAATGGATCGCCAATTATAAGACCAATGTGGTGGACACAACCGGATGACAGTTTTGACGCCTATATTATTGACGACCAGTTTTCTATCGGCAACGATATTATAGTGGCGCCTGTGGTAGACGAAGGACACACTGAAAGAGATATATTTTTGCCGAACGGCTGGTGGAAGGATGAGATCTCGATGCAAGTGATCAGAGGCGGCAAATGGATGCGCAAATATCAGGTACCAGTAGACAAAGTGGCCGTTTTTATTAGGACTGAGTCGTCGTCTACCAGTGTTTGATATTGTGATAGCATTTGTCGTTTTACCGTATGTTATGTTGTGAACAAATTATGAGTTTGTTTTTACCGTAAACTAAAATTTTATATATTTTTTTATACTTAAACTATTTTATGATAATTAAATAACTATATATATATTATATAAAACTATTGAATAAATATTATTATAGTATACAGTATATTATAATATTAGAGCATTTATTTACAAATAATATAATAAATAATTATAATAATGGTTAAAATTTTGATAAAATAGTTTTACAATATAATATGAAATTTAATTTTTAAAAATAAAATGTAATCCCTCTTATGTAATCTAATTTATATATTTGTATATAACTGTTTGTATAGATTTTGTTGTATTTTGTAATTTATATACCGTTATAAGTTGTGTTTAAATAAATTATATTATGATAATATTATTTGTCAAAATAAATTTACAGTATATATGTAATATATATTATATTATTTAAATGTGTTGGGGGTGTGGGGTGTGGGAGGGTAAGCGGTGTTGTATTGAGAGGTAAGTGTTGTGGTTATTTATTACTATAATTTAATGAATTTGATTAAATGCATTAAATCAATGTATTTCAGTGGCTCCTTATAATCTACACTAACATAGACTTTATTCAGAAATAATAAAATAAAAATAATTATAATATAAGATATAATAATTTCTAAATACAATACAAATATGTTTTTATGGAATATAATTGTTAAATGTAATCCATAGAGTTTAACATAATTTAGTATTAAATCTATAATCTATTAAATTGCATGCAAACAATTAAATAATATTTTATTCAAAAATAAGTTTATAAATTGTTATGAAAAGTTATGACTAACATCATTATTATATATTTAGCTTTTATTATTTGTATCATTGATACCAGTGATGGACAGCCTGTGTTTTGTGAGACTTCACATTTTGATGGTATCTATAACTTTGGCCGACAATTGACTATTAGAGCGCAAATCAATGAGACGTCTCACTGGACATGGGTTTACAATATGTCTACTAAAACATTCAGTGACCCACCCGTCAAAAATGATGGTATTTTATTTAAATTAATCAGAAATACTATTTAAAAAATAAAACAATTATTAACTAATTATTTTTAATTACCAGAATCGATAATAACAACCAGTTTTTATATACCAAAAGTCCCAAACTGTCAAAACATAGACTATAATTGCCAACTAATAACAAAAGCAAAGAATCTTATGTTTGCAAGAATTCGGTCGTTAAAGACATTTGAAGAATCAATGATTATCTACAATGTTTCGGAAAATATTAATGACACTAATTTAGTTGCGGCCAATAACGATGACTTGCCGTGGAATCTGACCAAAACCACTGTAGTTGACATTTGGCCGCCAGAGTGGTCTACCCTAAAGTCAAGTGAGAGGATTAGCGTTTATTTTCCACAAACTTACGAAGTATTATATATTGTCATATATGGCGACAATTCTATGCTATTGAGGGCAAAGATATCTGATATCAATTGGTATAACAATATGATTCACAAAGATCTCGGCAAAAATACTCGTTATGTCGGTATGTTTATACATAGGGGTAATCTCTATGCCATTGGAGACTACATCCATAGTACCGATTCATATATCTATTTACTCCAGAGAAACACAAATCAATTTTCAACATTAGATGTAAGATAGACTTAATAGCACTGAGAAAATACTACTTTTTTAATGACTTAAAAATTATTTTTATTTCAATGACTTGTCTTTTATCAGAAAATAACTGTACGAAAGTATTTTAATTGTCCGGAATCTACTATAACCTCAACAACAGAGACACCGGTAAGTGATGGGTCAACACAGTTAGTGACAACAACACTACCGTCACTATCAGTCGATCAAAAGCAGTCTTCATCGATGACAACTTTGATCATAATTATTGTTATAATATTTATTATCATTTTTATTGGTATTTTCGCTGTCATTGTTTTCTTTTATTTTATAAACAAAGGTATGTTTTAACAAAATGTTTATATAAATTATATTACATTAATGTCTATTAGTAATTAATTAATTAATTGATATTAATTATTAAAAAAATTAGGTACAGTGACAAGTCTTAATCCTAAATTAGATGAGTCTAATCAAACATATAGCGAGGAAACTAAGACAAGTCGTTCATCAAGTTTTTATTAACTAAAAGTATTATTATTATTAATTTAATTAAATTCTCTATAACTAGTAATCTGTAGATTAAATGCAGTATTTATGATATTTTATTATTTATCATTTTAATTACTATAATTTCTTTTTTGCCGAAAAGTTAAAATAAATATATAAAAGTTGATTAATATTAAATTGAATTATTAATATTATTATGAATTAACAATTAGATTAAATTATTTAAATTATTTTATGTTTATTTCAATTAACTGACAAACAATTTTGCCGGTGGTTTGTAGTTATTAAAAGTTAGTTTTAAAACCATTATCAATTACCATTAAAATCATTTAAAACTATTATTAGACATTTTGAAAACATATACCGGTACTATAATATCAGTCATATAACCAGTGATTTTAATGGGTCCCAAACAATTAATTTATCAAATAATATTTAATTAAAATAGGCTGTTCTTTACTATAGCTGCCAATTGTTGGCACGCGATTAATATTTCTATATATTTTAGTTAAGTTTAGGTTAGGTTAGGTTAGGTCGCGCGATAATAAATATTTACCGTTAAATATATAGAAATATTAATCACGTGCTAACAAGTGGCAGCTATAGTAAAGGACCTTAAAATATAATACAATATACTGAAAATTAAAATATGACTGAAATTTGATGAATTAATTAAAATTAATATAAATTACTTATTTTGTTGAAACACTTATCAATCAATTCGTGTCATTTAACTATTTGTCCCTTTCATTGAGGGTTTTGTATTTCGTAATAACATTATAACAAAAAAAATTAATGAACTTTTAAATTTAATTTATACAAAATTTTGACATTTTTCTATTTCAATAAATAAAAAACAAAATCAAAATACGAGATCTAAATAATAGCCTATTAATTATGAATTAACAACAAAATTCAAATTATTTCAATTAACTGACAATTTGCCGGTAGTTTGCAGTCATTGAAAGTTAGTTTTCAAACATAGATATATCACTCTATTATTAGACAGTTTGAAGACATAACTACCGTATTATCAGTCACTTAAATGGGTCCCAAACCGGCGCGCAAAACACTATCGTCTATTTCGACCAAATCGGGGAAAGCCGGTACTGGTTATGGTCGTTGTCGTAAAGCTGTGTATCCATTCCTCGTTGGTGTAGCTGTAGGCGCAACCATCTTATTGGTTACCGTAATTGTCCACAAGAAATGCTCAATGGGTGGCAATTACCGGTAATAGTTTCATTTACAGACAAATACATACAAAACTATATGAGAAGAGTAGTGGTTGTCATTGTTTTGTCGAAATAAACTAAAAAAACAGTTATTCTTGAAAATCAAATGATGTCTGTCTTTGAATTTTTTTTCTATCAAAAAGTTATGCAACAAAATTCAAATCAATCTTTTTTGTATTAAAAATTAATAAAAAATCAAATTTTTAGAAAATATTTGTTATTTTTTCAAACTTAACTATTGATATTGAAAATTGTATATTTTGTTATACTGTACTGTACTATAAAGTTTTTATTGCATAAAATTATTATTTTTACTAAAATGTGATAAAATAAGTGTAAAATCATTTATTAACATATAATAAATGAAATCCTGATATCAATAAAACAAAATATGTTATAAATTATTGTAAATCACTTCTTTCTTCCAGTTGTTTAGTGACAGCTTTGGATAGATATTCAAGAAACTGAGCAAAACTTATGGGAATACGTCCGCCGGAAAACAAAGCAATGGCCAAAAACGGTATCTTTCGTAGAGTACGACCACTGAGTGATAAACTTTTTTCGGCAATTTGCAAGAGTTTATAATTGCCGGCAAAAGTTGTGCCAAACGCTTCCAACTGTTCCGAGCATTTAAGCTGATTATAAGATAGTATAGACTCATCGCATGAGACGATACTTCTTTTGATGAGTTCGACAATACAGGATCGGTATATATCGTAAATAGTCTCAACTGTTGGTAAACCAATGTATTGTTTGATGTCAGCCCTGTCAACAAAAGCCAAGTCTATAGCGTTGGTTACATTAGAAGTGGTCAGTATTACGACATTCGGGTAATTTTTAATGCCATCCAATTGTGTTAACAAAGCATTGACAACACGTATTGCATCGGATGGTTCGGTACCGTTGGCCGATACCTGTCTTGTATGGGCCAGACTCTCGACCTCATCGATCAACACAAGTATAAGCTGATCGTCTAATTCTACGTATTCTTTAATCTTCTCAAACAACTTCATCACTAGTTTTCCCGACTCAGAGAACCACTTGGAGAACAATGAATGCGAATTGATTTCAATGAGTTGTGAAGTCTTATATTTGTTTCGTAATCGGATCGATAGTTTGTGAGCTAATGCCCGACACAGAGACGTCTTTCCAGTTCCGGGCGGTCCGTGAAGTAATACTACTTTATTCCAGTTAATCAATTTGGTGTCAACTCCCTTATCGGCGAAGATTAATGAAGTCAACACAAAGTCTAACAAATAGTCTTTGATGTGTTCGCTGAACACCAAACTCTCCCAGAGATTGTGAAATTCATTGGACGGAAGAATCGTGTGTTTGGCTGCCGGTAGCTGTTCTTCATCGCACTCCATGTCCTCAGAGGAGATGCTCTCGTAATTCAATTGATAAAAGTAATAATTTACGATATAAGTGCCTGTTGTGGCCATCGATGTCTGTATCGGTGTGTCATCATTAGCGGTCGTGAATCGACTCAACGATATATTAATAGTGTCGACATTTGTGGTCAATTGTTTCGGCAGTTGTTTATCGACCACAACATACGAGTCTTTGCGTTCAGACAATTGTTTAACAATTGAGTCCAACTCTGAGTTTGTTTGTATCCAATTGGTTACCAAACTCTTGAGTTCTTCTGCATCACAATAACTGTTGCGTTTTTGAAGCACTTCCACGTGAAGACATATATCGTTCATTGTGTCTGATATTAAGTCTTCAATTCAATTGATGTTTTCAAATGAAACCAAAAGAGCGCCGAAAAACACAAACAATTTCAACAGTCATGACGTCAGTCAACAGTTTTTAATGATAGATAAAAAAGTACTAAAAGTGTTTTCATTGACTTCTGTTATGAATATTTGTTTAAATTATTTAAAAACTATACCTTTTTATATACAGTATATACAGTACAATGAAATACTACACGATTTGAAAACATGTGAATTGTTATCAAAAAATATAAACAATAATTGTTTTGTTTTTTTAATGACTTTTAAACCGAAACTTCTTTAGATAGTTATAATCACCCGACTGTACGATATCCGCGATGTCCAGAGGTGGTCGTGGAGGTGGACGCGGAGGCAAACGTGATGGCGGTCTGACCTTTTCGTTGGAGTCAATGGGTCTGACACGCGGTGAGGCACTACCGCCGCCAACCCTAACACCGCCGCCCAACTATCCGTCGATTGCCGACTGCCGGCCGTTACCACTGCACGACAATGAGATAGACAACTATCTGTTGACACTTAAGCAAGAGTTTCGACAATCAATGATTACATCCAAATATTTCATTAGTGCCACTAAAGAGAAGTCACAGATAGAGAGATATTCAGATAAATACGAAAACATTGCCACCGATAGTGTCAGTGATAATGACATACAAATTGGTATAAAAAATATTTAGACATTAATAGATCAAAACTGATAGTTTTGTTTTGTGTCCACAGATTGGCGTATATTTCCTACAGAGTTGTGTCCGAAGAAAAGCAAAACAAAAAAGAAGATAAAAGTTGAAAACAATAAAGATTTGAATCAAAAGTTAGAGAAATTAATAGAAGACGAAAAAGAAGACAAAAGTGATGATCAAAACAGCGATGAAGAGGTAAACAATAATGCATCCGATGTGGAGAAGGAAGAAGTGCCTGAAGAGGATGTCGAAGAAGTAAATATATTTTTTTTATCATTTGATTTCATTTATTGAATTTACTAATTGAAAATTGTTTGTCAAATCTAGGAAACAGATTATATGTTTTCTTATTTCGATAACGGAGAGAACTATTTGGAGGAATCGGATGATAATGGGGATGAGGGACCCACCTATTGAAAGACATCACACAAACAAGTCAGCCATCAATTGTTGTACATTTGGATCATTTTGTAATTTAGTCAATAATTTACAATTGAAAGTAACAGTTGATAAATTTATTTTTCAAATCTATTGATAAAATATTTGTAATAAAAATATATTGTATATAACATATATATATATCTATAATAAAACTCTTGTAAAAAGTCTTAGTGATGACTATGAATGTGATGATAATAATTATCTAAAGTATTGTTATGATTATTAATTTCACTATGAGTTTCACTATGATATATAACATAAATAACTGGCAATAAAAAGCATACGACAAATGCCAATAGCAATAGATTACACCAATTGATGCCATAATCTGATTCATCACAACTAAAGGCACTTCTTTGCGATTTCTTTTGGCCGATAAATTGAATTACATTTTCATCGACAGCTAATGATTGCTCCAAATTAGTGATGTCTGAGCTCTCGATCACTGTTTGTGTCGATTCTCTAATTCTTTTGAGATCTTCATCCATATGTGACAAGAATTTATTTTCAAGTTTAGTGCCGTTGTTTGGGCCCAAATGCTGTGATATACCGATATTGACGGTCAACGATGAACTGTTGCCATCAGATGATGAAGACATGTGATCGTCGTCCAAGTGTTTGCTACTGTCGTTAGGATCAGCTGTCGTCAGTTGGCTATGAATTTGATGGACTAAAACATCGCTAAGTATGCCGTACTTCTTGACCGGAAGCCGTACAGTGCGGAGTCCGTAGAACTCGTGGTCAGACATAATATGATTGATTTGCTTGATCTGAGACACGGAACAGCCGTAGCGTAAGGCAATGGCACGCAATGTATCACCCGATTGGACCCAATATGGGATGTACTCAACCAGCGACTCGGCCTCAGTTTGCGATCGTTTCGGTGAAACTCGTTGTCGATTCTTGAGCTCAAATGTCTGGTCCTCGTCATCGTTGGCAGTGATGGCCGTCGGATCGCTAAGTCTCTCGTATTTAACCGATTTGTAGTCATTTTGTGACCGAAACGTCTTATTGTAAACACTTTTCATCGAAATATACGACGATTTCAATCATTTATCTCGACTTTTGATTAAATAAATTATATTAAAAATGCAATAATTTTATTGTTGTCTTAAACTAATGATATGATTGATGATTACGAAAGTCAAACATGTGTTTCATTTAGTCGTTTGCTTCTCAACATTGAAAACACATTTCAATTGATTTATTAATTAATAATTAATAAAAACAAAGTCATAATAAAAGTGTATTAAAAATAAAATAAAATAATAATTATATTATATATTATTAGATCACAAATATGTGTCAAAATGTTTAGTCAATGCAATCGTTGTTATGTTTATTACGTTAAACATTGAAAACATCACTCATTTGACAGTTTATTATTCCATTGATTAATCAATAACTGTGTTAACTAAACATTTATTTTATTTACAGATTATTTAGTCTATTTCTATATTACAAATGCAATTACAATCGTAAAGTTATTCAGTACTAATAAAAAGTACCAAATATTAGATTGTATTTCATTGATTGCAAATACTCTGTTTGCAAATTCAATTGAAACAAACTCTGACGTAATCAACGCGTCAGTTCGTGACGTAATTTATGTTCAATTTATTGAATGAATGAATGAGTGAAACATTTATTCATTCATTCATTCATTCATTGATTCATTCATTGAATGAATAACTTCTTGTCTTAACTATGGATACAGTCTTTGAGTAGTCATTCAAATAATGAATTGACTCTTGAGTTCACACTTTCTGTTGAATGGCCACCAAATGGGTCACAGCTTTGTTACCACCGATGACTTAAAATTCAATGACTAAACTAAACCCTATTTAAAAAATTGATATCAAGTTTGAAATATCGCGACTGAAAAAAACAAAACACAAAAATTCACAGAAGAAGTGGTTATTTATTTAGTTTTTTTTCTCTTATTATAAACACATTACAAGAAACCATAGATGAGATAATCCCTAATAATAAAACTGTTCTCTCAAGAGATTATGAGGATATGAATAGTTGTCACTCGAGTTATAGCGCCGAAGAGCCCAGAGATCACAATTCAAGCCCTAATCAGTGGCTTAACGTTTCTGCAAAACCATTGAAAGTTGAGTTGAGTTTATTGTTCAACGATTGGCCGCTGAAGGAGATCAAGAAATACGAGTGCATCGGTTGTATGGATGAGTTCGTTCACGAGTCAAGTCTTGCCAATCATTTGGAGCGCCGATCCGTTTTCATAACATATATGTGCGACAAATGCCACACAAAACAGGTATTCTTCAACAGATGCACTCTTTTGCAACACTTGAAGTCACATAAAGAGACCAGTGATCACATCCAACGGGTTGTTGCAAATGAAGTGGTTGTAAAACCCATTGATTTAACTTATTTGTCGACACCATTGAGTTCAACAAATAATAGTAATTCAGATAATACACAGATAAACAATAATAATAATAATAATAATAATATAATTAATGACAAGAATATTGATAATCAATTGACTCAAAGAAGGCCTTATGAATCGTTTGTCAATAGTAGTGTCTTTTATGTCAAGAAAGTGGTAAATCAAGTAAGAAAGTCATCAATTGATGACAACAATAGTCACACTAATAATAATAATAAATCGGTCAGAAATGATGGTCAGAATAATTCACAAAATCAGTTGTCAAACGAATTGATGTCCAAGAAATATATCATCAAAAAGTCGAGTAATTCGGAGTTGAAATGCATTCATTGTAATCACAGTTTCAATAGTTTTTCGACTCGTGAGCAACACTTAGCTGACAGACAACTGATTTTGCCGTTAACTCAGTGTAAACTATGTCCGACAATATGTGCCACGAATTGTGGTCTAAGTTTGCATAACAATCTTCATCAGAAAACGGATGAAACAAACAGAGTTTGTCCCGAGTGTTGCACCAAATTGAATGAAATGACTGCAATTGATCTCATGATTCATATTACTGTAAATTGTTTTCATTTAAGCCGTCGATTTGTCTTTAAATGTATGTTCTGTTCGGACAAATTGTCTTCACTGACCACTATTACACAACACATCAAATCGGTTCACACGAAATCACGTTATCAGTGCTCCAAATGTTTGTCCCAATTGGCCACCGATATTGATCTCAAAGAGCACCAATCAACTAGTGGTGAATGTATTGATTCAAAATCTATTGTATGGTATAAATGTCCCGTTTGTGGACAAGAAGTTAAGTCCGTAAATACTTATTCGGATCATCTGACGGGTCACCGCAAAAAGATTTCCGATTTCGCTTATTTTGTATTTAAATGTCCAGAATGTGACCAAACATTGGTAACTAAAAATGAGTTGAGATCTCATTTTAACAATAATCACAGCAATTGTAAGACAGAAAGTGATCGCAAAAATTATTTGAATCATTTGATCCAAAAGATATCAACGGATTATAAAATAGATGTAAATTTTGATGACAAACACTGCCATTCTGTCGATAATAATAATAAAGATCAGAAGTCTGTAAATAATGGTAACATCGATAAGAGGAAGAAGTCAATCGAGTCCAGTGAGTCTCCGGCCAAACGAAACAAATTATTAATTAATAGCGACGACAACGACAATATTGTTCAGAACAGTAGTAGTGATGATCATAAAAGCGAAATCAATGACAAATCATTGAAATGTAATGAATGTGATCTATACTTTCCATTTGTTCAAAATCTGAAACGTCATCTGATTCTTGAGCACCGAATTCATGACGTCGAGAGCTATATTCATAAGACTTACGTAGAGATTACTGTCCCAATCATCTCAACCACTGAACCTCAACTGCCCAAAGAAGTGGGAGAGGAAAGACTATCACAGATATTGGACAGTCAGGACTCAAACGATACCATTTGTCCGGTTTGTTCGCAAAAATTTGCCGATTCGTCGAAACTTAAAATTCACGGCAGAGTTCATGGAATGGCTTTTATAAAGTCGTGCCAAAAGAAGACATCACTTTAATTATGTATTTTATTTTATTTTGTGTTAATCTTAACACTAATTGTATTATAATTTATATATTATTTAATATCATGTTACTCTTAAAATGCATTATTATATAACATTTTATCATTTTATTAATTTATTTTTAATTACTATATGTTATAAATTTTATCTATTATTAAAAAATGTTTACTATATATATATATAAACACAAAATGTACATTTAATTAAATATAAAAAATGTTTAATTTTGCTTAAAAAAATAAACAATATTTGAAATTATAAATTTATAATTAAGCATCCGTAATTGGTTTATATATTATACAGTATATTGAAATTTATTTATTACGGTAAGTGTTTTATTTTTAACACAATTATTATCTAACTGTTAAATTTCATGGATACTAATTTGGAAAATTAAAATTAATTTTAAATCAAATGTATTTTCAATAAAATATTTTTTGTTACTGTATTAGATTTTTTAAATAATTAAATCTTACCCAGTTTATTTGAAAATTTATTTTGAAGACTGTTCATGAATTGCCTCCAAATAAGCTAGTATATTTTTTTAGTTAAAAAATACTTTAATTAATCTAACATGTTAAAGTTAATTAACTACAATATCCAATTATTATGTTAAATTATATAGTCAACTTTACATTAATAATAAAATTTATTTTGCATAACATTTATTATAATTATAAATTAGTGCTTTAAATTAATTTTCATCAAAACACTACAACAAAAATATTTCATTATTATTATACAGTATTATAATTTATAACATTTATATAATATTAAAATTTACAAATTAATTATTTTATTGCATTTAAGTCACTAATTTATGTGATACTAATATATTATAAATAATAATTTAATAGAAAATAATGTTAACAAACGTTTTGTGCATTTCATTTGATTGACATTTTATGCATAAATTTTTATTTATTAATAATTTTTTTTGATTAAATTTAGGATTTTTAAAATATTATTTATCTCAATGTAATGAATTTTAATGAAATAAAATAAATAAATAATTTGATGCATTTAAATGAATTATTTTATGTCTATTAATGAAAATTAAATGATTATTATTATCTACAAAAAACATGTTATAACTTAACAAATAACAAAAATCCTAAATTTAATTGAGGAACTGAATGTTGATATATACAGTATATATCTTTTTAGTTTGATTTATAAAATCTAATATTAGGATATTTGAAAATTAATAAATATATTTTTAAAAAATGTTTTTTTTTCTTCAAATTGAATTTACTTAATTTCGGTCTTGAATTTAATTTAATTTATAGCTAACTAACAAAAAACCTATTGGTGTGTCGTATGACTGGCTTCGTGTGCGGCCGCGAGTCCGGCGGCAACCGATTGAAAGAATGTTTCCGACCTCTGCAGCGATGGATCGACTCTTAAAACATTTAATTCGGTGCCATTGTTAGTAAATCGCGAAAAACAAGACTCAGATTTGGGTCTTTTGAGACCAATCTCTTGCAACTGTCGCGACCGGAATATACTGATCTCACTTTCGCTGTCTTCACTGGGACTTTGAGCAGAAAGGGTCAACAGTTCACTGACAGCCCTCAGATCACATTGAAGGTCTCTCTCAGGACAGACAATACTAGGATTTTTGCCAATTTTGTTAAGTCTTTCGGCTGCTATCGACTCCATTGTTCGTCTCATCAATGGATACATATCCAGTACAGCATTGAAGTGTTCAACTGATAGTGAAAATAAATTGCAATACGTTTCGGCCCTAACACTGGCAACCCGTCGGGCGTTTGTCAGCAAACATATCTCTAAATTATATCAAAATAAAATATAGGTATACGTTATGTTTAGTTATTTTTTTTATACTATCAGTTTGTCTTAAAGGTGTATAGTTAATGATAACTACATATTTAAACATTGAATGAACACTTAAAGTGATGTTACATTAGTTTGCTTCACTAGATATAAGATTTTTAACAATAGCCAATGGGGTATATTATATAATATAACTTTAATTTTATTAAGTTATTATTTAACCAAATAAACATCATTTATTATAAATTATATTATATAAAATAAATTAATTAAAATGTGCACTATTTGTTTATCAAATAATATAAATCTAAAATAATAATAAATTTATTAATCTTTATCGGAAAGCTTGATATCCTATTGTTATAAATATAATATTGACAGAGACTAGTGTTATGTTTAGTCTATATAGTTATGAAGTTTACTTTTTGTCACTATTTATATATCATATATATAATACATTTTTCTAGATCTATAGAATTGAAAATATTATATCGAATTTTCTAATATTTTTTTGTTTCCTATTTTTCTCTCAACAACACTACAGTATAATATATTTTATTATTATTATTATAAGAATTTATGTTTTTTTAAAAACAAAATCTCATATTTATTAATATAAACATAATATATATTTAATAAAACAAATAAATTGTTATTTTTTTTATTGTTAAGTCAATAAATATTTGAAAAAACAGATAATAAACTCGGAATATATAAAAAATAGAAAAATGATAATAAAATACCTCCAAAATAGGAGCCGTCGGACAAACTGGTGGCCACATCTCCATTAATCATCACAATGTCAACAATGCCTTCCTGTATGAAAAACATTTTGTTGCCAATGGTTCCCTCTTTGATGATGATGTCTCCCGGCTGGAAGACCTCATATTTCAAACGAGTGACAATTGAATTGACAAAATCGGTGTCCGCGTTGGCAAAAAAGGGCACCGAAGCTACTAATGCTCGACAATTGTAATTAATCACATCCTATAAATCGGTTGTAAATGAAAATATAATTTTTCAATCAATCAATTATTATTACAATTCATTTTTTTTAATGTTCAGATATAATGATTTGTGATATAATTTTTGTTTAGTACTTCTCGTAGTCGTTCTGAAAGCTCGTCCAGAATAGTGTCTTCGTTGAAGAACTTTCCCTGATATCGGTGCTCAAAATAGTCGCCAATACGCACCCGTAGGTCGCGAGGCAGCTTTCGGTAGGCCATATACTCTTCAACTTGTTTTAGCTGTGATTTTAAAGTTTTTCAAAAAAAACAACAAATAATTAATATTAAAGTTAAAGTTAAGAGTAAAAAAATTTATAAAAATAATCAAAAAAACAAAAAACGAAGGATTGAATGTAATTCAAAAGGATTTCTGTTTTTTTTTTGTGGGGAATATGTATCAAAATATGGGATTAAGTGTATAAATATATATACTTTTTCTCTATATTGACGTCTCGATGAGTCAAGAGATTGTATGAGATTAGTGGTGTGACCTAAAAATAGTGCATAACATGTGGCACCAGAGATCATACTGAGAAGCGTTAGCCACATATCGGTGAGACTTTGAGGAGGGAAACGGCCGTAACCTATGCATAGCATGTGTGACATGGCTTTAAACAGTGACCACGAATACTGTTCAAACCATTCAGACTCCTGTTTTTCAAATACAATAGATATAAACAATAATTGTGTCAATTGTTGATAGTTTTCAATTTAAAATCAAATAAATAAATCAATAACTAAAGAATTTCTATATTAAAGTATTTTATTTATTAATTTTATTTATAATAATAATAATTTTTAATAAAATATCATGAAAAATATTATTTTGAGATAAAATACATAATTTATTATTTTAAAATAGGTTTCATATACTATAAGTATGATTTAATTACAGTTAAAAAGTATATAAAAAATTTTATTGATATATTGAGAAATATTTGTTGAAACAAATATTTGTATTTGAAGTAATAAAATATTAAGCGCTTAATAGAAATTCAGTACACAATTCCAAATAAAATATAGCAAAATAAAAAAAACATTTTAATAATATATTGTTTAGTAAAAGACTATGAATCAAAAAAAATAGATTTTTCTTACAAAAAGATTAGAAATATTGATGTAAACCACAAAACAATACAAAAGCCGACACACAAAAAAAATTTATCGAAAATTTTATATATATATACAAAATATTATATAAAAAGCTTATACACACTCTATTGTCTATTATTTTTTAGATGTGTTGTCGATTTTCTAGACACACACACACACACACACACACACACACACACACACACAAACACAAAACCCAATGGTTTAGTGTTTGTATCTATTATGAGAGGTTACAGTATAAATAATATACTGTATTACTTTACTTAAAGTAGAAAAATAATTATTTTGATTTGTTATATATTTATATACTGTATAAAACACAAGTGTATCGATAAATAATAGTAAAGTTATATACGATTCGTTGAGTTTTAGATCATTTGTTAAAATTATTTATAAAAAATCAATTTTTTTCTTTCAAGTCATTTACTCAAATCTATTGCCAATTCATCGAAAATAGTAGTCCATATGATAGCAAAAACGCATTGAATGACACTATTTATGCCTAATCTCTAACATAAGGCTATCATAAGATAGTGTCTTAAACTTTAAAAAAAACTATCATAAAGCAAATTAAGTTTTATTGTTTTATTATTTGTAATTTTAAAATAATTTTAGTAACATTTTTTATTTTATAATATTATGTTCTATAATTATTATTATACATGTATTATATACTTTTATAACTTTTATAACTATAATATTTTTATAATACTTTTCTTATATATAATATTACTGTTAAATTAAAATAAATTAAATAAATGTAAAATTAAATAAAATGCTAGATTTAAAAAAAACTAAATAAATGTTGCATTACTTATTGAATTTAATTCTAAATTATACTAAAATAAATATACTTATAAATTATAATGTTAATAACTATTATTAAATAATATATAATTTAACTATAAACTAAAACGGATGTATTACTCGTCAATAGCTTTAAAATTATGCTTTTTTACAATTATAACTAAATTTATTTTATGATTTCAGTTTAAATTTATTTATATAATTCATACAAAAAAAGTTATTTTAATTTTTATATTATGAGCGTAAGAATATAAAAACGTAAAAAATAAAAATTTTAGTTTAGTATTTAAAATTATACATATGTATTTTACTTAAGTAGTAGTTACATATATAGAGAAACAAATTAGATTATTCAGTATATAATATAATTACTAGTTTCAAAAAATCTTTATAAATATTTATTATGTATACAGAATTTAAATGTATTAATTTATCATTAAAAAACACAACTAAACATTTGTTATTAAATGACTGTTTTAATAAATAATGAATTTTCTACATTTATTGAGATTATTAAAATTATTATTTTAATGTTGTTGTCACTAACTCGTAAATAATTAAATTAACAATTGAAGTGTAAATTATTTATTAAACTAAATTATTAGAAAAGTAAAACAATAAATATTGTTAAGATCTAGTATTAAAAAGGATTTACATAATGACTTAATATCATAATGCTATATAATTTATTTGTAGCAAAAAACAAAAGTTAAGTCAATTTATGATTACATATAATGTACTATATTTTATATTTATGTTTATTTATGATAATTTATATTCAGGCACTAGTCTTGAATGTCTTATTACATGAGAGATAAAGATTGAAAGCAATTGTGTCCTTAGATAAGCCCAACAAAACATTTTATACATTTGTGAATTGCTTAACAACTAAATACTTAACCGGGTTTTTACCAAAAAGATTTTATTTCACTTATGAAATATAATTTAAGAATAATATTAACATATTTCATGTCCAGAATATTTATAGATCAAAAAATATATATTCAAACAGAATATTCTATATCTGTGAGTATTTTTATAGTCAGATAAAAAAAGTTTGACTTATTTTTTTTAGTGAAACTGTAAATATAAGCCATAGATATGCAAATAGAGTAAAGGTTTTGGAAATTAATGAATCGTTACTTAAAATAAAAAATAAAATTCTATAATTTATTGTTTATATTCATATTTAAATTGTATAATCTGGAAAATGGACTTATATATGATATATAAATTTATATATAAAAATCAATTTTTCATTAAATATTAATTTTGATATTATTTTTTTAAAGACAAAAATGTAATTTATATGTGAATTATGTAACAACTTACTTGAAGTTCATTAATGGCTACCCAGGAGTTGGCAGGAAATCCCTGGAGCATCGGTACTAAAAATTGAAGACAACCACTCCAATGTCCAATCAATAACATCATACAAATCAAATTAAAAATTTTCATAAAAACGTTTGCCATATTTAGGAACTGTTGAAATAATTTATAAAACAATAAATAAAATTATGGAAACAATTTTTAAAGTAAATAATTTTTAAATATTTTTGATAAATTAAAATCATCATGTTTTGAATTAAATATATCAAGTATAATCTAATTATACAAATAATATATTTTAAACAAAACCAAACACACACACACACACAGATAGATAGATAGATAGATAGATACATACATACATACACATAAACATACACACGATTTTATATCTATGTTGTAAGGTATATATACCGCTATATATATACATGAATTGTTTAATAAACATTAAAAATATTCATTATAATATAATAATTTATTGTAAGCATATTGTCATAATATATGTTGAAAGCTTTTAAAAATAAACATTCATTTTATTCTAATAATATGTAAAATTTAATATTTGCAGTTAAAAAAGTTTAGAGAAAACAAAAATATTGAAATATTATTTTTAATATATTAATTATGAAAATCATTAGCAAATAACAACAACATATTTAATAATTCGTGTAATTTTAATAAATTTGAAAAACTAAAAATTTAAAACAAACTAAAGTCAATATAGATATTAGTGCAGTAACTAAATCCCAAATGACATATAAATCTCATCGGACGACCTATTTTTGTGATTAAATTTATGTTTTGTTTTTTAAGTTTGTCAGTTGTGTTAGCGTTTATACAGTATAGATAACTATTTGTAAATTTAATATCTCAATAATATTAAAATTTAATTAGAATTAAATATTAAGATTTTTGTTGTTGTTGTAAAATAAATATAAATAATCTATAACAATGTTACTGAAATAATTTTATACTTATTTTTAGTTTATTTAGTAAATTTAAAAGTATAACTAATTTATGCATATAAATTAAATACAATAAAACAATTTGATATATATTTCTATAACTTATAATACATGATTAATCCCCTTAAAAAAAGTTAAAGTTTATGACTTAAGATTGTCTATCATTTCCGGTTACAAAAGAAAAATCAATTTTTATACTTTCATTGAGTCATCCCTTTAGCAAAACTTTTCTCTATTTGTTGTCAGTTATAATAATTTAATGTCAATCGACTTAAGGCTATTGACGATGTGGTAGACAGTGATGTATAATGTAATTGTAATTTGATTTTATCGAAATTTTCAATTTTTTTATCATATAAACAATATAAATTTTTTCAATTCAATTCAATTTTTTCCAGTTTAAATCATTGGAAAAAAGTAAATTTTATTATTTGTTTGTTGTATAAAAAAATTATATTAAATTAATTAAAAAAAGTAAATACTGAGTATTAAATACTAATATATTGTTATTAAATTTAACCAAAAAAAACTTATCTCAGATAATAATAAAAAAGATTTAAATAGGAAAACATGAAATATTGGTTTATAAGTCCTCTTAGTCGGTGACTTAACCATAAGAGAAAAAAATGCTAAAACCAAATAATAATAATAATAAAAACAAGAGCTTTAGTTATAAATCAAATATCTATTTTTTGAGATAATTTTTTTCACGTGAATACTAAACACAATAGAAAAAGCTAAGTATTATAAGTATGAGATAAACAAAAAAAAATAATGCAAAACGAGTGCAAACAAAAACAGCCAATCGATCGGTTGGTCTCTAATATATAAATAAAAAGCATTTCATACAAACACATATACACACAACAAAATATAACTGAATTTTCATGAATAAGTTACACATCTTTTAATATATTACTATAAATCTGGAAAAAACAAATAATAGTTTGAATAGAGTTATAGTTTCTCTCTCAAGTTTTATATGATTTTCAAAAATACATATTTCATTCAAATATCAATATTGAATAATACAATACTGTAAAAGAAAAACCCTATTGTGTTATACAATATTTTGTGTTACAACTGTTTGTAATATTTTTTCAAAATGAATTTTTCAGACTATAATTTGCTAAAATAATTGTCAAATAAAATTATATACATAAATAAATATTTTATCCGTAATATTGCAAATTCAACATTTAAAGATAGAGACAAAATAGAATAAAAATTGTGCACATATTGTGAATAATATGCACAAATCGTTCAAATAGTTTAAAATTTGATATTTTATTAAACAAATAATAATAAGACAAAAAAATATGATTTAATAAAAAAAAGTAGTGAATAATGTCCTGTAAATGGATACACAACTTAAATAATAGTCAATATATTTCAATAGGTTTTGACTTTTCAAACAAATAGATAATATACAGTATATCTAATAGAGAGTACAAATACTATCGGAAAAAGTGTTGACATAATATCGACATTAAAAAGCTATTTTAAAACTTCAAGTTTTTGCCTTTTATCGGATCAATCAGTTCTGTGATGACTCAAATAAAATGGGATTTCTATATATATATATATATACTGTATATATATAAAGATAATGGTTTTTACTAAAAAGCAAAAAAGATCTTTCAAAAACTGTTAGTAATACCAGGATCATTTATTATGATTAACATAAACATTGTACAAAAATAACTATTGTGTAACCAATGCATATTATTGTACTATACAAAAAAACATTTGGCTAATATATATTACCAAATATATTACCAATATAAATTGTAAAGAGTATGAGAATTGATTTAGTTATTTATATTTTTGTCGAGTAGACTACACACACACACACACACACACACACACACACACACACACACACACACACACACATACATACATACATACATACATACATACATACATACATACATACATACAACCCATATATTATAAATATAAATAAAACTATTACTGTAATTCCTGTATAAATTAAATTAATAAAATCTTTATGTATTATATAATGTTATCATTGTATTGTGATAATCAATAATAGTATAATTTACATCAAAATAACATTTTCTAAATAGTAATATAAAATCACACATAAACACAAACATACATATATATCATACATTTAATATCAATGTTTATTTCTTATCAATGATTTCATTAAACATCATAAAGTTTGTATATAATTGTATGTAATATTTTTTTTATTAATATTTTAATATAATATATTTTATAATATAGCATAAATTATAATAAATGTTTATATTATAAATTATATAATATGCTTTTAAAAATGATTAATATAATAGAAAATTGTATATTTTATAAAATAATAAATTAAGTATCAAAATTCAGTGACAACAATTATACTATATATAAACTAGTCATATTTTTGTAATTTATTATTAAAGTAATAGTATTATTAATAATATAAATTTATATATGGTTTGAATACAGTATTTTATTTTTTAAAATACCGTAAAAATATCATTATTTATAACATTTTTATATATTAAAAAGTTAATTCATATATTTAGATAATGTAAACAGTATATTATTCTAGTTATTCAAACACTAGTGTATTGATATGTTATAGTAATAATAATATAATATAATATAATATCATTTTAATAGGATTTATTTCACAAAATAATTTTATAAAAATCAAATTTATTTCACACAAAAAGTCATAATTCTTAAAAACATTATATTTAATAAATATTAAATTATATTTATTATTTAATAATAGTTTAATGCTTCATAATCAATAGTACACTATTTTAGGTACAAAAATTATTAATAAAGCTAATTATGTTTTAAACTATTGTATTAGCAAATTAATTAAAATATCATATAAAAAATGAATAAATAAAACTTATTATTTTAATAATATTACATAATAATTTGATTATTTGAAATATTATATATAAATAATATTACAATATTATTAGTGCAATTGATAACGAAATTGTAAAGCCATTGTTTAAAAAAAATGTCTTAACATAATATATATATGAATTGTGAATACCTTTTTAGCCCCCGGAATGCGAGTTAAAAACCCAATAAATCCTCTCTTATCCGAAAATGTGGCCAAACTGTGCATCTGTTTTGTTGGGAGAGAGAGAAGACAACACAATTGTTTTGGTCTTTTTTTTGTTATTTAAAGAGCAAACTACTAATCAAACTAATCAAAAAAGCCAATTATTTGATATATAATTCATAATTATTATCACACTATTGTTATTATTATTATAAAAAAATATCATTATTTCCTCATTTTATTATATTTGTTGATAGTTTTATTGATTGATTGATTGTGATTATACGGGTGTCATAATAGCATATTGTGTCGTCTATTTGTCATTTGCATTGCACAACATATTACTTATTATATATATATATATATAAATTCTCTCTCTCTCTCCCTATCTATAACTTATATACTTTATCTTAACTCACTTATCATATAATTTATCATTTTTTTATGATATACAGTATAAATCATTTTTTAGAAAGCAATCAATTTTTTAAATCTATTTTAATAAAATAATCGATTGATTATTAAAATGTAATATAAGAATTTGCATATTAAATTAAATCGAGTATATCATTAAAAAATCTATTATAGTTTTTAATAAATAATATTTTTTAAAAATATATTTTTTTAATAGTTTATAACATTAATATCTCTTGATATTTTTAAAATTATTAATAACAATATAAGGAAAATCATAATTTTTAAATTTAGAACAATACGTAAATATAAAAGTAAATATATAATTTTAGTTAATCATTAAATAAACAATAATACATAAATAAAAAAATAAAGTAAATTTAATCTTTTCAAAAAAGTCAATATTTTAACAGTCATATGATAGACAAAAACAGTTTAAGTCACGAATATTTTGAAGTCATGCAACACATATATTTGGATATACGGTATAACTTATAAAAAAAATAAATGAAAAAAATTGATAAATAGATATTGTCTGCAGGATTGACACAATACGCAAATGGACACCAGTATTGACACATAATCAACATTACTTACCACAAAAAAATCATAAAACATTATTTACAGAATATACACACAAAGATCTAGTGATACATACATAATGTACAATACATATCATTATTTTGGTGACAATTCATTTGAATTTGGGATTACATTTGAAAAGAGGATTTAATAGTATAATTTATAATAATAATAATAATAATATAATACATTTATACATCAAATAACTTTTTGTTAAACATTTATTAGGCATAAAGCAAATGGTTAACACCAAACTAAAGGATAGATAATTATCAAGTGTTATATATATATATATACAGTACAGTATATTTAGGGAAATATTATATATACAAGTGGGTCATTCATTAGACAAAAAACATGCATTTTTAATATATATATATATAAAGTATATTAATTATTTAATTAATAATTTCATCATAAATGCAAATAAAAAATTATTTGGTGAAATTTTTATTTTATAATAATTATATAATATAATAAAAAAATATTGCTATTATAATAATGAGAAATTTAACAATAATATCATTAAAAAAAATTGTGCACTTTATATATCGTAAAACATTGTGAGTTATAAATTTAAATTATTTATTTTAGGTATTTCACAGTTTATAAGACTATTATTATGTTAGTTTTCAAATAAAAATATGTTTTTGTTAATATTATTTTTTTTATGATTGTAACACAAAATTAATATTTAATAAATACGAATTAAACACTAAATTATGCTATTAAAAAGATAAAAACATAATAATTTTGACGCCATCATTATAACATTATAAATTTAGATATAACATTTTATTTTTAAAATTATATATTTAAGAATTGTCTAAAAATTATTCAACAAAAAAAAGTTTAATAACTGACAAATTTGTTTTGTTAGCGCTAACACATAAAGAAATAAAATTTTCACAAAAAATTGTTATAAAATATTAAACAGTATATATATATATAAAAGAAAACGATTGAAAAATACTTGTATTTAGTAAAATATAAATTTTATACAGTATTTTATATAACATATTTAAATGAATGGATTCTTTTTTTTAAATAAAATTGACATTTTTTTTAATATTAAATATTCAATATATGTTTTGTCAAATTTTTCTTTTCTATTTTATTTGAAAAAACTCCTCAAAGCGGACATGAAATGAATGACAACTATAAATATATATAAATTTTTATATATTGATATATAAAGAGTTGGATTATATGAGATGACTAAATAAAATGAGTGGTTATATACTCGTCAAGTAATTGTAAACTTATTTTTTATATCTAAATCTCTCTAGAATTTTGCCAAAAAAAACAACTTTAAACTATATACTATTAAAATGTTAATTTTATAGCACATATCACTCGGGGAACGGGATGGCAATAGTTTAGTTTTTATTATATAATGTTATATACTGTATACAGTATATGACGTAAGTCTATTGAATATAACATTTTAAGTGTTTTCAATTTTTATTAGTATTTATCTTGTTTAGTGTTTGCAAAAAAATTTGCCAAAATTGTCAAATATTGACAAAAACGTATGTAAAAATATTTTCATATATATATATATAAATGTCATATTACTGTATACTCACATAAATTTATATATTCTAATATTAAATTAAAAATATAACATACATTTTTAAACTAAAAATTATCACTAATTATTAGTAAGTAAATATCATAATCAGTATCATAATAACAAATATTTTCATATCAGACTAAATTTTATATTATATTATATATATATATTACATAATTATATGAATTATATACTAAAAAAATACAAAAAAACTAATATTTTTAAAAACTTACGTAAACTTCTTCCCATTGACTAACATATCTGACAAGTCTTGATAATCTCAATAATCGTAATAAACTTAACATTTTTGCGAACCTTAATATTCTTAGAGCTCTTCCCGCGTGTAATATCTGAAAATTTTCTCCAAAATCCTGATTAAAGATTAGAAATATATAGTCCAATGGTATTGAACTAATTAAGTCCAAGAAAAACCAGGATCTCATGTAAGTCCTGGCTATTAGCTTAGGGTCTAATATGACCTGTTCTGGTAAATCGGGATTCATTATACCTGCGAATGGAGTAGGAATTGACTTATTAAGAAAAACTTAATGTAAATATAATTTTTTTGATGTAAAATAATACTAAAGATTAGACATTACCTGTCCGGAAATTGACTGCAATATCTAATAAGAAAATAGTATCGGAAAGACAGTTAAATGCAATCCAACGCGTGGACAGGTCATCATTGAAGAAAGATATGGCCACCGGTAATACAATTAGATTGGCCACCAATAGTAATAACATACATAAATCCCAATAAAATCTAGTTTTCATTTGTAAATAAAAAAAATAGAAATTTTAAAAACTAGTAAAAATTATAAATTTTATAATTTATAAACACAATCAAGTATTGTGATTATATAAAATGTAATCAATTAATTATAAACTCTCCCTATTATTTTGTAATTATAAAATACTAAACAATATAATTTATACTATAATATGTATACTATATATATAAAGTTAGGTATTGTTTTAAAAGAGACATTGTGCTATTGATATTTACGTACAATAAAATTCAATCAATTATTTTATAACATTATATAAATTGTATGTTAGTATAATTAAAAAAGAAAAAGAGAGATTGTAAAGTAAGTAATTTACCTTAATTATTTTTCTATTATATTATTAATATTTTATTATAATAGTATTTATATATATAAATCAATTTTCATTAATATATATATATGTAGGATAAATAATATATAAATGTGCATTTAATATTTAAATTATCTAAAAAATAGGTCAGTCATACCTAAATGTACTGCACGGGTGTATTATTAAGAGACCCGACTCTTTTTGTCGTAACCTTTCATTCATTAGTGCTTTTTTGCTACCAAACAATTTCATTGCCAGTTTGTTATCTATAAAAACAACATATAGTATATATAGTTTAGTTAATTTAGTTGAATTATTGACTACAGTGTTTTGTGACTACATTATCAATAATATAAAAATAACAAAATAATAATGAAAATGCAATGAAATGATTAGTTAGTAATTAGTTAGTTAACAAAATTATAGACCCGAGGGTTGAAAGAGAGCCTCGATTTGACTTCTCATGAATGACGGCACCTTTGCCTCAGAGAGGCCGGGAATCATCTCCTCTTTAGGCGTTCCATAGAGACTGATGTCATCTTTGTCTCCATTCCATGTCATACCACTGGTATCCTTAATGAGGACCACTGGAGGCGATTTGCAGGCCGTTCCGTCCTTATAGTTCATCTCTGGTCTTATATAATCGTCGACATAATCGGAACTGTCGTTATCTACAGTTGATTGTCGCAGAAGTGGTTCTGTTATTTGACTCTTTTCCTGAGTCGACTTTTGGTCAGTTATGTCGATCTTAATATCAATTGTTTCTTTGTTTAATTTTTTCGGTGTTTCCTCGTCTTTAGGAACACACGTATAGCTCAGCTTTCCGTTGGCTAACCGTAGACTCGACACTCGTTTAATGTTTTTGCTTGACTTTGGTGTATCCGATCCTACAATGTTGTGCTTATTGACACCACTTTTATTGTCAATCACAGAAGTCGACGGCTCACCGCCCCTGTAGTACAGTAATTATCCAATCAATCAATTAATAATTATTATCACTTTTATTAATTTTAATAAATACTATACTATTGCCTTAAGTAAACTAAAAACTATATGCTTAATGAAACATATAATTTAGACAAGTATTATGTAAAACAATTTTTAAAAAATATTATATTTAATTAACAAATGTTATATAATGTTATTTTGTTAACGCAATAATCATAGATGCAAAAAAAAATATTTTAATTATAATTCATATTTCATACTTAAATCAATTGAATTGCAGATCACATTTGATTAATTTTTAATGCGATACTCATGTAAATGCAAACCACGTGTGTTATTATAAGTTAAATGCTAAGTGTATATCAAATTAATTATTTATACAATCAAAACATATTGCAAAATAATTTAATGAGAGATTACAAATTTGTTTAAAAATTCATTTATTACTTAGTTTTACATTATTTCGCCTAAATTGGTTAAAATATTTTTATGATACATCGTTAGTTATATAATGTTTTAAAAATCAAATTCTAGTTTAAACGAAAAATAAAATAAAATGAAAATAAGAATACTTTTTAACAGTGATATTATTAAATGTTATATAACTTATATACATATATTTTGAAATAACTATTGTTCCTAAATAATGATGATTTTATTAATGTATAAGTTTTTCAGTAAAATGTAAAATTTTTTTAGACTGTGATTTATATAAAATATAACTATTGTAAAATGTCTAAACATAATGGGTGACAAAGTTTTTGAAGAAAAAATTTAAGCATACATTTTAATATATATATATATATAACTTTATATATGAAGTTTAAAGCAAATTAATGACATAACATTACTACAGGTTATGCTATACTATTATATTTACTATTGTTATTATATACAGTATATATATATATTGTGGTTTTACAATTTAAATTCACTTTTTTGTTAGAGTTAATATTACCTTTATTTTTTTAAAATATAAATACTAAAAAATAGTATTTTATATTAAAAAAGTCAACTTTAACAATGAGTATATTGATTTGAACTGTATTTATCTAAATCAATATATTATACTATTTTAGTCATCACATAATAAAATTTTTTAAATTTTAAAACTATTTTCTTTCAATTATTATTATAATAAATATAACATTAACGATACTTTAATATTCATTACTAAATGTCAGAGTAATATTAAATGTATAATTTGGTAATTTTTTTTTATCATGTAAATAATTTATATTAAAAAATTATTAATATAAAATATAATATAACAAATCTAGTTTTACAATTATATTATTTATTTATTTATATAAGCTATTTAAATAACTTTACTTAATATATATATATTTATATAGTATTTATTTTATTAGTCTTGTATTGTTTTATACATAATATCAAAATTTATTCAAAAATCAATAAATAATAAAAAATGTAAAACAATAAAATAACAGAAGATTTTTGTGAAACTAGAAATCATTAACTTTTTAAGAGTTTATTCAAATCTCAATTTGAATCACTTATGTAAAGTACTGTTCACTGCATGACTTTGAGAGCTGGCATATAATCACTGGGTTTGACATAAAGTTATTCACAAACCTAACCCAAAAAACATGATATACTGTATAAATATAAGACTTGAAAACAGTAAACACTTTGACTATTAATGCAATAATTGGCTAATTGTTGAACTCTTAAGCCATATATTTATATCAATATATACTTTATATATAAGTTATAAGTGATAGAAATGTCTCTGATTAAGGATTGTGACTCTCATTGAATCTATTAAACAGATATAACTGTTATAAACGGTAAGTATTATCTAAACAACTGATCTCTCGTTTTGTTTGTGTGACCGACAAAACAAATATTAGGAAAGAAAACAGTTATGAAGTGTAAACCAATAGATAACATGAAATAGTGATTCACAGAATCAGAGATTAAAATAAACTTTTATATAATGAAAATAGAGAGGGAATACCAAATGCTTTGAATTTAATGTAAAAACTTTTATATAAATCAATTGAGATCTCACTTACTTAAAGAAAATGGGATTATGTTTTCAATTGTTTTTAATTGATTTCAATAGTACTTACACTGAGTACAGTATCAATCTTGACAATACATTAAATATAATATTAGATAAATACTATACATAACAACTAGAGTATGATAAGCTAATGACTAAGATTTAGATAATAATAATAATACTAATAATAAATATATAATAATAATAGAAATTTTGGTAATCAGGCATAAATGAAATGATTTCATCCGTCAAAAATAAAATCTTAATAAAATGAATATTTCTCTATAATCTTATATTTATTTATTTATATATTTATTATATTAAAATTATATTGTAAAATTTAATATTATTAAAAAATATATTTCACATTTAATTATTTTTTATATATAATTTATGAATAATACTTTTTTTTATATACAGTATATTTTTTGGTTCACTTAAAAAATTGATCATTAAATATTTTTCAATACTAAGAACATAATATTTATAATCCATTGAAAAATTTGAAAATACAGTAAAATAGAAAAATAATGTCCATTTGAATAATAATAAAATCTGTAAGTTTTATCCAGATTATTATTATTATTTTATTTTTTTCATATATTTATAATACATATGCAAAAAACTTCAAAACAATATGTTTTTAATCTTTTGCTAAATAAGTTTTGTAAATTTTACAGTATATTCTTATAAAATATTAAAAATACGATTTTCATATATAATATAATATTTCAAAATATTTAACATAAATAAGTTCTTATTTATGTATTTTATATAAATATTATACTTTTAACATTAAATATAAACATAGACAACAAATTTAAATACGATTAGTTTTGATTAATCATTAAAAACTTTTAATGTTTATATAAATTATAAAATCTTTATTCTCTCAATTATTTAATATTATATTTTTAAGTTTAATTAACAAAAATAATTTTGTTGATGACTCATTAAATTAATTAATCAAAATTTAGTAAATAGTTTATGACATAAAATCACGATACTATCTATAAAGTTATATATATATAGTATATATTATACTATGTATAGCTAAAAATAATATTACATTTAATTAAATCTATTTTAATATTTAAATAAGATATTTGTATTAACTAAATTTGCATAGCAATGATAAATGACTTTTATAAATAAAACTCTTAATATTAATATTATTACATCTTAACTTATAAGCTATACTTATACTGTGTACTAACAGTTATATAATATATTATATAATATATCATAATATTAGATTAATATATTATTAAATATAAATAGACACTTATTAGATGTTATTATAGTGTAAAAGTGTTGATTAACTCATTTGAATTTATTATATTTAGTATTAAATGTAAGTATAGTATAGTATTAAGTAAGTTATAATAACGTGAGTAAAGTGTGTATTAGCATTTAACTTATAAGTTTGCAATTATTTCATCGATGAATTAATTAATTTTTGTGTAACTTTAATTTGCAAATACAATTAAATTCATTAAATTTTCAATTGCTATTTAATTAGTTATATAAAAAATTAATTCAATTCATTATAATTTTAAGTGATTACTAAATGATTTTCTATTATTTCACTGTTTGGTAATTTTAAAAAAATATAAAACGAAAGGATTACAAAACATCTATTATCAAACATTTCTATGAATTATGTTTATTGACAAAATCACTAATAAATATTAACAAAATTTTAAGTGAGTTTTTTGTTATTTGTTTTTACTATTTATATTCATATAAATGAATGCTATTATATGAATATAATAAATTATATAATATTATTGTAATATATAATTGATAATTTAGTATATTGTACTACTACTACTACTACTGTATATGTAAATTATAATAAATATATGACTACTAGTAGTAGATCGATATTAGTACATAAACACTAATAGACTATAATTTAGCCTATACTGTACTGTACTTTATATTATATTATATTATATTGAATATATAATTTTAGCTTAATATTTTGTTATAGAATTGATTGTTATATTTATTTGTAGACTGTTTTAATTGTGTTAATTGATTCATTAAAATTAAATAAAAATATTTGTCTAATACTCTTCAAAAGTAATCATCAAATTATTACACTTAATAATTAATGACTGATTTATACAATAGTTTACATTTTATAGTTGTAACTTATGGTTATTTAGAAAAAATAATAATTTATTTAATGGATTTACTAATGTATAGAAAATAGCACTAAAAATATAAATAAATAATAGTAAAACATGTATTTTACTATATTATTGTATTATATATTATATATTGATTAATATCAAATGTTAAAAATGTAATATAAAATATTTTTATCTTAAAGACTATTTTTAATTATTTTGAATAAAAATAGTTATTTGCATTATTATAATAATTTTATTTTTTATAATATAATTAATAATATTATTAATAGTAAAAATTGCATTATTTCAATGTTTCTTTTAAATATAATACTTTAAAATACATTTAAACTTACGATATCTTTTAAATGATAAGTAAAATACAGTGTTAATTAACAACAAAAGTAAACCAAATTAATGGCAAATAAATAAGTTTTTATGTATTGTCCATTAAAATTATAGTAGTGTAACAATTCAAGTACTTTATATATTAGTGTTAGATTATACTGTATTTTATTTATTCAAAAAATATTTACATGTTTTTAGTTAATCAGATTCAACGCTAGTTTAACATTAATAATGAATTAATTTTGTCACAAACACCAAAAACATATATAAAGCAATTGTTATCCTACTTGATATACATTAATGTAAATTTCAGCATAAGTTAAATGATATAACTTTAGCAATTTTTTTTATAAAAATTTATTTATACAGTAGTAGTAATAATACTAACATTTGATGTTTAATACTGTACTGTATTAAAAAAATCATCAACATGTTTTATGTAATTTACATATAAATTGTGGCAAATTTTCATACAATAACAGCATAAAAATTAATTATTGATGCATTAAGTAAGTAAGTAATAGTAAACGTAAGGTAATATACGGTAGTTATAATATATAATAATATTATATTTGTTATTATTATTGTATTATTGTATAGTATGTACTGTATTATTGTATGGTCAATAAAATAATATAAAATATAGATATATATATTTATATATTAGGGAATGTTGTTCATCGATTATACAGTACTGTTATTATACTAAATATAAAGATATTAATAATTTTAATATTAAATATTTATATAATTTACGTCATATTTACATTAATATTATAATTATAATCTACTACTTACTGT